AAAGAGGATATTAGGTTACAACCCATTGAATATAATAGAAAATTTGTGAGTCAATAATATGAATAAATGAACAAATAAAAGCTACATAATATAATACCAAATATGACTGATCGAAGCATAAATTGGGGTAGTCACTTTGGAAAACCTTCTGGCAGCATCTACTAAACCCAACAGAAGAGTATGTACAGTGCACTACCATTTGGGTAAAGAAAGGGAAATATGTATATATATATATATATATACACACACACACACACACACACACACATACATGCGTGAAAATGTGCTGTGTGAATGTTATCTACTAATTCATAGATCATCTCCATTTCTGGAAGGATTCACAAGAAATTAATGATGTGATATTTAGTCCTTCCAGAGAGGGGAGCTGAGTGGTTGGAAGACAGAGGTAGAAGAGAACTTCCCCTGTAATATTTTGTACCTTGTAATTTTTTTACCTTACTAATGTATAACTTTTCCAAAAAAGTGTTTAGTGACTCTTTTAAAAATAAAAGAAACTTTCTATAGGGAGTGATTACTCTCTGACCTCACTTCCCACGACTTCCCCAGCTCACCGCATTCGGCACTAAACAAAACTCCTCACCCCTTCCAGAAAGGGAAGGGTGGCATCTGTCCCCTACACCTGCAGTTTCCTCTGCTGGAAACACCCTCTCCTCTAAGGAGCCCCTATTGTCTCCTAGTTGCCTTAGCTGCTCCGGTCTCTCTCCACTACTCCTCCAGAAAGTCTGTAAATATATGCCCACACTGTGTTCCTGACAGGCTTCCATCTCGCCATCTTGTGGAGCTGCAAATTTCCATTCACATGTCTGTGATTTCCTGGTGACAGGAGCTAAATAGAAGCAAAGCCCAGAGAAGAATGTTTCTACCTGCAGGCTTGCAAAGCCTCTCTCCTGGAAGCATCTTCAGCAGCTCCATCTATAAGAAGACACTGCTGAAATAGCTCATCCCTGCCTGACTCAGGAGTTGTCCCTAGACCCCTTCTCTAAGGCCCCCATGGGCCAGGGCAGACCCACCAGTGGGTCTGAGAGGCAGGGCAGAGGCAGTGGACTTTAACAGAGGACACCAGCCTAGCAGGGACTTTGTTTAAACTCAGTGCTCCCCCAGAGGCCACCAGTAGCCCTGGGAAATGTTTCTGTTAGATTTTAACTGTTGTACCTTCTCTCCTGTAATAATGACAGGCTGCTGATTTTCTCTTGAGTCCCTTGAGCCTTGGTGCAGCCGGTCTGCAGTCTCCAGGACTCTGAGGGAGGCCTCAGCCAAAAGAGGAATATTAAGAATAAAGCTAACCATGGAAGTGAAAGGCCTATACTCTGAAAACTATGAGACTCTCATGAGAGAAATTAAAGAAGATACCAATAAATGGAAACACATCCTGTTCTCATGGATAGGAAGGAGTAATATTGTCAAAATGGCCATCCTGCCTAAAGCAATCTACAGATTCAATACAATCCCTATCAAAATACCAACAGCATTCTTCAATGAACTAGAGCAAATAGTTCTAAAATTCATGTGGAACCACAAGACTCTGAATAGCCAAAGCAATCCTGAGAAGGAAGAATAAAGTGTGGGGATTATGTTCCCCGACTTCAAACTCTACTACAAGGCCACAGCAATTGAGACAATTTGGTACAAGAACAGACCCATAGACCAATGGAACAGACTAGAGAGCCCAGATATAAACCCAAGCATATATGATCAACTAATATACAATAAAGGAGCCATGGATATACAATGGAGAAATGACAGCCTCTTCAGCAACTCGTGTTGGCAAAACTGGACAGCTACATGCAAGAGAATGAAACTGGATTATTGTCTATTCCCATATGCAAAAGTAAATTCAAAATGGATCAAAGACCTGAATGTAAGTCACGAAACCATAAAATTCTTAGAAGAAAACATAGGCAAAAACCTCTTGAAGATAAACATGAGCAACTTTTTCCTGAATGCATCTCCTCAGGCAATGGAAACAAAAGCAAAAATGAACAAATGGAACTACATCAAGCTAAAAAGCTTCTGTACAGCAAAGGATACCATCAGCAAAACAAAAAGGCATCCTACAGTATGGGAGAATATCTTTGTAAATGACATACCTGACAAGGGGTTAACATCCAAAATATATAAAGAACTCACACCTGAACACCCAAAAAGCAAATAACCCAATTAAAAAATGGGGGGAGGCAGTGAAGACTAGTGATTCTATGGCATTTTACTATGCTGATGGACAGTGACTGTAATAGGGTGGGGGTGGGGGGACTTGGTGAAGGGGGGAACCTAGTAAACATGTTCTTCATGTAATTGTAGATTAATGATAAAATTTAAAAAAAACTTAATCTCAGGATTTAATAAGGTGTCTAACAGTTGAATCACTGTGTTGTATACTTGAAACCAATGAAAGATTGTGTATTAACTATACTTCAATAAAAAAGGATTGGAATACAAAAAAAAAAAAAATGGGTGGAGGATGTAAACAGATACTTCTCCAAAGAAATTCAGATGGCCAACAGGTACATGAAAAGATGCTCCACATCGCTAATTATCAGGGAAATGCAAATTAAAACCACAATGAGATATCATCTCACACCGGTTAGGATGGCCAACATAAAAAAGACTACGAACAACAAATGCTGGTGGATGTGGAGAAAGGGGAACCCTCCTACACTGCTGGTCAGAATGTAAACTAGTTCAAGCATTGTGGAAAGCAATATGGAGGTTCCTAAAAAAACTAAAAATAGAAATACCTTTTGACCCAGGAATTCCACTTCTAGGAATTTACCCTAAGAAAACAACTTCTCAGATTCAAAAAGACATATGCACCCCTATGTTTATCACAGCACTATTTACAACAAAAGTCAAGATATGGAAGCAACCTAAGTATCCATCAGTAGATGAATGGATAAAGATGTGGTACGTACACACAGTGAAATACTATTCAGCCATAAGAAACAAATCCTACCATTTGCAACATAGATGGAGCTGGAGGGTATTATGCTCAGTGAAATGTCAGGCAGAGAAAGACAAATAATACCAAATGATTTCCCTCATTTGTGGAGTCTAACAACTAAGCAAAACTAAAGGAACAAAGTAGCAGCAGACTCACTGACTCCAAGAAGGGACTAGGGGTTACTAAAGGGGAGGTGTGTGGGAGGGCGGGTGGAGAGGGAGAAGGGGATTGTGGGGTATCATGATTAGTGCATGGTGTATGTGAGGTCATGGGGAAGACAGTGTAGCTCAAAGACAAATAGGGACTCTGTGTCATCTTACTACACTGATGGACAGTGACTGCAATGGGGTATGCGGGGGGGGAGGTATTTGACAATAAGGGTTAATGTAGTAACCACATTGTTTTTCTTGTGAAACCTTAAGAGTATATATCAATGATACCTTAATAAAAAAAAAATTCCCATAGATGGAAAAACTGGATATCCTGGTTGTCCATCAGACAAGACATGGTTTGATTCCTTTCCAACTGCTGTTGGGCTGGGAGGTGAGTTGGGGTTTACAGCCTCAAGCACATGGAAACATGGAAAGCCTTTTGGTGAGTTACCTTTGAAACTCCAGTCAGTTTGAGGTCACCTTCAAACAGGAAAACTGCTAAGCCAATTCTTTGCGGTAATAAGCTCTTCAATGTAGGACACCTGGAGACAGGATTGTACTTCACATGCAAACAGGCAAATTAGTCATTGATCTCATAGGAGAGCCTGTTGAGATCCACCTTTAGAAAATAGGCTGTACCTACAATTACTTCAAGAGCTCTTGGAGCAGGTATATGGTCTTGATTTATCTTCTACCTTTTACTAAGCTGAGATTTGGGACCACCAGGTTGTGCTGATTTTTGGATCAGGCCTTTTTCTTCTACCCAATGTGTACCCATGGTAGAGAGGAAGAAAGGGGCACAGAGTTAAGTCCGACAGGCCTCCTCAAAAGATAGACACTCTTGCCTACATTCAGTATTCTGAAAAATTCAGGGTTTGCCACAGCTGTTCCAGCACCTGCACTGGTATGTTGACCATGATAAAGTTTCCATGTTTTTTTTCCCCCAAGTATTCCCTAATTTACAGGACCACCTCTGAAATACTCTACCCTTTCCATGTTATCATATCCCTTTGAACATAGTCATTTGCAAAGATGTGTTTCTCAGCATACAGCCGATGGTTAACAATGTGGCGGGAGTTAGGAGCACTTATCTCCAATAGTTAAGAAACCTGCTTCTAACTTTTGACTAAAAAACTGGACAGTGTACTCTTCATTTTATAGTAGTTACGACTAATATCTACAAGTCTTATGTATTTGTGACCTTTTAAATTTTTCAGTATTCCTAGGCTAGTTTTTTTTTAATTATCACAAATACCCAGAAATTTTTGATATGCTTATTTAAAAACTCCATATACAAACACACCCATGTAGTTCAACCCTTTGTTCAAGGGCCAACTACACTTCAATCAAAACCTCCAAGTTACTAGTTTAGCTTATTTAGAAAAACAACCCCCCCCAACACACACACACCAGTCACTCAGATGAAATAAGACACAGTCTTTCTCTACTTTCTTCTCATGGGGCTCAGAGTTTTCAAGAATACCAGTGGACTTATGCCAAGGTAGGCAGGTTAATTTTATCAAGTCAGGGACATGGATATAGATGCTTTAAATGATACCTAAGTCATGCACTTAAGTCTGTGTCTAAGCACAAGTCTAAAAAGTATACACCTTAGTCTAAGTCACTTCCTGATGTGTTCCTCACTCAACAACACCTCTTTTACCCTCCTAGTTGTTCTAACCCCTCCCTCCTCACAGAGTCATGTAATTGGGGAGGCCAAAACTCGTAAGTTCCAAAGAAAACTGAGTTAAGGCTTAACATTCACGGATAAGTTTTCTCCATGAAAAAAATGAGGTATCCCACACTTGAATGATTTAGAAAAAGCAATTAACAGTTCCTAAGACGTACACAATCCCCACTCGACCTACCAACAGACACACTCAACATGCTATATTATTTCCATTTTATTTTTATTTTTTTCCAGAGAACAATTTTTCTTCAGTCTGTAAGGACTTAGCTCCTTACATGGGCTTTGGTGGAGGTCGTGGGGCAGCACCCTGAAAGATGAAGGAACCAGAGTAAATAAAAACCAACCGAAGGCTCCCCCCACAAAGTACTCTTTTAAGAAGACTACCCACCCAAGACTAACAATGCATCTGGGCCATAAACATACGAAGAACTGGTAGATGTGGAAGGAGACTACACTACTCCATCTGAAACTGATGCTAACAAGTTTCCGAACTGCCTCTAAGCATGTTTCAGGTGTAGGCCCCACATCTTTTGTTCATCACCCCTATGGCTTGCACACCCCTTTTAGGATACTTACCGCAGGCCTAAATCGGGGTGGGGGCGTTCGGTCCTTCCTAGCCTCACGAGATCGATTCCTGACTACCTTGCTGTGAATGGCACAGCTCACACAGTAATGCAGTTTTACATACAGCTTAGGGAGCACGTAAGCTAAGGAACAGAAACAAGCAAAATATCAGGTTTTGTATACCCGGCTTGAACCATCCTTATTCAGTCAAAAGTAAATCTACTTACTGCCTAGCAAACCTACAAAATTTCACCCCCAAAGCAACTGTTACCTAAACTTCAGTTTCTCACACGTAAATATACTGGCAGTTTCACAAATGAAAAATATTCCCCTTCGGACCCATCCTGTCATCATGGGGCCAAATGCGCGCCCTGTAAGTAAAAATCCTTCAGCAGTGTACCAGCCCTAGTGCCTACTCCTGGGCCCTCCTTGTTGCCTAAGAAACCTAATTTGTCTTAGGAAAAACGGCATATTGCTTTAAAGCAGCTCAACTCCATTGATCAAACTAGACTGCCTCCATTCTTGAAACATCATTCAAATTAGCCTGTACTACGCACAACAGATACTCAAATGTTCAATGATTCAAAAGTTCTGACTACGTCTATAGCCAGGGCTGTTAATACAGAATAAGCTAAGTGCTTGGAAATCGCATCCCCTAACGCAGTCACACTGACTCGAAGACTGGCCACTAGCACTGCGAGTTCCCTTCTGTTCAGACAAGGATCAAGACGTTTTCTTTACCGGAAACCTTGAAGGTGGAATCAGCCTGGCCGGCTCCGTAAACCGCCTACCAGTACAGCACGGGGTGGGCCCAAATACTCGTGCCTGGAGCTCACTTACCGTCGAAGACACTGGCTTCGGAAATGTCCCTTACCGCGGCGGCCTCTACTATGTTTCGAATGACGAACTTCTTAATGGCCTTATCCTTGGGTACACATCGGGCACAGTTGGTGCAGCGAATAGGCTGCACGTGGCCACGGCCCTTTTTAGCACGACCATTGTTCCTTCTTTTCTTGGTCTGCACCAAGGTAAAGATCCTGTTACGTGTGGGCCCAACCTCCCCAGCCCCTCTACCTAAACCCCGCGCGCGCAGCTGGCAGAAAGGCGCCATAGGGCCTACTCCTTCCACAAATCCCTCCAGGCCCGTTAATGCCTACCTCTGCATACCTCCACCATTGCTCAGGGTCCCAAACGCCCGCAACCCAGAAACCGTTCCTCGACAACAAAAGCACTCACCATGCTAGCACTGAAGCCCAAGAGAGCGCACGGCCGTCCCACCGCCCTTATATAGCACGAGATCCCTACGCCAACAGCGGAAGAATTCTTAGAGGAAGTAGCCGAGGACGGCGACCCACTTTACCCAGATTTTCTTATCATTCAGCGTTTCCGCTGAAATCTAGGGTAGAAAGGCGCTTCTCGATTTTATTTATCCGTGGCATACGGTGACTATGGGACTATTTACCCTGCTGGCGGAAGAAAATCAGAGTTATACGTCTCCCAGCAAGCATCGCGACGCCCTGCCCCGGACGTATTCTTAGCTTTCTGACTCTCCGGCTTTTGCGGCGCTTGGCGCGGAAGTTGACCCGCGCAAAACCACCTGTCGCACTCCCTCTAGCGGCTCGAGGGAAGGTATGCATTGTGGGAATTGTAGTGCAAAGCTGGCAGGCCCCTAGCCCGAAGCACTACAACCAAGGCGGTACCGCGCCACCGGGGGACGCTCTCGGCTCATTTCTCTGACAATCCTGTTAACTACGTGTAGGAATGATAAACGGAAACAATACACTTTTTTAATTCCTCCTTCCCAGTGTGGAGAAAACGCCGCGAGGAGGAGCCGTGGAAGTGCTTAGGTGCTAGGGCTATTTCTTATTCACCTTTTTATCCTTGAATCCTTTTAGCACTGTTCCTGTACTGTAGTAAGCGCTGTAAAAATATTAACTCATCTAACCCTCAACAAGCCTGTAAGGCAGGCAGTACTATTACCGGCACTTTAAAGATTGAGAAACTGAGGTGTAGAGTGGTTAAACCTAAGGTTGCCCCAAGTCACACAGAACTGCTAAGAGGTGTTCTGGCTCCACCATACTATGCTGCCTCTCACCTAACAACTGGATGGCGGCATATAGCCTGGACCTGTGACCTAAACGATTTTAACTTAGACCTTTAGCCTTGTGAGCAGGAGTGGCTAACCATGGCAGCCAACTACCCAGTTACCTCTGAAGGTGAAGAAATTAAGGTGTCAAGGGGATCTCCCAGCCTTCAGACCCAAGACAGCGCAGATGAAAACCAATCATTCATTTATGAGTCATTCTGGAGCCTGAATACATCAGATTCATTTTCCCTCCAACAATCCATGGTGGTTTAACCTCGAACCCACTTTATGAGTTAAAAGTTATTTTCTAACTTTTGTTATGGCTTCAAAACAACTATATTCACAGTCTCAAGTTTGAATTTGTTACTTTCAATGGGGCATGGAAAACAGATTCTAGATGGAAGTGTCTTCAATTTTCGTTTCAATATAGTCTTAGGGAAAATGGCAGACATTTACTACGTGGAATGGCAATGAAGTAGATAGAACAGAAAAATATTTAGAGTGAAGGAGACAGAAAATAGTTAATATTAAGACAGAATCAAGTTAATATTCCTATATTGGCTCTTTGGACTTTTATAGCCTAGGGTTTCACTTACTGAATTCCCTGGCATAAAGGGATGGGCACAGACTGGAGTCACATACTCCCAGGTTCAAATACAGGTTTTGTCACTTGTGGGCTGATGCATCTTGGACAAGTTATATATTCTCTCTTGGGCTTTTATTTCAATAGTAAGCATGGTCATTTCTTTGTAGGTTGTTTCTACAATTAATACTTGGCACAGTGCTTGGAACTTATGACATGCTCAAGAAATGATAGACCCTATTATTATGATCATTCATGTCATTGTAACTAACATCTATCTCCCTTGGTTAATGTGTTTTATACATAATATGTACTCAGCAAATGTTTGATGAATCTCTGCTTTGGATGGACAGCCAAATTAGGCTTTTCTCTCCAATCCTGAAGTCACTCCTAGTAGGAAAATCTCCACTTCCTGTTGTTCTAGGTTTAAAGTTCTGTTCTTCTGTAGCAAGAACTTGAGTATTCTTATTTGGTTTCCTTTTAATCTTAGATTTGTTCACCTTTAAAATGTAGGTAGTTGGTACACTATGTTGCAAGGATCCCCCCACTGCTACCCCCAGCAGAAAAATAAGGCAAAGAAAGTCTACAAAAACAACCAGGGGTGTTAAATTACTCATGTTTATTTGTAACAGACCTTCAGCCAGTACAGTACAAAACTTACAGTAGTATATCTCCGTTACACAAATATTTACTTACAATATATTACATATACAAAATGCTTTGCAATAAGTCTCAAAGCTAGTTTAACTCCCCTTGAGAATGGAGAAAAACTCTTTAAAAAAAAACGGAAGGGGAGAAACGGAGGAAGAGGAGGAGGTGAAGGGCAAGGTCCAAGGAGACACCAAGCATAGGCTACAAATGAAACCCTGGGAGAAAGAGGAGGTGGTATTGCACTTGCTTCTGTAATTTTTTTTTTCTGTTCGTTCTTCATAACTTCTGATTAAAAATATATATAATATATATATATTATGTACACAAGGAAAGCTGCCAGAAGTGTTATAAAATCCCATCTGCAGCTTGGACACTGACACAAAAAACACTGGAAAAGTGTCTGTTTAGAAATTTTATTTTTATGCAAAAGGAGCTGGGAGAGAGCATGAGGATGTTCGAGGTTCCAGAGCTGGAAGACTCTGGAATAGGATTTTGTACCTAAGACCCTGGTTAAAGTGCAGTGATGGTCTGGAGAGAGCCAGAGTGCCCTTCTCTACCCTCCTTAGCACCTGGTCTTGCCCTTCCAGTCTCTGCTTTCATGGGCTCAGAGTATAGCCTCAGAGCATAGTCCTTCACATTCCAGGAGGTTACAGGTGCCAAAGCTGACTCGAGGAGGGATGGGTCATCCTAAGGCTCTGATACCGCAGAAAGGAGTAGTCCTTATGAGGTGTCACCAAACACAACAGCAGACACAGAAGAGGTATGGGTGGGTTCAATGGGAAATGGCTCAATAACCAGAACAGTAGAGGAGAACCCAAGATATTAATCTCAGCTCTGCTGCCATCCTGAAACAAGGAGCCAGTTCCCTGGGGTGCTTTGAAAAGACTCTTCCCTCCACTAGAGATGCTCTCCTCCCAGCTAAGTCCACATCCTCTGCCCTTGGCAGCATCTGTTTATTGCTACATTGACAAGGAGGAACATAGTGTCCCTTCATGACAGGCTGGTTCTCCTGAGGAGACCACACGTAATGGGCGAGAAAAAGGAGGAAGAGAAGTGTTTTTTAGGGTCCCCCTTCCCATAAGGGGGTAAGGTAAACTCCTCTTAGAGCTCTTAGGAGCCCTGAACCCAGGGTCTGTTCCTTAGCCAACCCTTTACCATCCCCCTAAATTATCCCTGATAGGGAGTGAGATAAGTGGGAGGCAAGAGAGCCAATCAGGACAGGACAACATGGAAAGAAAGAGGGAAGGGGAGAGAGAAGGACCAAGTGTTACAACTTATGAGGTGCTGTGTTTGGTTTTCACTTTTTTTTTTTAAATATAGAAAAACAGCCTTTGGTTTGAATCTCAAGGAAGCAGAGAATGGGATAGCTGAGGCCTTGGGCAGGAAACTCCTGTAGAAAGAGCCCTCCACTTGCAGGGGAGCAAGTCTCCTCCTGCCTCTTTCTCACTGACCAGGTTACCTAAGCAGCCAGGGGTCTCCGCAGTAGCCGGGAGGAGACTGCCTCTTCCTGCCCCACATCTGGGAGCTGACTGTAGAAGGGGGTAAAGGATGACCCCTAGTCCAGCTGCGCCCATCCTATTCTTGCTGGGACAAGAGTGGAATAGGGTGAGGGGCACATGTCCTTGCCCATCCTGGGATAATTTTTGGTTATATGAAAATCAGAAGAGAGAAAAGAGACACTGATCCTAAGAACAGGGCCCAGAAGACTGAGAATGAGAGGGTGAATCCTGCTGAGGGGGAGGAGAAGGCAGCATGACTGGGGTTGAGATGCCCCTTGTCATCAGGCAGCAACCCACTAGTTTCTCAAAGGACGAGGACCCCAGGGGCCCTGACAACCTAGGAAGGTCACTAGAGTGAAGAAGTTTAAGAGGTGGAAAAGGAGAAGAATTTTAACTCACCCCCTTCCCATGCCCTGGTTCCCAGTTAGGCACCTGTGGCTCCCAATGTGTCAGAGTCAGAGGACCGCAGACCTAGCCTCGGCCCCTGAGAGTATAAAATTGGGGCACTCCAAGGAGAACAAAACTACCACTGAGTAGACCGGCAGGTGTACAAGAGTACAGCAGCGCTGGGGATTGTTCGAGGATAAATATACCACATCCTAGAGGGAGGTCCTGAATGTGGGCTTTGGGGAACTCAGATTACTAGGGGGCTGTCAAGAGGACCCTCAGTCCCACGGTGCCTGGGGAGAATTTCCTCAGCCCTTACTTCCAAATGAGGAAATTCTTCATTTGTTCAGGAATAGTGCAAGCTGCCTAAGGTGAGAGGGCACAAGAGGTATGGAGTACCAGGTTGAAGGGTCCCAGAGAGGAGGTATAATGCCACAGAGCTAAGGTATGGCCAGAGGGAGCTATCAGTTTCAACACTGAAGAAGCAGATAATGCAAAGGGTGAGGACTTAAAGCAAAAAGCTCAAGGTCTCTTAGAACTCAAGGGAGCTTCCCACCTGGGGCTGCGGGGCAAAGCTAAACCAAAGAGAGGGAAACTGGGCCTAATGTGGAAGGAGACTGTGGGCAGGAGGGCAGGAGGTGCAAGTGACTGGTCTAAATTAAAGAAAAAAAGCAGAAGAAAATCGAATTATATTAATAAATAACTCAGTGAATGGGCTGAGAAGGGAGAAGAGACAAAAGAGAAGCATAAGCAAAAGGCCTGTTTCCTCACAATGTCTGATCAGTCGGGGTAGAGGAGACTAGGTGAGCGGGGGCCAGGGCTGAGCATGAGGTTGGCAGCCAGTGGGGGGGGGCCACACAGCTCATTGGCAGTGGGGGGCAGGGCTGAGCCCCTGCAGGCAGGGCAGTGGAGGGCAGCAGGTCGCTAGCCCACCTTATGCTCCCCCCGGACAATGTGGGAGGAGAACTCGTACCGGTCCTGGCTGTGATAACCACAGATGTTGCACTCGAAAGGGTCTCGGAAGCCGTGGCAGCCCATGTGGATGGTGAACATGACATGGTCCAGGAAGAGGATGCGGCAGTGCTCGCACCGGAAGGCCTTCACAGGCTCTCCACTCTCGCCCACCACGCGGAGCACTTCCTTGGAGGGACCTGGGGTGCCCCGCAGTAAACCCTCCTGTGGCTTGGGGTCCTCTTTGGCGTAGGCAGGACTGGGCCGGCCCACCACCATGGTGGAAGGTGGCTGGGGTGGAGGGCCCTGGGGGAGGGACACCATGCCTCCAACCCGATCTTCGTGGTTGCTCTCTGTATCTGTGGAGTCCTGGCAGCCATTGCTTGGGGATGCCCCAGGGTCAGTCAGGGGGCCTCGAGCCTGGTAGAGAAGGGGACCTCCATCAGCGAGGTCCTCGGGTCCCTCACCTGCCTCCCGAGACCCTGGAAGCTCCAGCCGACCAGGGAGGGGCTGCATCTGGGTATACACAGAGCTGATGACAGGCGTGAGTTCTGAGATACAAGTGGTGGGTGGAAGGCGGAGGGGACGCAGATGCTCTGCCCCGACAAAGGCCAGAGACCCCCCAAAGGCAGGCTCCAGGCCATGGTGGGCCACCAACTCTACGTCCTTCTCGTAGCCACCCGCATTCACATCATAGGGGATGTCTGAGAGGCCGAAGCGCATCTGCTTTTCGCCTGTAGAGAAGAGACCTTCAGCGGAGCTGGGTCTGGAGAATCTCATCACTGGGACGGCTGTAACATTATTTGCCATCCCTCCCTTATTTCCCTTGAAGTCAGCTCCTCGGTGGGGTTGCTCCCTGACTCCAGGCTATAATGTGAGAGCCCACCGATCCCTAATATCTCCTTTATCACTTTGTGTAAAACTCCAGGTCCTGAGAGCTAAAGACCAATGCCATGGTGGACCCTGTACTCACCAATCTCGGATGCTTAAGAGCCCTTCTCTCAGCCCCCACAGGCTGAAGTCCTTGCTGTGCTCACAAATTGGGAGGATTGAGTTCCCTGGCCCCTCCTCCTACCCAACCCTGAGAGCCCTCAACACTGGCCCCTCTCCATCCTCTCAAGGTACATTCTCCCTCTTCACTCCCTTCTTGTTCTGGGGATAGATTCTGAGCACCAGAGACCACCAGACCCCTTTTTCCTCCCATCAAATCTCCAGATCCAACTGGTCTAATGGCTACCACAGCTCAGATTTAGATGAGCTGGGGCTTAAAAGCTGATGGTTCCTCTCTGACAAGACTCTTACCTACGAACTTCTGCGGGGTGGAACGCTTGCGTTTGGTGAGGCTGTTGGCCAGGCGATCAATGAATGTTGGCCTCTCAGAAGATGAGTGCAGCATGGAGTCTGGCACCATCTCCAGGTCACGGATCTCATCACCTAGTGGGAAGGAGGTGGGGACAAGCAGGAGCTGAGCATGGTTGGCACTGGCCCAGCCACCTCTGCAGAGACAAATCAGCATGTCAGCAGCCAAGGACGATCATACCCAGTGCCTGGGAAACTGGGTTGTTTGCTGGACCCTACCTAGAGCTCACCCCAGGAAACACTTCAGGTAACTGAGGACAGTCATACACATTTGACCCCGATTTTACACTTCCTTGCACTCTCTCTCACTCTCTGAATAGAATGAGGACATAGATCAAATCTCTCCTTACCTCTAGATTTCTTGGCAACACCTACCACAGGGCTCGGCACCAACGGGGGTGCCCAGCAGATTTACCGAGGTAACTGTCCCTTTCCCACAGACCCATCCCTTTTGGAATCAACGCTGTCCTCTACTCTCCTGGGCCTTGCCCTTGACTCGCCCACAGCCCTGCCTGCAGCCCCACCTGGTTGGCCAGCCAGAGCTTGGGCCTCAGTGCTGAGACTCTGTAGATAGTTGTGGCACCGCTCCTTGTGCTCCTCCAGGGTGCTTGGCTGTTTATAGCTCCGGCCACAGTAGTTACACTTGTAGGGCTTACCCACCGTGGGAGAGGAGACTGTGGAGGGCAGAGAAGGCAAAGAGCATCAGACTCCTTCTCCCAGTGCCCTGACTCTGCAAATCACCCAGGAGAAGTGCTCACAGGGAGGAAGGGATGCTGCTCAGCTGAATCCTCGGCTTATCTTCCCTTACCCAGTATCAGCTGCAAGTGTGGACAGATGGCCAGACCTTAGAGAAGACAGGCAATATGCAGCTTTGGGAGGAGAGAGGGGACCCAGGGCATATAGCTTCTGGCTGCTGGTGGACCTCGATGGCCAACTGCTGCCCACAGGGAGGGAGAACCCAGGGACTTTGTAGGGGACCATCCCTGGCAAGCAAGCTGGCCCCACCCCAGGGTCTCAGAGTTTGGGGCCCAGACTGTGGTTTAACCTTTCCATGTGGCAGGCAGGTGTAAGTGCTATTTATCAGAGAAGGGGATTTTTTTTTTTTTGCTTATGATCTGTCTGCTTTGGTTTGGGGAAAATTGGTGGGCTGGGGTAACAGAAATGAGAGCCCTTAGCCTGCCAGTGTGGGGAGAGGCAGTTCTCACTGACCTTTACTTGCACTTGTGCCTCCACCCCTAGCCTGATTTTACTGCTCTTTTTTCTTTCTGTCTCTCTTCACTGAGATACCAAGAGAAGCCCAGAAAAACCATCAATGACAGAAATTCTGAGAAGAGAAAAAGAATGAAAGAACAAAGAGGAAAATAAAGGAGGCGAGCAAAAAAAGAGAACACCAACTCTGGAGGTCTTCCTTAAAATTTTAAATAGAGAATGGGTTATAAAGTTTTTATTTTTACTGAAGAAAACTGAGATCAACACTTCTTTTAAAGACAACTTCTGGGATATATTTGTGAGAGAAGAGAAAAAAGTAATGGAAACAAGGTACTAGTACATTTAATTTTACATATTTTGCTACTTTTGAGACAGAAGGTATCTCTAGGGGTCTGGTAATTACTACTCCCCCCACCCACTTAAACTGGGCCTAATCTGCTAATCTGTTACCACTTGCTCCTGCCCTGTAAACCCTAATATCTGGGGGATGAGATGAATGCCATGATCCCCTCCCAACCAAGACTCTTGGGGAAATGGTTTAACACCTAGGAGAGGAACCTCATTACTCTTATAGGGTTGTATTAGAAAGCATCTCACAGAGATGCCACCTGACAGTATCTCTGCATCTGCTCTGTCCCTAATAATCTCCTACAGTACAACATCCAAAATCCACCCAGCTGGCCTCAATTTGTAAGAATTATAAAGGCCAAGCCATCCTTGTTCGAAATAGTGGAAGCTGCCCCTCATTTGAGGAAAAGGAGCATAATTCTCTGGCACAGAACCTTGCCAGGGTTCCAGGGAGGCTGAAGAATAGCTTGGTACTGGCAAATCTTTTTTCCCAGAGCTTCAGTTTCCTTGTTGGCAAAGTGGGGATATAATGCCTCCCTGGGAATTGTTGTAAGGACCCCAGGAGGAGACACAAGTGAAATGCTTTGTAGATTACAAAGTATGAAGCAACAGTGTTCACTCTGTTTCTCTGCCCAGCTCAAGGTGACAGAACCTAAAGCAGGGTAGGGGGCTGGAAAAAGCAAGAGGGCAGTGAGTGACTGCTCTATCCCTTTAAATCTTTGCCCAGGAGAGTTTAGAAGAGAAAAATAGCAAGTAAAGTTTCCAAGGACAGACCCTACTAATTCTTTCCCCTCTGCCCTCTTCCTGTCTTTTCCCAGTCTTGAGCTCCCACCTTCCTGCCAGCTCAGCTGCTGGCCTCTTCCCAAGTCCAAGCCAAAAGCTTAAAGCCTAGTGAGGTGCTTCAAGAGACATATTCCAATTTAAACAATCTTGGTTGGGGCTTTCAGGAAAACTGGTTAGTCCAGGTCCTGCCACTGCTCTGAATGCTGAACTCCAGGCACCCTCTGGACTTGCTCTTGCCTTTCAGAAGTTGAAAACCTCTTGGGATGGGGAACCGAGGCTTTTCCTAGGCTTCCTCTGGGAGGCCCATGGATATTTTCAGAAACCAGTAGGAAGTAAAGGAGACAACAGATAGCAATTGCCCACATGATCTCCGGTGAGGGTGTTGGTGAAGATGGTGACAGGTGTGGGGCCTGCAGCACATGTGACTGGGAGAAGGGGTTTCCTTGCATTCAGAAGTGGGGAATGATGGGGCACAGATAGTTCTGGCACCAACATCAGGAGGGTAATTATTAAGAGCCGAGGATGTCCTCGCATGGCAGATGTAAAATGCCCCATCAAAGAGTCCCCACATCCCCATGGGGCAGGCCGCCCAAAGGAGGGGTTGGAGGGGCAGAGCCCTATCTATTTTGGTCTGTGTGTGCTCTGCCCTCCTCAATGCCGCTTTCATTCCCCAAATACAAGAGAAGTCACTGCACTTCCTTTCCAATGCACTGGGGTGTCCCCCCCATTGCCCCCACTCTGACCATCACTGACCAGAGTGTGTGCGAAGGTGGCCAGTGAGTGCATCACGCCGGCGGCAAGCGTAGCTACAGAAGGGACATTTGAAGGGCTTCTCCCCGGAGTGCAGCTTGATGTGGCGCAGCAGGTTCCCCTTCTGGGTGAAGGAGGCTCCACACTGGTTGCAGTGGAAGGGCCTTTCCCCTGTGGGTGGAAAACAGATGCCAGAGGCCCCGGGGTGAGGGACTTCAGAGGCTGGAGAGTCCCCCAAGGGAGAGCGCCCCAAGGGAGGCTCTCAGAACACCTTTTTTTTTGAGAGGGCATCTCTCATATTTATTGATCAAATGGTTGTTAACAACAATAAAATTCTGTATAGGGGACTCAATGCTCAATGTACAATCATTAATCCACCCCAAGCCTAATTCTCGTCAGTCTCCAATCTTCTGAAGCATAACGAACAAGTTCTTACATAGCAGAACACCTTTTTTTGAGAGGCAGGACCAAGTTACACACCGAATCATGCTTCATGAAGATCCCTTGGAAACAGTTTCATTCTGGGAAGGTGTGGATCACAGGTGAGTGGAAGGGAGAAGGAAAACAGGATAGAACCCTGGGCCCAAAGACTATTGCCAAAAACTAAGCCCCACAGGGCTCACCCTGCCTTGGGAGCCTGAGGAAGGTGACAGGAGGCTTCTGTTTCTGCTTTTTAAATCATGAGACACAGGCGGTGGGTGGGAGGAGGAGGCAAACAACACTCAGGAGTCCTACCCCTTTTAAAGACTCTGGGACCTTTCTTGAGGCTACACCACCTCCATCTCCCGCACCTGCTGAGAGACACCAGCTCTTCACTATAGCAGCGGCTGAGGGAAGTGCCAGGGGAGTAAGGTACTGAGGAAGTCTACATCCCTCCCACCCTTTTTTCCATCAGCTAGGAAAGGTGCCAGAGACCCCTGAGGCTAACCCCTGCAGGCATGGCCTCCTAGCGAGCCTCTGGCCCGCAGGTCTCCCGGCCACTCACCTGTGTGGCTGCGCTTGTGCACCATGAGGACATTGGGTCCAATGCAGACCATGCCACAGACGTCACACTTGAGTTTGCCATTGGGCAGCCGGATGCCCCCAGGGGAGTGAGGCTCTGGCCCACTCCCATCACAGTAGCCCAGGGGCTCTGACAAGACATCTTCCACGATCACACTGTCGTCCTTTTCCAGAAGCCGCTCATCTGGCCCCAGCAGTCTACTTGACTCCTCATCGCTGTACATCTCTACCTTGATGGAGTTGGCTGGAGGGTGGGAGAGTATTTGGATAGAGACAGGCAAAGGTGGGAACATACCTACAGGCCAGAATGGCACTCTTGAAGTTCTGTAGGGTCTCCAGACCCTGAGACATTCAGGCTTTAAAGGAGGCACATACCCTAAGTAACCGTGGTAGTGGTATAAGGGTACTGCTGGGACCTGAAACTACCTTTTCTTCCTATCCCACCAACCAAGCAAATAGGTTTTAAAGCAAAAAGTTGGGGTACATGGGATATCTTCTGTCACTGGGGAGAGGAGGAGGCTAAGGGGAGTCTTTTTCTCCATTCTCTTGTCATTAAAAAATATGTCTGGCTTGGCCCTGGGTGGGAAGTCAGCAAATAACAGCGGTGGGAAAACAGTCCTAGGAAGACTGAAGAGCCAGAGCGCTGAAGAAAGAGAAAAACTGTGCAACAAATGGGGCTCACGCTGCCTTCCCTTCTGCACCACTAAGTCCTTCTACTACCTCAATACAAATCCAGATGGGGGATAGGGGAGGAGGAAGGGTGGCTCTAGCTCTGTCCTACATCCCTCCCTATTTCAGCCATTTAGAGAATTTCACAGACCTAGGGCCAGCTGAGGAGGGACAGTCCAGGGACTCTTTCTGGGAGGGAGAATTGGGGGGTGAGTAGGAGATCCTTCTCACCTCTATGGCTATCTAATTCCAGCTCAGAATCACCCTGTCTACTTGTTTCTCCAACCCCAGAATCTCTCTTTGGAGCTTCCACTCTAATCCCACCCTTGCCTGGCAGTGACCATTCACCCTCCTTTCAGAAGTCAGGAAAACTCTAGTCACTGAGCTCCCTAGTAGGTTTAGAGACCCTGAGCAGGAAACCAGAGGGAGGCAGAGAGGGGGAAATGGCTGCCAATGGAAGATGAATCAAAGGCTAAACACAAATGGGGGTGCCTAGTGCCAGGGCAGGGTGGGAGGCTGCACTTACCACTGAGTGAGCGGCTGGGAGAAGAATGCTGGCTATTGGGGGTGCTCACCGAGGGCCCCACTGGGGGCCCGAGGAACTCCTTCTCCAGAGATGAGTCTCCGCTACCTTGGGGAAGAGAACAAGAGCACAGGTGAAGCTGCAGCTGGGGCCATTTACAGTCCATCACCTCAGTTTTTCAAAACGCAGCTAAGTTTCACAAACATTTATCTTGTCACCAAGTGCAAGGTAGTGTTATACACTGGGCACCACACCTCATGCCCCCGCCAGCCTGTTTGCCCGGTGCTGCCTTCTGCGGGCTCAGTGGCTACACCTTGCCCACCCTACCTTTATCTAGGCCTGAGAGGAAGAGCATCACAGCCTGACGTCCACATGAAGCAAGGCTGGGGCTGGGTGGGCCAGGGTGGAGAGGGAAATGGGGGCCTTGGGAGGGAGGTGGTTCAGGACAGATGTTCTTCCCTATGTTCTTCTGCGGAGCCCCCAGCACCAGGTTGGGATCTGCAGGAAGGGCTACTGTAATTGCCCATGAATCTAACAATAACAACAGTAATCACGGTGGTAACAGCTGGTATTGATGAGTGCTTACTACGTACCAGGAGTGTTCTGTGCACTTTAAATTAGTTATCTCCCTTAGCCTTCACAACTCCATAAAGTAGGTGCCAATATTACCTTAATTTTGCAGATGAGGAAACTGACGCACAGAAGCAGCTGGGATATTTGTCCAAGGTCACATAGCTGGTAGCAGTGGGCCCTAGACTGGATCACAGTCAGTCTGTGCTCATAGCCTTAATTACCACCTACACACCCAATTGAGACTCATTGTTTCCACAGAGGAGGGGTTAGACTTTCTAAAATTAGCAAAAATGTGACAACTCTAGGAAGCTTTTGATCTGATATGATTCCAGTCACATTTCAATTTACTACTTGGTGTTCCCTTGACAGTGAAATAATCATTTTATATTTCAGAATATATTCATTTTAACTTGTTGACAAAATGCTTTGTAAAATGCATTTTGAGTTTCATGCATGTTTTTAAAAATCAGATAACATTACCTGAAAACATGAATCATTATCTTTAAAAAGAATCCCTCCTGCCCATAATCTTCTGCACAAATACACAGGTGAAATAAAACACGTAGGTAAACACACACACACACACACACAGACACATATCACATACGTAGATATACATGAGGAAAACATACCTATTGGGCTTAACACACCCAGAGCCTTCTACATTATCTGCTAACATGAACATGCATGGATGTGTGTACACAGGCCTAAATATGGAAGAGAGAGAGAAAGAGAGACAAACCCTAAAATTCATCCCTAAAGTCCACCTATTAGCATTTTACCCAATTTCCCAGCTATGCCCATACTTACTTTCACAAAATAAAGATTCCATTATATAATGGTTGGCGTCTTGGGCCTGAGGCAAGAAATCCGGAACACACCCTCCTGGGAGATCCCTCTCCAGCTTTGGTCAGTGGGAAGAAAACAGCCACTCAGGACTTTGGGACCATTTCCCATTCATATCCTCTCCTAAAGTCCCATTTCCCCCATTCTATCCCATCAAAATCTAAGGAAATTTGTTCACTATCTAGAGAAAATGCCTTATGGCTTGAAACTGTTTCCCCTGCTGGGGCCGTTTAGATAAGCCATAGCTTTCTTAAAAAGTTGCCCATATCAGAAACACATATACCATGAAGTGAGCATCTTAGCATTGTGGGTTGAAGACCTGTAGACTCAGACCCAGTTTTAAAGTATGTCCTGTAACTAAGTGTAGGGTTTACTATGGTTAGAAGGGCTGAAGAGGGTATCTTCTAATTCCTTCTCAAACCTTAGTGCTGACTTGCCCTAAATTATTTGATGTTAGTAATGGGGGAATAACAGAGTCTGGGCCCTGGTGATGAGCTCTGGACCGTAAAAGGATGAATGAGGCTGCTGGAAATCCATTGTTAGTCCCAGCCTACTAGGCTAAGTCTGCCTCTTGGGGCCAGGGGCTTGCTATATGGGAGAAAGTATCCTTAAAGGGATATTTGGGGACATTAAGGGGGAAATATCCTCTGTGGCTCTCCCTATTAAAGACTGGGAACAGAAGGAAGAACAGGTGCCTCCAAAGTCACACTAGCAGTTCAAGAGGCTCTTTGATGCCACTGCCCTCCCTACGATAAAGTTTAGAGGGAAACAGGCTCAAGTCTATTTTTATGGGGCTAACACATAGAAATGAATCCATTCCAGGGGTCAGAAAGGCTTTATGGGACCCCAGGGATTTTGAGTTCTAGCCAGAGGATGGAGGAGACCAGAGTCAGATTTAGGAAGTTCAGTAGTCCCTCTCTCAGCCAGAGAAACCCCAGTGAAAGAATTTCAAATGCCCGGGACTCCCAAGAAATCCTGGACTGTCAAAGCCAATAATTAAGGCCATTCTTAGGTCCCAGAGAAATTTTCTTGGTCAAAGTCATCATAGATTGGCTGAACCCTCAGAGGGCAAAGCGAAATCATGAGGTTCACTGGGAGCTAGGAACTAGGAGGTGGGTAAAGGGCAGAAAAGCAGGAGGGAGAGATAGGAGCCAGGGCAATGTCCTACAAGCTCAATGTGTTCACATGCTGAAGGAGACTAGTCCTCCACTTTGGTTGCCCTTTCTTGGTCTCTTCAGAGTGGCCACCTCTTAGGGAGGAGCTGTGAGGCCAGAAAATCTCCATACCTCTCTGCAAGGAACCTCATCCTCACTGCTTTCCCTTTCTTGACCATGGGCTCTGGGTGGCAGGATGCTAGTCTGCCAGCAGGGAACAGCAGGTACAGGAGCAAGGATGGATGCCCACCCCCAGCTCTACTATGGGGAAGAGGCTGAGGCCCCTACATCTGTTTCAGGCTGAGGTTCCCCTTTACCTCCAACGTATTACCCATTCCCACCCAGGCCTGCCTTGGCATTTCACCCTGGGCAGCTCTACAGCTGTCCCCAAGGCCTAATCAAGATGTCACCACGCTCCCACTGTCCAAGTCGCAGCCTTTGCTCAGCTACACCGCACACCCTCCCCTCCTCCAGGTGTGGGGAGGATGCCGCCTCCCCTGCTGTGCCGGCCCCCATCCTCTCCCTCTCCTTAGGCTGGGGACTTGTCACTGAACTAGCTCCCTGGCCCGGCACCCTCCCCCTCCACTAGCCACCTTCTGCCTGAACTTACATTATCCTTCCCTTGCCGGTGAGACCCTGGAGTGCGAATGCGGCCGCCGCCTTGGAAACGGCGAGGGAGTGCAGGCGGTGTATGCATGTCTGCGTCTCGGTGGCAGGCAGGGGTGAGCCCAGCCACTCACCTTCCAGGAAGCGTGGATTCCTGGAAGTGAGGGGAACCGCCGTCATTTCGCAGGCAGCGGTGAGCAGGGGCCCACGGCTGGGCTGCAGCCAGAAGAGCTCAGCCCCGGGTGTGTGTGAGTGAGTGTGTGTGTGTGTGTGTGTGTGTGTGAGAGAGAGAGAGAGAGAGAGAGAGAGTATGTGTAAGACAGAGAGAGAGGGAGGCGGAGGGAGGGAAGGAGAGGGAGAGAGCGTGAGGAAGCGCAAGCTTGGATGTGCTTGGGGAGGGGGCTGGAGAGCACATCGAGTGTCTGGCTGGGGAGCGCTAGGCTACAGCATCCCCTGCCCATGCCGGGAAAGGGATGGGGAGTGGTGGGTGTGCACAAAGAGGGGGAGGCAGATGCCCTTGCCCTCGTGCCCAGCAGACAAAGAGGAATGGCACAACAAATGCCTGAGAGAGGCAAGAGAGAGATGCGGATGGGCCCTGGGGTGGTAGGAAGGGGAGCCTCCCCGGAAGGCCCAATCCTCTGCCAGCTGGGGAAGCCAAGGACCCAGAGGTCCCGGGGCCCAGGACACCAGGCAGCTTCAAGGCTCCACTATCGGTGAGAGCTCCTCCCCACAAACTCAGGCACTCCTTTCCCTCCTCCTCCAGGAGGGAAGTGCTCGCTAGACCAGGGGACTGACAGCCCCTACTTCCTAGCAGTGAAAGGGTTGGCAGTCTGGTCTCAGGATAGCGTTACTCTGTGGCCCTGAGCCCTTTCAGATCCCAGGCAAAATTCTGGTATAGTTTCCCCACCTCCCCTCTCTCCCGTGCCGTGGAGCCCCAGCAGCCAACAGCCCTGGATAAATCTGCCTTCTTTCAAGACAAGGCTTCTGTTCCCTTCCCTTCCAGAGTTGCTGCTCACTGATGTGCTGACCTACTTTGGAGACTAGATTTTCTGATTCCAAGAATCTGGGGATGGAAGAGGCCTTGAAAGTTTGGGCTGCCCACCCCTGGATCCCGTTCTAGTAAGGTTCCCTTAAACATTTCAGTCCCAGCAAACTTGGGACAAGCACTGCTCAGTCAGTCAACTGCCTGTGCTGGGTTTGAGTTTCCCTTGAAAGATAGGGAATGGGAGTGGGGAGAGATCTGGTGGTAAATTAATGGGCTCCTTCACTCCCCCAGGAGGGAATGATCTGCATCTCTACAAACAGACAGGGGAGGAAAGGGCTGTATCAGGTTCTGTGAGAAGGGAAAATCTCTAAAGAACAGGAGAGATACCCACTTCGTTAAGTGGCCAGGTGAGGAAAGGCTGCCCAGTGTGGAGGCAGAAGTGCTGTGGTGCCTGGCGCACCAGGCAGCCTCTCCCACAGCTACTGTATGGTCCCAGGAGGGCCAGTCAGGGATGGGCTCTCAGATGCCACTCAGTCTGACTGTCTCCACCATGCCCAGTCATGGAGGGGCTACTCTGCAGCACTAAGGTTAGCCCTACCTCAGCTTTCACTCTCTAAGGTAGCTGCTGACTTCTAGAATTCTCAAAACACAGATGAGGGTTTCTGGCCTCCACTTCCACACAAAAGACATACTGTGCAGGGTTGCCTTCTCATCTAGGAAATACCAGCCTGCTGACAGGAGGAAAAGCTCAGTGTCCTAGCACAATGAAGTTTTCCTCTAATATCCAACATTCTTCAGAGACAGGATTGAAAATAGCTCTGTGAGCTATTTCCCCAGGTACCTTCCTAGTTTTTCATGAGCTTGCCTTAGGGCAGGGACTGGTTTTTATTGTCTAAGTAGTCCCCGGCAATGAAACAGGGTCCGGAGCATTGCTATTGCTCAACAGTGGTTTTCTGAATAAGCTTAAGTGAACAAAAGGTAGGAGGACTGGTTGGTTCCTCAGAATGGCCACGACTTTACTTCCCATAAGGTCTCTTTCAGTTAAGTGGGACTCAATCCCTGTCACTCTGTCCAGCATGTGTCAGGTACTGAATGCCTTTACCAATCCCAACTCCTTCCCTCTTTGAATGAGAAAGGGGTCAAAGTACGTGTCTTACTTTATATTACTCAGGTGTGTCAATAACTGTTATGCTGTCTCTGTCTCATCTTGCTATCTCCCTTAGCACATGCCCATTTTTCCTCCACTGGCCCCACTTGAGGGTAAAAAAAAAAAGACATAGGTCACTTGTATAATGGTGTGTGAATTTCTGATGTGGATATGCACCATGTCAAAACCCATTTCTGGATTCCCTTTCTTCTTATAATCATTTCCTGCCCTGACAGTCTAATAGTCCAAACATTCCTCCCATCTGAAAGACAAACTCTGTCTTAGACTCTTTTCTACACTGTCACATTCCTGCAGTCTCAAAGAGGGATTCAGATAAAGTTCATTTCTTTTCACCTTGTTAAGTTCTGAGAGGATCTAGATTGCTTTCATATTTCTAAAAGCCACTCATACTATATGTAGTGGTCTCGTCTGTCTCAGAGCATTTGGCAGGTATGAAGGCTATGACATGTTATGATCATGGTAAAGGACTAGTGGACACAAGAATTGAACTCTATTTCTTGACTTCAAAGGCTATCAATTGTTGGCCTACTGTTTGTAGAGATGCAGATCATTCCCTCCTGGGGGAGTGAAGGAGCCAGCTGGTAGATAAGTTTGGCCTGTTTCATAGAACGTTTTTTAAATATTGAGTCATTGTTTTAAAATGGAGATAGTTCATGCAAAATCTGGATTTTGATTTCTCTTAAAAAAGTGGGAGTTCTACCCCGAATAGCCAAAGCAATCCTGAGAAGGAAGAATAAAGCAGGGGGGATCTCGTCTCCCAACTTCAAGCTCTACTACAAAGCCACAGTAATTAAGACAATTTGGAACTGGCACAAGAACAGACCCACAGACCAGTGGAACAGAATAGAGAGTCCAGATATTAACCTAAACATATGTGGTCAATTAATATACGATTAAGGAGCCATGGATATACAATGGGGAAATGACAGCCTCTTCAACAGCTGGTGTTGGCAAAACTGGTCAGCTACATGTAAGAGAATGAAACCGGATCACTGTCTAATCCCATACACAAAAGTAAATTAGAAATGGATCAAAGACCTGAATGAAAGTCATGAAACCATAAAACTCTTAGAAAAAAACATAGGCAAAAATCTCTTGGACAGAAACGTGAGCGACTTCTTCATGAACATATCTCCCTGGGCAAGGGAAACAAAAGCAAAAATGAACAAGTGGGACTGTATCAAGCTGAAAAGCTTCTGTACAGCAAAGGACACCACCAATAGAACAAAAAGGCATCCTACAGTATGGGAGAATATATTCATAAATGACAGATCCAATAAAGGGTTGACATCCAAAATACATAAAGAGCTCACCCACCTCAACAAACAAAAAGCAAATAATGCAATTAAAAAATGGGCAGAGGAGCTGAACAGACAGTTCTCCAAAGAAGAAATTCAGAAGGCCAACAGGCACATGAAAAGATGCTCCACATCGCTAGTCATCAGAGAAATGCAAATTAAAACCACAATGAGATATCACCTCACACAAGTAAGGATCGCCACCATCCAAAAGACAAACAACAACAAATGTTGGCGAGGTTGTGGAGAAAAGGGGACCCTCCTACACTGCTGGTGGGAATGTAAACCAGTTTAAACATTGTGGAAAGCAGTATGGAGGTTCCTCAAAAAACTCAAAATAGAAATACCATTTGACCCAGGAATTCCACTTCTAGGAATTTACCCTAAGAATGCAGCAGCCCAGTTTGAAAAAGACATATGCACCTTATGTTTATCACAGCACTATTTACAATAGCCAAGAAATGGAAGCAACCTAAGTGTCCAGCAGTAGATGAATGGATAAAGAAGATGTGGTACATATACACAATGGAATATTATTCAGCCATAAGAAGAAAACAAATCCTACCATTTGCAACAACATGGATGGAGCTAGAGGGTATTATGCTCAGTGAAATAAGCCAGGCAGAGAAAGACAAGTACCAAATGATTTCACTCATCTGTGGAGTATAAGAACAAAGAAAAAAACTAAAGGAGCAAAACAGCAGCAGACTCACAGAACCCAAGAATGGACTAACAGTTACCAAAGGGAAAGGGACTGGGGGGGATGAGTGGGAAGGGTGGGATAAGGGGGAGGGGGAAGAAAGGGGGCACTCTGATTTGCATGTATAATGTGGGGCAGGGCACAGGGAGGGCTGTACAACACAGGGAAGACAAGTAGTGATTCTACAACATCTTACTAGGCTGATGGACTATAATGGGGGCATGGTGGGGGGGTCTTGGTGATGGGCGACTTCATGAACATATCTCCCTCTAGTAAACATAATGTTCCTCATGTAATTGTAGATTAACGATACCAAAATTTAAAAAAAGAAAAAAGTGGGAGTTCTGGCCACAATGGATATCCCATGTGGCAATGATGGGTGGCCACCTAAGAGCTGTTGCCCCTTGAGGTAGGACCTGTGCTCTCCAGTTCATGACAGTACCCACTGCTCTCTTCTGCTCATTATCCTAACCCACTTCACTCATTTACATACCACCTGGTCACTTAGGCCCCCGAGGTTTAAATCCCTCCTCCACTCTCTACTAGGCTGAGACAGAATGTCATGTTTGGCTGGTGACCTCAGAGCGCAGGATAAAGAATCACACCTTCCTTCCACCTCTTTGCTTCAAATCACTCCTTTCTCAAATTTAACTCCTCTCCTGACATGTTTGCCTATTCCCCACCCCTTTCCCTGTCCTCAGTGTCTGGGGAGGGGATGTGAAAATGGCCCAAAGGAATGCACACTATCAAACACTACCAAGTGTGTCAGCGCAGTGACTAGGGCACTCAGGTCCTGTGCTAGGCTGAAGCAGCCACTCCGCTCACAGGACTCCGCTCCTGACCCCTTACAAACAATGCACAAGTGAGCATACCAGACATATAGGAGCGGCCATTGCAGTCTTCTAGGTCCATCTTAGCGAGATTCTGTGGAAAGAGAAAACAGCTGACATTAGAAGCCAGATCTGGGAAGGAGGAAGTTTCTCTCTAAGGTTCCGGAGTTGGCAAGAAACCTAAAGGTAAATGCGCTCTGATCCTAAAAAATAAAGCCTCATATTTCGTCCAGGCAATGTGTCCTGACTTACAAACCCCAGAGCCTCTTCCAACCCACAACTTCGGCAGGCTTTCCCAGCCGCTTAGCATGAAGACACAGTCATATTCCGGAGTGGTTCTGAGCATGCGGTTTTGAGAGTAGACCCTCCCCCTGTAGGTGGAGCTGATGCTGTGGGAAAGTAGACAGGTTACAGGTCAGCCCTGGGGGCAGCCTCTATAAGAGCTAATTAAGGGTCGGGTAGAAAAGAGGAAGAGGCCAGGTTCCATCATTCAAGGGATTCTTTTTTGGGTGTGCAGCAGGAGGAAGGCCAACAGGAAAGTAGAAAATGGGAGAGAGCAGCCCACCTCAGGACTCAGTGAGGAGTCCTCTACCAAGGTGTAATAAAGAAATTAAACCTCTAAGTGGTGTCCCCTACCCTTTCATCAATTACCCTGCTTTTTTTTTAAGGAGAGAGGAGCCTGGATTTACCATGCAGGTTAGGATGAGGGAAGGCAAGCAGTAACTGGCAGTTAGAGTATTAAACAATCTGGAACTGAGAAACATTAAAGGTGATAATTTGTTGCAATGAATTATCTCCTTATGAGCCTGTGGGAGGAGAAAAAAAAATCTATTTGGTGGAGATGTACATATATCGGAACTTGATTTCACCAGTAATTAATGAAAAATAAATACCCCAGGGGAAGATTTGAGGGAACAAGTGTATGGCAAGGGGCTTGAGCTGCCACCGAGATTCATGGTCTCTTTGAAGGCTCTCACTGAGGCAGATGGATAAAAGTTTGGTCTGCTTGTAGTCCTATATTGACACATGGGGGCAGGGGGTCTATTACCATCGCTTCCCATCACTCTGGTCATTCTTGTCTGAGAGACATCACACTCCTCTACAAAGTCTCATGAGAAAGCCTGGAACATGGGCTTTCCTTCACTTCACAAAGCAGATCTCCCTGAGATTTCATTGAGAGATTCCTAGTCTCACCCAGGAAGCCTGGATGTGGAAGAAAAAATTCTCTTAAGTTGATTTTCAACTCCTCTTTTCTTGACACCTTCCCAGGGATGGACAAGGCTTGGTACTGAGATTTGGATTGGCAGATGAAGCCACAGTAAGTGGTTCCTTGAAGACTCCCTTAGGGGCAATGCTTAGAAGAGCCCAAGTCCACAGTGATGAGTGATTTCATACCCTCTGGAATTAGCCACAGAACTTGCAGTGGTCAGAGACCTAAAGATGAGAGAGGATGACCTGGTATTCATAGGCTGCTTTCATTTCCAAATCATTAGCTCCATAATTGCCCCTTGGGATTTTTCAAAATGCAAAGCTCAAGATGCCACATGTGACTACACACACACATATGCAGGAAAAGCAGCAGTGAGTGGAATTTTTCCCATTTTCTGCTTGGAGAAACTCAGAGCAGTTAAGTGACTTGTCTCAGGGCTCATGCTTAAGACTGGAACAAGATAAAGAACATAAGTATCCTGCCTCTCTGAGGTGTGCTCTTTCCATTAACCTATCTTGCTACCTTTTGAAAGCCTGGGTACCCTAGGCCTTCATGGATCTTTTTGCTTTTCCACTGTTCTAACATCAATTAAAGAATCTTTTCCTTTGGTGTGATCCCATGGGAGCGCAGTCTGTTACTTAAAAAGGAAGAGCAAGTTGAGCAGGCTCTACAGGGAGAAGTATGCTAATGTGTCCGCGTATGTGTCCTGTGTGAACCAGGGCTAGAGTAGCACTGGGTGGGCAGAGCAGCTGGGGCATAGCACCCAGCATGGCACTGGGTCAGGTACAGCATCTCATTCTTGGGCACTTGCCCAGATGGCCCCAAAACAATTTTCAGAAGGGTCTGAAGGAGTTGTTTCTGAGTTAGACTTTGTGCCTGGCAGTAAACTGAGCTCTTCTGCTTCTTACCTGCTCTTAGCAGGTACTCTGGGACACATCTTAGGCAAGATCAGTCTTTCACTTCCTCCATCTGGTTTAAATGCCAAGTTGGTAACCCCAGGAGTGAGAAGGGATAGAGACTCTGCTGTTCTCAGTCCTGGCATTCTGAAAGCCAGGTAGGTAGACTTCAGTTTGCTCAAGTCTCCCTCTCAACCTTCCAGCTCCCAACCCTTCAAAGCACTTCCTCCCCTGCCTGGCCAGGAAGGCAGATCCTAGTGTCTCCTTGGAGGAACTAGGCCAAATCACACAGCGCCAACTGGAGACACATTCCAGGGGGAGGAGGTATAAGGAGAGAGAAGTTAGTTATACAAGACAAGTTTGGCTCAAAGATCTTGGAAGTAAACTCACTTGATAGCAACATAGACATCATTCATGGATGGGGTAGGCACACACATACTGTGAATTCAGTTCAGTGACTTGGATACAAAGCAACAAGAAACAATTAGTTTCCCAATTCAAAAGGAATTATCTCTAAGGAGGGAGGTCATTGTAACCCTGGAAACAGATCTTCTTCCTAGTTCTTTTGAATCCACTTGGCACCAAAGCAAGAGTCCTCCATGGCCCTGGCTTTCTTTTCATTAACATGACATGACATTTGAACAGGAAGGGGCAGGAAGGGGCATTCTTTTTAGACAGATACCCCACCACACTTCTTGACAAGAGACAGGTGAGGATCAAGCCAAGGTCTGACTTCAAGGGCAGGGAAGGCGTCAGCTACCATCCCCATCTCCCAAAAAACATTCCCACAGCTCTAACTACTGGTAACAAAAATGTCAGAAAGTCAAGTTTTCTCTATGTAGTGGCTCTGAAAACCTGAAATATGATGGACATCACAAGTAATTAAATCTCTTCAGATGCACCAAAAAATCCTGTTTGATATAGTGACGATGCAAAATTGGGATTTAAAACACACTCCATGTGGCCCAATGGGTAGAAAGGTAGTGAGGAGGGTATTGTGGTGGAAGAGGGTGGAGGTGGAAACAATGGGAAGCATCCATGCCATCCCAAACCACAAAAGGGAGTTTTGTAAGGCTGTTAGTTCCAAACTACAAAAGGGAGAAGTAGAAATTTTTTCTCTGGTCTTCCTTCAGACCTGGGATCTAAGACAACTTCCCACCTGCCTGGGAGTGAGCAGTTCAGGTACTGCAAGTAGATCAAACCCATAGCATCGTGCTGTTCTCTGTGCCTTCCTGAGCTCAGTGAGATCTGGGTGAAGAGATGCTGCATCACACAGCTGGCTCTGCTTGTGTGGGGAGGTGGGGGGAGGGCAAAGGGTTGAGAGAAGAGGTAGAATTAGGTATTATCTGCAACCTGCCTGCATGCCCCTTTCCAGGAAACAGACCTGGATGCTGAGCAATTTCGAGCTCTAAAATGATTTTTAAGGTCAACCTAGTGCCCTCTGAAGGAAACCCACCAACCTTTTCTCAGCTCATTTGTCTGTCTGACTAATTTTTTCACCAGGCAGTAGATAATGACCTTCTGTCTACATATAACACAGACGAAGACAGCTCAGCTTCATTATCCAAGTGCTTGGACAGCAGCGCAGAGGGGATGAATTCTCAGATCATCCTAGGATTGGCCAGCCTCTAAAATAAGAAGGGTAAGAGCTGGAAACACACCTGTGCAGTGGGAAAATATCATGTCATTGTCTCCTTTTAGATCTCAGATGGATGCGTCTTTTTTCTGGTTCTTTGTGCCTCCCTGCCCTCCATGGAGGCTGCAGAACAGAGAGGCGGCTAAGGTTTGTGAGTGGGAGGAGAAACAATCCTGCCCCTCCGTCTCATTTCAGGACTGAAGAAACCAAGGAAAGGGCTAACTGAACAGTATAAATCACTAGGTATGATGCACATGAGATGATACCTTCTGGGGTTGGGTATACCATTGAGTAGGCAAGCCCTGTGTTTATAGGAGGGCCCTACAAGTCATTGGTGTTCAGCTATGTTTGGGCAGGGTAAAGAAAGCAGAGCAGGGGGGCTCAGTAATAATGTTTTGAAATCAAAGATACCTGAAACAGGGTTAGCTTTATCAAGTGAAGTTTGAAATTACATGAAAGTCTCAATTAACTATACTGACTGGGGTAGGGTGGCAAAAAGGTGGAAGAGACAGCAACAATTGCCTTTAGAGCAGTACTGACCAAAAGTCTTTAATGCACACTGTTCAAAACAGCTCAGTGTTGTTTGGGACTAAAAGATGTGTTTAGGCTCCCATGCTAGCAAAGAACCTTGCTCTGACAATCCAATTTAGTAAGCCTCTCTTCATGCAGATGGCCCGGGCCAGCAGTACTCTAGCACCTGGGAAATCTTGGAGCTAGAATGGAATTGAGAGATCATTTCCGATCTCTTGGTTTTTAACAGAAGAAGAAACTAAGCCCAGAGTCACTGGTTAGCGACTGAAGTAGGACAAATAAAACCCATGTTAGCAGTCTGGTAAATCTTGCCATAGCTGCTTGCTTTCTTAGGTAATGAAGTGAGCAGTTTTGGTGCCTGTATCTTAATGACTTAAATCCTTCAACTAGAAACACGGGTTTATGGATGGGAGAAGAAATAATTCTATCTTTCTGGTCTCTTTTCAGAGATTATGGGCCTGAAGAAAGTACAATCTAGACACTAAGTCTCTTTAAAGTATAAACAGAACTCCTTGGCTCAAGGATTACACCAGCATATACATTCCAGCAGAGGCTACAGGCTGATGCTACCCAGAGGGGTGGAGGGAGACAGATGAGGCCATTCATATCAACACTACCATTTCTTAGATACTTTCCTCAGATTAACCTTGAACCTGTCTGTTTCCAACACAGAATTCACATCTCTTCTAAGAAGAGAAGGCAAATCAAGCAGCCTGGAATTCAGAGTCTTCTCCAGCAGGATTAAGAAACCAACAAAGAGAGTCTGCTGTGGCAATGTCTACACTGACAGAATTCCACGCTCTTATTTGTTCCTCCAGAGTAAAATGAGGCCAGAAATACCTGCCAACAATAACCTATCTTAATTTTTCCTGGCTACTTTGTATGTGTTGAGGGAAGAGAGCGAGACAGTTGCGAGAAAATCATTCTTTTGCGGATGTTGGGGAGGGGGTGGTAAAAGATAGAATAATATTTCGCCCATGCTGGGAAGTACAAGCTGCATGTTTAAACTCAGAGGAAATAAAGAAGAAACTTTCAATTGCATTTTCACTGGAAAAAAGTCAGGACTTATTTCTAAGCCAAGTCCTGAAAAATGCTTTACCCTTAACCTACTAAGAGAAAGGGGACTGCATATAAGATACAATTGAACTAAAGGCACTTACTTAGTGGGCAAAAAAGCCATTATATTTTGTGCTGGAGACATCAGTGTCTATTGACTAAGGCAAGAACAGTTCTGAAGCTGCCAGCCAGAAGACAGCTCCCACACGCTGGGGCCCACCCCAGAAGCTCCCATGAGATTTCTCCTGCTTTATAACTGTAAGGCTATTTTCTTCTTTTAAGGCTTTATTTTTATCTCAGGAGCCACTCTTAAATTAGCCACAGAACTTGCAGTGGTCAGAGACCTAAAGATGAGAGAGGATGACCTGGTATTCATAGGCTGCTTTCATTTCCAAATCATTAGCTCCATAATTGCCCCTTGGGATTTTTCAAAATGCAAAGCTCAAGATGCCACATGTGACTACACACACACATATGCAGGAAAAGCAGCAGTGAGTGGAATTTTTCCCATTTTCTGCTTGGAGAAACTCAGAGCAGTTAAGTGACTTGTCTCAGGGCTCATGCTTAAGACTGGAACAAGATAAAGAACATAAGTATCCTGCCTCTCTGAGGTGTGCTCTTTCCATTAACCTATCTTGCTACCTTTTGAAAGCCTGGGTACCCTAGGCCTTCATGGATCTTTTTGCTTTTCCACTGTTCTAACATCAATTAAAGAATCTTTTCCTTTGGTGTGATCCCATGGGAGCGCAGTCTGTTACTTAAAAAGGAAGAGCAAGTTGAGCAGGCTCTACAGGGAGAAGTATGCTAATGTGTCCGCGTATGTGTCCTGTGTGAACCAGGGCTAGAGTAGCACTGGGTGGGCAGAGCAGCTGGGGCATAGCACCCAGCATGGCACTGGGTCAGGTACAGCATCTCATTCTTGGGCACTTGCCCAGATGGCCCCAAAACAATTTTCAGAAGGGTCTGAAGGAGTTGTTTCTGAGTTAGACTTTGTGCCTGGCAGTAAACTGAGCTCTTCTGCTTCTTACCTGCTCTTAGCAGGTACTCTGGGACACATCTTAGGCAAGATCAGTCTTTCACTTCCTCCATCTGGTTTAAATGCCAAGTTGGTAACCCCAGGAGTGAGAAGGGATAGAGACTCTGCTGTTCTCAGTCCTGGCATTCTGAAAGCCAGGTAGGTAGACTTCAGTTTGCTCAAGTCTCCCTCTCAACCTTCCAGCTCCCAACCCTTCAAAGCACTTCCTCCCCTGCCTGGCCAGGAAGGCAGATCCTAGTGTCTCCTTGGAGGAACTAGGCCAAATCACACAGCGCCAACTGGAGACACATTCCAGGGGGAGGAGGTATAAGGAGAGAGAAGTTAGTTATACAAGACAAGTTTGGCTCAAAGATCTTGGAAGTAAACTCACTTGATAGCAACATAGACATCATTCATGGATGGGGTAGGCACACACATACTGTGAATTCAGTTCAGTGACTTGGATACAAAGCAACAAGAAACAATTAGTTTCCCAATTCAAAAGGAATTATCTCTAAGGAGGGAGGTCATTGTAACCCTGGAAACAGATCTTCTTCCTAGTTCTTTTGAATCCACTTGGCACCAAAGCAAGAGTCCTCCATGGCCCTGGCTTTCTTTTCATTAACATGACATGACATTTGAACAGGAAGGGGCAGGAAGGGGCATTCTTTTTAGACAGATACCCCACCACACTTCTTGACAAGAGACAGGTGAGGATCAAGCCAAGGTCTGACTTCAAGGGCAGGGAAGGCGTCAGCTACCATCCCCATCTCCCAAAAAACATTCCCACAGCTCTAACTACTGGTAACAAAAATGTCAGAAAGTCAAGTTTTCTCTATGTAGTGGCTCTGAAAACCTGAAATATGATGGACATCACAAGTAATTAAATCTCTTCAGATGCACCAAAAAATCCTGTTTGATATAGTGACGATGCAAAATTGGGATTTAAAACACACTCCATGTGGCCCAATGGGTAGAAAGGTAGTGAGGAGGGTATTGTGGTGGAAGAGGGTGGAGGTGGAAACAATGGGAAGCATCCATGCCATCCCAAACCACAAAAGGGAGTTTTGTAAGGCTGTTAGTTCCAAACTACAAAAGGGAGAAGTAGAAATTTTTTCTCTGGTCTTCCTTCAGACCTGGGATCTAAGACAACTTCCCACCTGCCTGGGAGTGAGCAGTTCAGGTACTGCAAGTAGATCAAACCCATAGCATCGTGCTGTTCTCTGTGCCTTCCTGAGCTCAGTGAGATCTGGGTGAAGAGATGCTGCATCACACAGCTGGCTCTGCTTGTGTGGGGAGGTGGGGGGAGGGCAAAGGGTTGAGAGAAGAGGTAGAATTAGGTATTATCTGCAACCTGCCTGCATGCCCCTTTCCAGGAAACAGACCTGGATGCTGAGCAATTTCGAGCTCTAAAATGATTTTTAAGGTCAACCTAGTGCCCTCTGAAGGAAACCCACCAACCTTTTCTCAGCTCATTTGTCTGTCTGACTAATTTTTTCACCAGGCAGTAGATAATGACCTTCTGTCTACATATAACACAGACGAAGACAGCTCAGCTTCATTATCCAAGTGCTTGGACAGCAGCGCAGAGGGGATGAATTCTCAGATCATCCTAGGATTGGCCAGCCTCTAAAATAAGAAGGGTAAGAGCTGGAAACACACCTGTGCAGTGGGAAAATATCATGTCATTGTCTCCTTTTAGATCTCAGATGGATGCGTCTTTTTTCTGGTTCTTTGTGCCTCCCTGCCCTCCATGGAGGCTGCAGAACAGAGAGGCGGCTAAGGTTTGTGAGTGGGAGGAGAAACAATCCTGCCCCTCCGTCTCATTTCAGGACTGAAGAAACCAAGGAAAGGGCTAACTGAACAGTATAAATCACTAGGTATGATGCACATGAGATGATACCTTCTGGGGTTGGGTATACCATTGAGTAGGCAAGCCCTGTGTTTATAGGAGGGCCCTACAAGTCATTGGTGTTCAGCTATGTTTGGGCAGGGTAAAGAAAGCAGAGCAGGGGGGCTCAGTAATAATGTTTTGAAATCAAAGATACCTGAAACAGGGTTAGCTTTATCAAGTGAAGTTTGAAATTACATGAAAGTCTCAATTAACTATACTGACTGGGGTAGGGTGGCAAAAAGGTGGAAGAGACAGCAACAATTGCCTTTAGAGCAGTACTGACCAAAAGTCTTTAATGCACACTGTTCAAAACAGCTCAGTGTTGTTTGGGACTAAAAGATGTGTTTAGGCTCCCATGCTAGCAAAGAACCTTGCTCTGACAATCCAATTTAGTAAGCCTCTCTTCATGCAGATGGCCCGGGCCAGCAGTACTCTAGCACCTGGGAAATCTTGGAGCTAGAATGGAATTGAGAGATCATTTCCGATCTCTTGGTTTTTAACAGAAGAAGAAACTAAGCCCAGAGTCACTGGTTAGCGACTGAAGTAGGACAAATAAAACCCATGTTAGCAGTCTGGTAAATCTTGCCATAGCTGCTTGCTTTCTTAGGTAATGAAGTGAGCAGTTTTGGTGCCTGTATCTTAATGACTTAAATCCTTCAACTAGAAACACGGGTTTATGGATGGGAGAAGAAATAATTCTATCTTTCTGGTCTCTTTTCAGAGATTATGGGCCTGAAGAAAGTACAATCTAGACACTAAGTCTCTTTAAAGTATAAACAGAACTCCTTGGCTCAAGGATTACACCAGCATATACATTCCAGCAGAGGCTACAGGCTGATGCTACCCAGAGGGGTGGAGGGAGACAGATGAGGCCATTCATATCAACACTACCATTTCTTAGATACTTTCCTCAGATTAACCTTGAACCTGTCTGTTTCCAACACAGAATTCACATCTCTTCTAAGAAGAGAAGGCAAATCAAGCAGCCTGGAATTCAGAGTCTTCTCCAGCAGGATTAAGAAACCAACAAAGAGAGTCTGCTGTGGCAATGTCTACACTGACAGAATTCCACGCTCTTATTTGTTCCTCCAGAGTAAAATGAGGCCAGAAATACCTGCCAACAATAACCTATCTTAATTTTTCCTGGCTACTTTGTATGTGTTGAGGGAAGAGAGCGAGACAGTTGCGAGAAAATCATTCTTTTGCGGATGTTGGGGAGGGGGTGGTAAAAGATAGAATAATATTTCGCCCATGCTGGGAAGTACAAGCTGCATGTTTAAACTCAGAGGAAATAAAGAAGAAACTTTCAATTGCATTTTCACTGGAAAAAAGTCAGGACTTATTTCTAAGCCAAGTCCTGAAAAATGCTTTACCCTTAACCTACTAAGAGAAAGGGGACTGCATATAAGATACAATTGAACTAAAGGCACTTACTTAGTGGGCAAAAAAGCTATTATATTTTGTGCTGGAGACATCAGTGTCTATTGACTAAGGCAAGAACAGTTCTGAAGCTGCCAGCCAGAAGACAGCTCCCACACGCTGGGGCCCACCCCAGAAGCTCCCATGAGATTTCTCCTGCTTTATAACTGTAAGGCTATTTTCTTCTTTTAAGGCTTTATTTTTATCTCAGGAGCCACTCTTCTGCCTATTCTCATGACCCAGAGAGCTGTCTAGATTCTCTGGCTTTAGGCTGTTAGTCGGGGTGGGGGTGGAGGGCTGAAGTATCCCATATACCATAAAGCAAGATTCACTGACCTACTGGAGACCATGAGGAGATAAGGGATTCTCAGCGAGGCATTTCACATACCCCTACCAAATGAGACACCACACACCCAAAGATGATCTGATTTGGTCTTTTATCTGGTCTTGTCCTCAGAATCCGAGATACCTTATGCAGAAATATTCTAGGTAGTCAGTCACCTGTTCTTAATGCTTCCTAAGGATATGAACACGTACCTTCACCCAAGTAAAGTGAACAAGTAGCAGTATTGGGAGACACCCAGGCCTCCAGTCTCCAACTTGCCCATGATGATGAAAGGCCTAAAGCTGACATGTGAGCAAGTCAGGAACATACCAAGCTCACCACGATGCTTTGAGGGGTCAGACTAGGGAGACTTGGGCACAGATGAAGCTATCAAACATGTAAGTGGGGGTTGACAAGAGTCACAACAGTAGACAGTTTTGCTTAAGAGAAGGGACTTGAGGAGAAAGAAGGTATGCAAAGCTTGACATAATGTGGTCAGTAATGTAGCAAATCTTCCTGGAAGCACAGTTAAGTAAATTCTTGACCTTGTAGGGGGAAAAGGGGTACCTTATTTCCTAAACATCTCATATCTAAAGATTCGTGTTCCATTAAACATTCTACTGTCCCCAGACAGGACCAGTTATGATAAAAAAAAAAAAGCATAGAAATTGAATGAAAAATTTAAGTGAGAACCTACGACTCTAGCAGACAAGGGGTAAGAAAATATCTGGGGATGGGGCAGTTCGAGGAGGTACATGGAGGGCTATTTTGGTTTAGACTGCTTCTCAAGTCTGCTCTGTTCTATTCTTTCTTAAGGTTCACATACAGTGAATCTCGTCCTTTCCAGCTTTGCTTCTCAAGTTCCCTAGACTTCTCACCCCAGACAACTCTTTCCACTCCACCCTAAGTTTTTTCTCTACCACGTTTCTCCCACTCTGCTCACTGGCACCCTGATCTGCCCACCTAGGCCTATGTCCTTCTCTCCAGCATTATCGACAAAACCCCAGGATCCCTCATCTTTCTGCCCAAGTACCTTCTCTGCTTCTTTCTTCCGCTGTGTCTCTGTTCTTTCTACCCAAGCCGTACCCCACCGAGAAGCCTCACACACCCAGCTTTTGTCCTCGGTCCACGGCCTCGACCCGGCTCCCGCCTTTTAAGGACCCCTAGGGCCGTGCTACCTCCTCCTTAACTCCGAGACCCATGCCCAACTGCCCCGGGCCAGCTCCTTCTCCCCGTGGGTTGCCGCAGCCCTACCCGCCGCCCCTTCCAGCAGTCCCCGCGCCCACGTCTCCCCGCTTCACGCCCCAGCCCCAAGCTCCGCCCCCCGGAGCAAGGCCCCGCCCCGCGCTTCGCCTAAGCCCCGCCCCTCACTCACCTGAGGCGGCTCCGTGCGCGCGCAGGTTGTGGGGGTGAGGGAGAGGGGACGGTAATTGTGGGAGAGGAGGGCGGGGGGCGAGGGTCCCCCACTCTGGCCCGGGCGGCCCAGTGCGGGGGGAGTGGGGTCACTGAGGCGGCGGCAGCCGGGCCGAAGCCAGGACCCGGGCGCTCAGCGATGGCGGCGGCTCCTTCTCCATCTCCATCAGCGGATTCACCTGAGGAGGAACCGATGCTCCCCATAAACCCCCCCCATCACAGCCGTCCCCCCGCCCCCGAACAATTTCCGGTCCCACTACCAAGCGACAGGCTGTGTGGCTGAACACCGAGCACCCCCAAGCCGGGAATACTGCTGGGGAAAGGGAGAAGAGCTAGGGGAGAGTAGCCGAGCGCCGAAAGATTCCTGTTCTAAAGGCGCGGTCGAGGGCAGAGGGCAGCTCAATGGCCGCCCCTTCATCTGCGCCTTATTTGCAAACTAGGCGCACATTGGACGCCCACGTATCCCGGCACCTCTGACCCTAGTGCGAAGTTTTGTCCTGCTCCTCCTAAGACAATATTGACTTTAAGCTCTTGGCAGTCTTTGCCTTTCCTGCCAAGAATGCAGGAATTGTCGGGGGAAGGGCTTAAGAATACCAATTAAAAACATCTTCTCTTAGGGGTATCACCTAAGCAGCCCTGCAGATGACAGACCTCAGAGAAGCAAGCCCCACTTTTGAATTCTCTGCACCTGCTTCCTTTCTCCTCCCCTACACCACATTTTGAATTCATTCCACATCCCAGTACCAATCAATGCACCTCCCTCCTGCTACATGTTCACGCCCCAGGTTGAAGAAGTGTCGAAAGTCGTTATCTTTTCCTTTTTTGTGTTTTTAGTATTAAACAGATACTTTATTGATGTAGTTAGAAAAGTGAAAACTATAAAGGGGTTTGCGCCCCTCACAACCCAGAGGCAGAAGCTTCATATATACCTTTCTTACACATATCCACACACATTCTCTGAAGAATCCAAGAAGAAAAGCAAAATAAGGCCTAGGTGGTAATAAGCATTTGCAATGGAGGTGGGGTAGGAAGAGGAAAGAGCACTTGTTTCTAGAATGACTTTCCCCACTTCTAGCCCCTTGCTCCAACAGCTCTTCCCTGGCATAGATCAGTGGGCAGGAGGGATAGCATAATGCTAAAGGAGGGCTGATAACTGAGTGGAAATGTGCAGTGTGTGTGTGGCTTAGGAAGGCACAGTACAAGTTGTGGTCCAAGAAGTAGAGAGAGAGAGGGAAAGGTTTTTCTGTGGTAATGAGACCAAAGGATGGTTGTGGAAAAGGGTTGAGAAGGTAGTTCTGGGAAACAGATGGTTCCCTTTCACCTCATGGGGTGACATGGATGTGGACACGGTGCCAGGCATTGCTGAGCACGCCTCGCAAGTTCCAAATTGGGGCCACAGTGTCTGGCTGCACATTGTAGCTGTCATCTACAGCCTTGCAAACAATGTTCAATTCCTTTTCCCCAGCTGGCACAGGGGCTTGCAACTGCCATAACCGCCAGGCCCAGGCCTTTCGGGGGTGCTGTGGCTCTCCAACCAGCTCAGCCACCTGCCAAGTTAGGCCTCCATCCAGAGACACATCTACCCTGATCACCGCCCTTCCACCACCACTCCATGCATAGCCCTTGATAGTCACCTCTCCTGACTCTACTGTCTCCCCATCCTTGGGCTCAGTGATGGCTGACTGGACAGGAAGTTCCTGAATAGATGGAGCTGAGTCAAAATCCACACTGTCCCAGTCTACAGATGGAGAAAAGCCTTTGTAATCTCGCCGCTGCCAGTGGCTGTAACTTTCTTCTGGTTCCACACTCACTTTGCCCAGCCATTTGACATGGCGGGCACCCACCACACCAGGAACCACCACCCGCACAGGGAAGCCATGGTCACGAGGCAGAGGCTGCCCATTCATCTCATATGCCAGCAGGACCTCAGCTTCAGGGTCCATGGCCCGACCCAGAGGGATGGATGCTCCATAGGCAGTCCCTATGGGATCTGAGTCCAGTCCCTCAAAGCAGACGTGGGCCTCAGTTTCACAGAGCTGGTGACCAGCCTGGGCTAACACATCACAGAGCCGTGCTCCAGCCCAGCGTGCAGTGCTAATGGCCCCTATACTCCACTCCAGACCTCTTACCTCTTTGAACTGAGTCATCTCAGAACGCCGGTTGCCAGCACACTGCAGAGTAACTGTAATCTCATGCTTGGGGAACTGGTGCAAATCATCCAGAGACAGAGACAGTGACTGACCCCCAGGTGGCCCTACTACAAGCAGGCGATAGGTGTCTGGGTCCAGGTTAGGTACAGGCAGATGGTTCCGGGTGAAGAAAATAGGGTTGGGTGTGATGTAGGATTCTGTCAGTAACTCAGAGGGAGGCTCTGCATTAAAGGGGCGCTGGCTGTTGACCTTCAGAGCTGGGTGACGTATAGGATCATCAGCATAAGGGTCAGAGGTCTTTAAAGTGGAGGGTGCCTTGTCTTCAGGGCTCAGCTCCCCAATCTTGTACTGAGCCAGTATTTCATGCACATGGGACTGATCGTGAACAGCATAGAGAGCCCAGAAGGGCTCTAGAGGACCCCCGGCTGCTAGCATCAGTTTTGATGGTCCCCCTGGGTGTAGGTGCACAAATTCTGTGACATCAAAGACCTCACGGCCCAAAGTCACCCAGATCCTAGTCTCAGGGCTGCTGTGGGATCTCACTTCTTCCCTTGAATATATGCGTGGTGACTCCTGAGCAGCCTACAGGTGGGGCAGGGGTGAGGCACAAGGGAACAGAATAGTAAGATGTTAAGAAGAAATCACTAGCTCACACTGACCCAATCCACAAAGTTGGGAATGGCCACTAGGAAATGGAAGTGGCAGTTACCATCTCTATTGTGCAGGAAGACAGTGTAACTATAGGCTTTATGGTAATAGCTCGGGTTGCCTGGAGAGCTCACTAGGGCCCCTTTGTTCTACAGTAAAGTCCCTTCTTCCCCACTTACCCTGCTCCGGTGGTCATGATAGGCCAACACTGCACCGAGGCCTAATAGGGTCCCCATGACTCTCCATGCTCTAGTGCTGGAGTTACCAGAGACAGCGAGGCTGGGGCACCGGGGCTGAAACGAATCATTTGTAGAGCAGGCCTGAATGCAGAACACTGAGGGGGTTGATTTGAGTCTGGAAGAAAGAGAGGCCTGCTTAGCACACTTCTGATCATATGAAAGGGCCAGTGAAGGCCATTGGTTCCTTTAGTTGGGACTTAGTTTCTCCAGGGATGGGTGGGATCCAGCTTTCTCTTTCCTCCAGGGCCACTATTTCATTTGGCAGTTAAGAGAAAACGTCAAAAAGATACTGGGGGTGGGAGATACGGGCTAGGAGACAGTCCCAGGGATGGCCTACCTGCAGGCCTGTCGGAGCCCTGGGACTACAACTCTGTGCAGCAGCAGCATTGTGGCAGGCCTGTAGGAGGAAGATTCTAAGATCAAGATAGGGAGGCCTGAAACTGATAACCTAAAAAACAAAAACAAAAGAACATTGGGAGTCCTGGGAATGGGTACTACTAGGGCAGCTTCAGGAAATTGGTGGGAAGACAGAGAAAGTTAGCAAGGACTCTCTGGGCAAATGAGAGACTCTTCCTGAGGCAATGATGACAAAGGATGGGAGTGGGGGTCCAAATGGGTCCTTAGAGAAATCCTGGAGCACTTCAGAATCAGATTGTGCTGACAGAATGGAAGGGAAATAGCAGTAGGGGGTAGTCTTCTAGAATCACCTATTTCCCATCTTCCACTCTGTTTTGTCTACTACAGAAAACAATGCTGGGGCCTTTGGCCTAAAAGGGCAGAAGCCAAATGTCTTCAGCTGGGTCTTGACAAAAAATGTAAAGTTTACCAATGTAACTTATTACTTCTGAAGTCAGTAGAGGACAAGTGAGGAGGAAGGACTGATTTAAACAGGGACAAAATGATGAAAAGGGTTGTGGCAGCCTAGTTGGGTGAAGGAGCTCAGATTATGGAGTCAAACCACTGTGGGTTTGTGAAACAGGCTCTGCCATTAACCAGCTCGATTCCCTAGTCAATATACCAAGCCTCTCTGAAATGAGATCCACTTAGCATAACTGCTGTGATGAATAAACAGGTAAAAATGTAATAATGATAAAATAGCATTATCTTTGAAGGCCTTTCAGTCCCCTCTTCTCCTTCTACCCCTTTCCTCCCAATTGAATACAGCTGGGTACTGGACCCCAACCCCGGATGCCCACCCCTACCTTGTCTCTGCATTCCACTGAGCCCAGCAATTGAATTAATGGCCAGTGTCAGGGGCTGAGCTAGAAAAGAAAAGTAATTTTTCTGCTCTGACCCGTAGCGGTTTCTTCCTCACAGCACTGTGCAATTACTGAACGTCTGGAGGGTTAGAGTAGGGAGGAGAGTCGCAGTTGCTGATGAGATGCTAAAAGGCGGGCGGGCAAAGAAACTGCAGGGAGACTGAAGGAGCAAAGTCTGCATTTCATCCGGGCCTAGGACCCCTCCCTTCCTCCCACCTGCCCTCAATCCCAGCAGACCACTTGAACCAGACTGGGGGGCGGTGCAGGTAAGGCTGATGAAGGTGAACTCCGTCAGCCCAGTGTCCCAGGCTGGGGAAAGGCAGCTTTCTGCTGAGAAACAGATGTCTTCGTGATGGTGGTGGCCCCTCCCCAAGGCACTCTAGGTAGAACTATACGTCCGGCACCAGGGAACGGGAAAGCGGTCCCACGCCACTGCCCACCGGCCGGCACAACAGTACCATAGAGCAGCACCCCGGCCCCCAGGAGCGCGCAGGCAGAGTGAATGGAGGCGGGCGCTGGCAGTTTGTTAGTTATTGGGATTGGGGACACCCTCGGGTGCCGATGCTTCTGCCGTCGCCCGGGTTACCAGCGCTTCCTCCTCACCCCTCTCCCGGCCCCAGCAGCCTTACCCGGGTAGGCGTCCACACCGCGGCGTTCCCACCCCGCGCCCGGCGCCCGGCGGCTGCGACGGGGGGCGGGGCCAGCGCCGTGACGTCGCGCGGGAGAAAAGGACCTTTCGGCTTCGGCTCGTCCTCCTGAGAGTGGCTGTGCCCGCTTCCTGGAGGGCGGGTGGGCTCGAGCCAGGGCAGGCTGTTTCATATCGTGCCCGCGGGGTGAGTAATGGGGTCCTCACTGCCGTCTGGACTCGGGGACACAAAGATTGGGCTGTGAGATCCCTGCCCCGCGCCTGCGGCTGAGATACCAGGCGCGTCCACGGGAGGCTTTCTCCCGGCGGAGAGCCCCTCCGCTAGCCAGTTTTGACAAAGGTCTGTGTTGCAACTACAACAGCTCTGTTTGTCTTTTAGGGAAAACAAGGTCATGCACTCAGTTCTCTTTTATCCAGAAATGAAACCTAAATAGTAGTTCAAAGACTTCGAGATTCCTGGGACTAGTCGAATTTCTCCCCAAATTATGGAACCAACACTGAATAGCCATCTTCTAAGTCTTGCTTAGCTAAATCAGTTTTTAAAAAATCGTTATAACAAGTTGTGACATTTTAACACCCAAAAGAAGGAGTATAACCTCAGAGTAATGGGCACTAATACCTCTATTACCTCGTTTCAGGACCGCACGTAACGCTCACTGGCAGGCTGTGAACCTAGGGCAGACGTTTCCACACTGCCCTCTAAAGATCAAAAGTTGAGCTACAACCTTACTCTTATCTAAGTGGTCCTCATTAATTTGGGGAAGATCATTTCCTCTCTTTCTGCTCTCCTAAAGCGAAGTAGAGCTTTTACCAGAAATCAGGGAGCCTTGCCGGATTGGTGAGAGCTTTAAGGAAAGGGTAATTGACAGTGAAAGGTGCTTTGAGCCCTGTGGGTTTGGAAACATTTCCAACTCAACTGTCTACAATTAAACCATTGGAGAGAGCTGATGCCCAAGTTACCCAGTCTTAAAAAGAGGCTCAGCCCAAGGGTACAGAGAAGTCAGGAACTGTCTCAAGTTACCGGTTAAGACTTCTTCCTAACAACAGTGTCACCTTCTTGTGTGTCAGACACATGCTTTCTGTAATTGACCTGCAAACCTCAACTTCCCTTCATTTTACACAAGAAACTGAAACTGAGGCAGAGAGCAACTAACTTTTTTTTTTTGCGGAGATTTTTTATTATTTTATTTTGGTATCATTAATCCACAATTACATGAATAACATTGTTTACTAGGCTCCCCCCTTCACCAAGTCCCCCCCACATACCCCTTCACAGTCACTGTCCATCTGCATAGTAAGATGCTGTAAAATCACTAGTTGTCTTCTCTGTGAAACTAAGTAACTTGATCAAGGCCACTGCTGGTCAGTTGGCAGAGACAGGACTGGAATGCCAACTCTGTCTGACTCTGGTCCTCTTCTTTCCTGTCCTCTGAATTCTTTGGAGTTTAAAACTCCTGCAACCATACCTAATCTTTTCTCCAGTCATTCTCCATCCACCTCACAGACTGAAAGGTTTCATGCAGATCCACAAAAAATTTTCCCATTGGGTAGAAGCCACATGATCAATCAGAAATGCTAATTCAGTGATTTATTTTTTTGTTAGGTCATAGACCCCCTCTGAAATACTAATAAGGCAATGGGCCCTCCTAGTTCTTCCACTTGTAAGGATGTACTGGGTGCTTTTGGGGGCTAGTGGGTGCTAGGAAATGGAGAAATGTGTGTGTCTCAGGGCCATGGGGACTAAGGCTGCCCCTGGAGAAGGAAGAGAATTGAGATCTAAGTGGAAGAACCTAAGCTGGGTCCTTCAGAATCTCAGTGTCATATTCCCTTTCATATTGCCTCAGTTTCAAATACTAATAAGGCAATAATAAGGCAATGGGCCCTAGAGAAATGCACATAAATTTTTGCATACTTCAAAGGACTCATAAATACCTCCAAGTCTCAGTTGTCTGGTCAGAGGCCCATTATACACCTTCCTCCCTCAATATATATGCATTATGTTAAGAGGATGTAAAAAAATAGGCAGTCAGATAAATGAGCTTCCTAGTGGCCTGGGACTAAGAGTGATTAAAGAGCAATAAAGGAAGTATTTTCCAAATTGGGTTATCTCACTATTCAAGAAAAGATTAAAGGGAATAAGGTGTTTCTAATTCAACAGAACTATTGTGTGCCCCCTTCTTTCAAATTTCTAGTATACGACAGACAGGCAAAAAATAAGAAACAACACTCCAATACATTTTTTTCCTTTTTTACTTACATTAAATACATCGGTAAATCAGCAGTCACATTATGTTACCACAATTGTTATGTTAGGAGAGGAGGAAGAAAGGGGGGAAAAGGCAAATGCTTTCTTATAAACAAACAAAAAAAAAACCCCAAAACAAAAACTGCCCCCGCAACCCTGGCAAAAAAAAAAGAAAGTGATGAGAAGAAGAAAAAAGAAAAGCTGTAAATAAAAACTAAGTATCTCCAAGCCGAACAGAGCTCAAAGGAAGGCCGCAGAGCTGGTGAGAACAAAGGAAGGCAGCAGACAGGCCCAGAAGCTAAGGCCAATCCTGTTCCTCATGGGGGCGGAGAGAGAAGCAGCCTGGGGAAATGGCTTCCGAGCCCCAAGGCAATGAAACATTTTTACTCCTGTTTCCACAGAAAGCTGCACAGAGCAAGAACTTCATTTCTAAGAGACTTAAGAAAGCCATCCTAGTTCTTCCACTTGTAAGGATGCACTGGTTGCTTTTGGGGGCTAGGAAAGGAAGGGAGAAATGTGTGTGTGTCTCAGGGCCTTGGGGACTAAGGCTGTCCCTGGAGAAGGAAGAGAATTGAGATCTAAGTGGAAGAACCTAAGCTGGGTCCTTCAGAATTTCAGTTTCATAGATTTCACAGAGGCTCTGGGAAAGAAGGCAGTCTACAAGCCTAAAGGGTGGAAAGGTTCCAATCTTAAGTAACTGTGACCTTTCTGATCTCACTTCCCTCTAGTTTCTCAAAACTATGGGCTAGAACAAGTTTAAAATTCTCTTGCCTTGATGGCTTCCCAATGACATCCTAAAACACCTAATCAGGGATGTGAAAAAAGGCTAGAGATTTAAAAAGGACCAAGGTACCCTGGTGATGGGAGACAGCTGTGAAGGACCTTCACTGCCAGTTGTCAGGTGTTAGGACATGAAGGGGCCATAAGTAGGCCTCTGTGGTACTAGCCCCTAGTGGTATATGGATTCAACCACTGGTTGCATGGGGGTGGGTGGATATGGGGATATGGATGGAGGCACTAAACTGAAGATACTAACAAAGAGAAAAGAAATAGTCCCTGATGGCAGGGAGGGGACAGAAAAGACTGTACAGTGGGAATAAAGATCATACCTATTTACAGGGAAGTAGAAAAGACATGGTAAAGGGCAGATCAAATTGAATGTGAACCCTAGGAAAGGATAAAAAACACCTCCCTCTTGCCTGACGCTTTCACTCCCCTGTGATGGCCTGTGCTATCCGAGACCACTCTCCAGGTGCTCAGTTGATTCCCCAGGAAAGGCAAACCTATACTGGAGAGCTAGGTTGGCAAGAATACAGGTTAAGGATTAGACCTGGAGGAAGCAAGCAAGGGAGACTGGGTTTGGGTAGCTGCCACTGACTGCTCTCTACAGCCCCTCCCAAAACTCATATACATACTGCCTCAGATTCCATTTAATTAAGAAGGTGAGGGAGCAGATAAACCAATCAAACCCCTATAAAACAAGTATCCCAACTGAGCTACCATCAATTAAAGTGCAAACTGCAGGGGGATATAGTGGCTGGGGCTGAAGCCGTCTAAAGGCCAGAGAGAAAAGAAAATGCATATGTATAAATCAGAGGATGGGTATCCGAAACTGGTCCCTCCTCTAATTAGATCACAGCAGAGCCAAAGATGCAGGCATCCAGTGAAGGTTCTTTGGAGGACTCCAGGTCAAGAGTCTCCCCCACTGTGGGGGAGAAGCTACCTAAGATAAGAGGCTGGGTAAGGGGGAAAACAGGCCTTGGTACAATTTCAGAGCCACCGATGACACTGCACCTCCCCCCCTACCTCTGCCCAGTAAGCTAACAACATGACTCCCACCTGGTACCCAAGAGCTTGCCTTCCCATTCTCATCTCTACTTAGAAACATCCCCCAAGGACAACTCATGGATACTGCAGTGTCTTCAAATATGGGCAACTCCAACCAAATAAAAACAAACAGGAGATGTGTCCTTACTCCCTCCAGCACTGAGCCTTACTCTCCCCAGGGCCCTTAATGTGACTGTACTAAAAACCTCCATCCTCAGTTCTTGGTTTCATCACCTTCTCCATCCTGGGAAGAGGAGGAAAAGGGGATCAAGAACAGAGACTGACCAAAAGCAGAAGGGAAAAGGGCAGGAGACAAAAAATGTTTTCTGAAAAAATGGGGAGGAGGAGGAGGTGGCGGCGGAGGAAAGGTAAGTAGGTCACTGTCTTGCACCTATAATACAAAGTGAAGAAAGTTTGTTTTGGAAGGTAAGTCCTGGGGGATCTGACCCCCAAGCCCCAGTGTAGGGGGAGGAGGCCAATGGCAACAGCTGCCTGGTGTTGGTTGCTGAAGCATTAAAAAGTGCCATGACGGAGCTGTCAGGAGGCAGCCCCTGAGAGCCAAGGCTCAGTGTGCTGTTCCCATAGGGGCTGTGTGCTGAGGGGTAGGGGTGGAGGTTACTTCTTAGCTTTCTTTCTAGCTCCATACTTGTTTGCTGCTAGCACCCTCTTAGTTGCTACAACACGGGCTCTTGTTCTGCTGGGACTGCTCATGGAGATCCACACCCCGGCTTCGGCCTGATGCACCCCCTGGATTCTGGGGTTCACTCTTTGGCAACTTCTTAGCTACAGATAAAAAGAGAAGGGAACAAAGTATGGTAGATTTTACTGATCCCTCCAAAAAGACTATTGGGTCGGGGAGAAGTGGGAGGAAAAGGGAAATGTGAGAGATTCAAAGAATATTCTCAAGAGGTGAGAGTTCACTGTTTTAAAAGTACATTGAAGATGAGGGGGCTAAAGTTGCAGCCAAAGGATGGAGGTCACAATGGAGTTATTTTCACACCTAAAATTTTCCCAAGAGGAGACACTCTCATCTGTCTTTATGACTTGGATTAGTAATCTCACTTGAAGGCAAGGGCTAAAGACAGGAAGACCCCAGGCTGCTCTGACCTTACCTATTGCCAGGAAGAGATCGTTCACGTTCATAGCTGTCTTGGCTGACGTCTCCATAAACAATAAGCTGTTGTCATCTGCATGCGCCTGGGCCTCCTGCAAGGGATGAGGTGTACTGGTGCTCAGAATATCCAGTAGGAACAAGTACTGCCATTCCATTCCCATGTAGCACCAGAGCTAGGCAATGTCCTAGGCTTCCTCCTACTAATTGCCCCTCTGAGCCCCTATCCATTCAGAGTTCGTCAGCAACCTCCTCAAGGATAATCCATGGGCTAGAGCACTTACTGCAATGAACAGCTGTCCGGAGACCTAAGGGGGAGAAGGTAAGCTGGCTGGGAGCTTTTGGCTTGTGACACTTGAATAGCCCCTTACCTCAAATTCACTTGCTCCCTCCTTTCTGTTTTCACCTGGGCATAGCTAGTACTCCCCTACCCTGGGATCTGGAGTTTTCTTCTGACTCTTCTAAAATCTCCTGGCTGTCTTTAAGGTTACAGTACTGCTGTATTTAACTTGGTGCAGAACTGGGGAATGAGGTGATGAACATTCTCAGATGAGGTTTTCAGAGGAGGCAGGTTTAGAAAAGGGGTCCTAAGCACAGAGGGAGTGTGGCCGTCTTGCCTCATGCTCCACCACACGCTTATCTGCCAGGTCAGCCTTGTTCCCTGCCAGGGCGATGACGATGCTAGGACTGGCCTGTCGCTGCAGTTCCTTCACCCACGTTTTTGCTCGGGCAAAGGTTTCCTAGGAAAACATAAGAAAGAGAATGGCTGGGCTGGAATAACTGCCATCACCTTCAAAACTTACCTCTTCTAGGCAGCCTTCCCTCACTGAAACCACCTATTGGTTTGTTATCTATCTTCTGAGCATTCAGAAGCACAATTTGTACTCTAACATGTTAAAAACTGGTTTTCTCTCCCCCACTCAATTTAATTCCTATAAATAAAATCCAGGAGAATTTTCTCAGCCCACTTACCTGATTAGTAATGTCGTAAACCACAATTGCAGCCTGGGCACCTCTGTAGTACATGGGAGCCAAACTATGGTACCGCTCCTGCCCAGCTGTGTCCCAGATTTCAAACTTGACTGTTGTGTCATCTAGACAAACAGACTGGGTGAGGAAGGCCGCTATGGATGAGGGAAGGGAAGAGAAGAAGTTGTTGAGTGGGAGGATGAACGGCAACTCTCCATCCCCCTTCAAAGTACCTCCACTCTCAGTCTAAGACTCAGCACCACCTGGGCCATACAGCTACAAGAAAAGAGCTAGTGTTCTCCTTACATGTACGTCCTGGAACCAGGATTAAGGCTGCTCTTAGCTAAGCCCTTCCAACTAGAAGTTCTCTACCTAAGGAATGGGGGCACATAAACTATAAGGGTTAGAGAGAACTGGCACTTACTCCAGAGTTCTCTCTCTTCTAACCAAAATAGAGAAATATGAGATAATGACAGAGATAATAAGCTTCAGATAAAAGTCACATCAATAACTGATTAGATTTTAAAACTTGATGGCAGGCCCATGATTATTATTATTTAGCTGTTACATTTTTATATAATCTGCTGGTCCAAGAGCACATTTCCAAGGTGAATAGTAAAAGCAAGGAAGGAGGAACATGGGGGTTCCCATGAAAGACCCTTTACTGAATTAGTACCCTATTTTGGTGGTAGTGACAGGGAGGTGGCAGCAAAGATGGGAAAGGCAGATGCCCTTTACCTGTTGTATTTAGTTCCAGCCTCTATCAGATAATGTGCATCAGAATCATCTAAGGAGCTTTTCTAAACATACATGTCTACACTGCCACCCTCACCCTACCTCTGATATTAACCAGTAGATTGAGGGAAGGGCCAAAGCAGGCATAGGATGAAAATGCTCCCCAGGTGATTCTCATGCACATCGTTGAAAATCAATCACTGCTCCAAACCAACTCTGCTCAAGATAATACTCAAGTGACCTTCACTGGGATTAAGATGAGAGTGGGAAGAGGAAGACAGACTGAGAAAGCAGTGATTTTCCTTTTTTTTAATTTTTTATTTTGGTATCATTAATATACAATTACATGAGCAACACTGTGGTTACTAGATTTCCCTCATTATCAAGTCCCCACCACATACCCCATTACAGTCACTGTCCATCAGTGTGGTAAGATGCTATAGTGCAAAGGTCAACCTTTCTAACTTTCATCTAGGAAGCAGAGGTTGAAATATATCTGCTTTTTGGCATTCTGGTTTTTTTTCTATCTTATAAAGAACTTCCATTCCAGGGAGCAAGAATGCCAGCTCCACAATCTAGTCCCTAGATCTCCCTTCAAAAGCCTCACTAGGTACTGAACGTCTTCTTTGCCTGAGGTACTCACCTCCAATGGTGCTCTCCTGGTACTCATGGAACTGCCCTTTGACAAAGCGTAATACCAGGCTAGACTTCCCCACTGCAGATTCACCCAGCAAGACCAATTTGAACTGGCATATTTTGCTGGCCTGGGGCTGCCCATTGGGCCTGGCTGTGCCTCTGCTAGTCATGGCTAGATTATCAGAGTGGGAAAGGGTACAGGGAGGGGGATGCCACAAAGCGGCAAAGGGGGGAGGGGGGGGGGAGGGGACTTTCAGGCTTCAACAGTCCTGCAAGAAAAAAGGGTAAAATTAATGTGGTCATTGTAGCTGCAATCACCTTTAAAAAGAAAGGATTGAATCTCTTCATTTGCTCCCATGAGGACTTAACTTTTACAGTCACACACGGTTACAAGGTTAAACTGAGAGGGTGCCAGGCAACTGACACTCAACTCATGGTAAGAGTGGCCAACATTCAAGTAAGAATTGCATCTGAAGTAGAGTTTGCCCTACCACATAACCTGCTAAGGATTTTTCAACCAAGGAAGTTGAAAAAGAGAGACTAAAAACTAGTGTGAAAGTTTTAAGTCTCCCATTAATTCCCTGGCAGGTCTTCAAAAAACAGCAAATTGACCAACTTTTAGTTATACTGAAAAACACCCTGACCCACCCACAAGTGCCGTGGATTCCCACTAGCCACTTGGTATTTGGGTAGTGTCTCTTCCCCATCTTTTTCTATAGTTTTCAAAATGAGAGACTCACTCTGGGGGTATGAAGAGTCATCACTCCCTAGAATAGAGGCGTAGTTTCTGGTTCTGTAACCTTCATACATAGTCCATCTTCTTGATATGTCTGAAAATCTAACCTGGGTCCAACTGCCAGAAAATCTATCCTTCCTCATTTTTGGTCAAAAGCAAGCAGAGAAACACAACGAACAGACCACAAGCAGTATCAGCTTCTCTACTTTGCTTCTGCTACCTCCCTAAGTCCACCAAGTCTGAGACTCAGGAGACTCAACCTAGTCTCAACTGCAGCTGTCTCCCTGGACCCAGGAATTACCCTCCACACTAAATGGGCCCAACAGCCGTAGCCCTCCAAATTAGAGGCAGAGAAAGGTGTACCTTCTAAACACATGCAGGAGTCTCCAAAGGCTGGTGTAGGGTTGTCTTCAAGCAATAAATATTTGATGAAAGAATAAACTGAATCACCTTCTCTACCTTCCAAGAGGCCAGAAAAGCTGGTGGTGGAGACAGAAAGAGAAGTCGGCACTTTGAGAGTCTAGTCATCCAAACCTGAATATATTTTGCCATCCTGACTCCCAGGGGAAAGGAACTATGAGGTCCAACAAGGAGTTGGCAAGATCAGAGCATGCAAAGCCACTCTCCCAAACCCAAGCACTGCTTTGGTTGTGCTTTGTTTGTTCAAATAACTTTTCCATTCTCCAAGGTTGACTCTAGTGACTCTACATGCTCCATGGCATTGGGGGTGGGGGGTAACAACATTATTTTATCACAATATAAAGTTGCTTTAGAGTCAAATCAGACTTAAAAATCTCTGCAATCCCAGTAAAGGCAGAAAAGACAATAAAGACAGTGAAGTCAGAAAAAACACACAGGAGGCAGTGCAGAAGAACAATCAATGGCTGTGGAGTTCAGTTCACTGGGTTTTATTTTACAGTTTTGCTTACTAGCTGTGGACAACCTTTGGGCAAGTTACTAAATCTGTCTGCATTCATTTCCTCATCTGTAAAATGGGGTAAGGTTGTTGTGAGAATTAAATGAGACAAATACACATAAAGAACTCAAATAGTATTTGACAAAAAGTGCTCAATGAATTTTAAGCTACTAATCATTATTAATACGAAATCAAGAAAATTTCTCTGCCTGAGCCTTACCTTCCACCTTTTTAAAATGGAAAAAATATCTACCTCATAGAGTAGCTATGAGGATTACGGGAAAGATGTGCTTAGCAAAGTGCCAATAAGTAAGGTAGACACTATTAAATGGTCTTGAGTCACAGAAAAGATCAATTTATTAAAGTTGTATCTCAACATTGTGGTACCAATGTATTCCTCAAAACCAGCCATGATAGAAAAGAGGTAGAGAAAAAAAAACAAAACCAGAAAATACAAAAGCATAAAGAGGAAGTTAACAGGAATGACACAGAAGCGAGAACTCAGAAAGTCCCAAAGCAGGCTACATTAAGACAGATAAATGTAAGAAATTATTCTGGTTCCGCTGGGTGTTTTACAGCTCTTAGGCCAGTGAGTCCTAAGAACCTAGATACACAGATGCTTTTTTTGTGATGAAGTTCTCTGGTCTATAGTGAAATGATAAAGCAAAGACCATATAGCAAGTTTTTCATAAAACTAAATTTACTCAATTTAAGGGAGTATCTTTTAAAACAAGATTTCTAACTTCTTACTGCTAATTTTTTCTCAAAGGTAAATATATATATGGCAGGGAAAAACCTCTAAGACCTATTTAAAGTAAAAAAAAAAGTTGTAGAAAACACATGGCTGGCCCTTGTTTCTGTAAAACAAAACAAAATTTTACACAGAGGAAGATATGGGAGAGTACACATTGTGTGTTAAGAGTTGATTATAAGGAGAGAGGGGTAGAGAAGGCTGGCATGTGAAGGATTTAGATTTTTTTCATTCTACATAACAGGAATTTTTTAAAATATATATATTTTAAAGTTTTCTGGATAACTTTGGTTTTTTTAAATGCTTTTTAAAAAATAAAGCACTGATAGGCAGTAATAAGCCTTCTACATATTACCATGTAGAAAAATAAAAGCCCCCAAATTTAAATTAATTGGTCCATGAAATCCAAACTTCTGAGAACCAGAACTGCAAGAATACATATTAATTAGCTTCTTAAGCATTAGTCACAGTTCTTTAGCTCTTTTCATCCTCAAACCTTCAGTGCAGTGTTTCTCAAACTGTGGGCTATAAGCCAAGAGTGACCTTGAAGTCACTGGCTGGATCATGATCACATATTAAAAAAAAAAAAAAAGAACAGCAAGTATCAAGTGTACTGCAAATAATAAGCCTAAGAATCATTCTGTGAAAATGTTTCACTGGTGTATGTACACACGCTGAAATAAGATGTAAAAAAACATTTTTTAATGAGTCATGATAGAAAAGAATTTAAAAACCCTGCTTTGGAGAGGCCTGACACTGAAAGATGAGCTAGGTAGGGAAAGGAGGAAGTCTAGTCTCTGGCTAGCATATAGGCAGGCTATGGTTACTACTAAACAAAATACTTCTAGATGAAATTAAAATGAGGCCTGTCTCCAGGGGACAGAGGATTCTCCAACCCTGCTCCTGAAGTTACGCAGCAATTACTAAAATGGGGAGCCAATTAGACAGAGGCAGCTCCGTGGAGCAGTCAGGACTCTGGAATCCCGCAGGCCTGCATTTTAGTCTCTGCTCTGTCTGAACCCCACTATGGTTTCAGGCTACTTAGCCCCTTAGCCTCTCTTCGCCTTAGTGTCCTTGTCTGTACGGGTCTGGCGTGGGAAGACATCTAGGTAAAAGTAGCAACAGCAAAATTTGAATTCAATTCCAACATTCTGGGTACAATTAAGAAATTTGTTTCTCTTAGGGTTTCTCAGCATCTGTGAGGAAAAATTATTTTCAAAAATATATTTATGTGGTACTTCATATACACTGTTTCATGGGAAAAAAGTAAAGGCCATCCTAACACTACTACTTTAAAACAGAACAAATGACACAATAGGAGGAAAACAACTATAGATGATAAGCTGCTTAAGTTTCCTTAGGTGACATACAGATGCTATATTCTGAAGAAACTGCATGAAAAATTACTATATTCTGGCACTCACTCCCTCACATTTGTATCTACTTCAAAGCACGTGATCTAGGGGCAGAACACTAAGCCTCAATGTTATTACTCCACAACATGAAAACATGGGCATTAGGATGCACTGAATTCTCATGGGCAAGACACATGGCTCTAGGCCTGGGAAGACAGTAGGGAGTTGGGGAAGTGTGAAGACAAGAAACAGTCACAGACACTGCAGTTGCAAAACCCTTGTCACTAACCCCACCCAAGACTGTAAGTCAAGCCCAGACACGATCAGAAAACTTTCTTGCTACTAAGCAACATTAGATGTAAAAGATTAATGACTACTGGGTTAGAACAGACCAACTCCTACCTCAAAGCTTTGCCTTCAGAGTTATGTCCTCCTTCCCCCATTCACAGTAAGTGACAGGCTGCCCATCCCTGTGCCTTCATCTTTAATCCCATCGTGTTTTTAGGTAATCATATTTTTTACTCAATAGCTAGACTCTCAAAAGATCAGGGGTACAGAAATGAAATAATATGTGTAAGATTCAATTAATTTCTCCCCTATTTTGATGGTGATTTTTTTGGCTAAGAGTTAACAGTGGGCAAATGATCCATGATCTACTCAAAGGCAAAAAACAACCAGAGCCCCCAGTAGTTGTGAGGGTTCTTACCTTCAAACCTAAGGCAAAAACAGGAAGGTTTTCTTTCCTTTAACTCCTTTCAGTTCAGGAGAGATTAGATTTAACTTCCCTTATTAGTAGAGCCCCACAAGAAGAGCTTACCAAGTGACCATTAACTAGGAAGCACAGAGGCTTGCTCATGGCACCAGCCCACAGGGCAGGGGAGAGGCAGAGGATGAGAGAGCAAGTTCTTTAGTGGGGGCAGCTCTGCCAGCAGAGCAAGAGAGTATAAACAGGAAAGGCTGCTTAGCCTGCTGATCCCAGTTAGAGCAAGACTCCATTCCTCTGCCCACTTCCACCTGGTACCTTTACGTCCGTATGCCAAATATATACAAAACCTCCAGAAGTCTATCATCTACCTATCAGTAGAGACTGAGTTCCAGGTATATGGGTACTGGGGTCTAGCTCACTGCCAAATGTCAGCCTTGTAAGGTCAGTTTGCCATATAAGAGGCAGTCTAGAGGTCATCTAGTCCAGTCTCTATTTTACAGGTGAGGAAACTGAGGCACATAAAATGAATCAACCTGCCAGGTATTACCAGACAGCTGCTGAGTAGCACATTCCTTCTAATGTGTACTCTTTGTATTGTACGACTCTGCCTCAAAGGAAGCAGTAGAAGCTGCTCTCTGAACTGAACTCTGAAGGGGGTGCCAGGACAGGAACAAGAGCTTAGATTGGATAGTTTTTGCCTCTATTCAGTTTAGGTAAGCAGTTCCTCTGGGACTGAAAACAAGTCAGGAAGATCCAGGTCTTCCCTAGGAATTGGAACCCAGCCCCACGTCCTTCCGACAGAAGGACTCAATACTATGCCTCCAGAAGGTCTTGACAAACGCCTGCCAGGACAGTTGAAATAAAAGCAATTGAATGGAAAGTTAAAGAGTGGTAACTTCTGCAGGATTCATTGGGCCCTGGGATTAATGTGAGAGCTTTCCTGAGTAGGGAAGCAGGGCACAAGCCAGTAAATACCTTCAACTCTCCAACTGCGTTCAGACCCCAAATCACCAAAATCTTGAACTGACAGTTCCACTTACTTGGCTCAGTTTCATTGTATTGATCACATGTTAACCAGAGTTGCTGGCTTACATGGGAGCCCTTCCACTGCTCCCACCCTCTCCCTTGTATTTACTTCCCCAAAAGGCAAAAAGCATACTTCTCTCAGCACCGTAGTGCAAACTCTCTACTGTTGACCTAGGAAAGATAGGAATGCTGTCCCCACTCTGTCTGCCTAGCAAACTCCTAATGTATTTTTTAAGCTCAAATGTCATCTCTGTGAAACTGCATAATTACCTTCTCACCCCAGCAGAATTCCTCACTGCTTCCTCTGGGGTCCCATGGTATTAAGACTGTGTTTCTATCACAACATTGATTACATTGTATGAGTTAACTGCTTCTGTCTGTCTGCTCTGCAAAACTATGAATGTCGCAAAAAGTGATTAGTTTTTATGCCATCTTGAATCTCTAGAGCACAACGCAATGCTTGGTCCCTACAGCTGTTCATTAGACAGTCTCTAAGTCAAATAGGGCTAAAGCAACCCTGCTTTCCTCCTCGGCCTACTACTTTTCTGCACTGTCTGGGTAACTTCTTACTCAGTTCCATTTGGGAATGTTTTTTAATAGGCCTCAGAGAACCAATTCTCTCCCTGGCCTCCTGTGATCTCCCTTGGATGGATGGCCCCTTTGGGACCCAGCCCACAAGGTACTCTTGCAACTCACATGGGCTAACTGCTTTTCCTGTCCCCGGTTACTAAGCCTCGGATGGCCTAATCACACCCAATAGTTGGCCCTCACACTGAAGCAACTGTGATTAAAAACAAAGTTCCCTGAATTTTTGGTTGATGTTAAGTATTCAGAAAGCTTTGAATCATTATCTTTATAGTTCATAAACTTAAGAAACACAAGTTTTAAAAATCATACCACCACAGGGCTAGGGGGCAAAAAAGGTACCCAATGCTCCTAAAAAGCTCCAACTTGTCCCAAAACTCTGCACACACTTTGCTCACCTGGGTGGCTCCTTAAGCAGCTGTTAACTGTTCAGTCAATGACTAAATCTTTCCTGAAACACTCTTGGAAAGTGGTAGTGCATTGTGTAGGGTTTTAAGGTATCCTTCCTCCTAGGGGACTGTTGCATTTCCTTATTTTAAGTTCATTGTTTCACACTTTGGTTACTTTCCAGTCTGCAGTACTTCTGGATTAGGGAACACAATATACACTTGCTACTCCTACACTATGCCTCCCCAGCAGTCAAATTCATACCAATGTACACAAACAAGCAGAGAACGGAAGAGCAACCCTTGCTCCCTGGCAAAAGTTAAGAGTTAGAAAATGAGAGGTATTATGACTTCAAGGGCAATGGGAAAGTCTTCTTCTCGAAATATATTTCTGTAACTCCAGGTCTATGAAATTCTATACTGATAATTTCACTCCTTAGTTCCTTCTTAAGAAGCAAAAACCCTTGGGAGAATTAATATTTAAGTGATTATTTGTTATTTACTACTTAATATGGAGCAATTCCAAGTCATTTCTTAAAGATAGGCTTTAAGGGGAAGGTGGAAAAGACAAACAAAAGTACAGGAGAAAGGGACTGGATACCACCGGGATACAGAAAATGGCAAAGTCTATAAAGGATTGAACACACACACACACTACACAATTTTCTCTAGGACTGGCTCTGCAGGGGATAAAATAAAAGCTCCTGGGGGGAACAATAATGGCGGTTCTGAGGATACTGAACAAAGGCTGGGCACATTAGAGGTCTTCTAAAGCCAGACAGGACAAATTCAACTATTAAGAGGCTAGTAAGAAATGTCCCAAGTATACTGAGGTTCAGAGGAAAACCAATCTCAATCCAGAGAAACTTGGGAGCTTCTCCTATAACCAGAGAAAGACAAGTACAAGGGCCCCTAAGAACCATCTTCTTCTTTTGGGATAACAAAGGGGCAGTCATATAATCTGAACATGTGAACCCAGAAGATAAGAGAGCTCAAATTCCTCACTTTTGCAGAGATGCCAATAATTTTCCCAAACTGGTGTGTGTGTGTGTGTGTGTAAGAAGGTGAGGGATAAACCAGAGTACAGCTTTTTGCCTGTCTGAATATGATAGAAGCAAAATGAACTGTAAAAAGAGCACAATAAAGAGTATCATCCCATAATGGCAAACTATGGCACCTATAGAAGCAGAACAAAATTAACTTTGAAAAGAGCACAAAAAATAAAGAGTGTCATCCCAGAACAGCAAACTATGGCAAGCTTGAAGAACTAGAGTTTGGTGCGAACATGAAAACAGAATTGCCTTTGGTGGCACATCCCCAAAGCAAAGCAAGATTACTGTCGCTTCTCTCTGACCTTTCTGGATGAAATATAATGAGTGAGGGATGTGTGGGAGGGTTTACATTTTTTACACTTGGTACAGCTTGAATACTTTAAAATATGTGTATGTTACTTTTGTAAATAAGAAGAAAGGTAGTTATATAATACGTTGGTCAAAAGGGAGAAATACAATCAGGGAAAATCCAATTAAGCTCCTATTTATGGGGAACTAAAGAAGGCCATCAGATGATTACGAACATAGGGGAGGAGGGGCCTCCTGTGCCTTAGTAATCCACATTCCTTTCCTCTACTCTCCCCCTCCCTCACATGCTTCACTGTTGAACCCAACTTTCAAATAGCACCGAAACCTGGGTCCAGAAGTAGACAGAGAATGATGCCAACCTTCTTGGAATGGAATTTCTCACTCTTCCTTAAATCCCTTCCTCAGTGTTATCACTTCATATTTCCAGGCTTGGTTCCATCTAACCATTACCTGCCTGGGAAATATTCAAATCTAAGTCCCAAAAAACTTTCATTAACTATGGTCAGAAGATCTCTTGGTGGCTAGGGATCCCTAAGCCCCTCTACAATGCAGATAATGATTCCCCACTTCCAGGTCAGAGACACAATATCCATTATAGACCACATTAAGTGGGAGAGAAAAGGACTAACTAACCTTCTTAGTTCTTTCACAGGACTGTACCCTAAGCCAGCTGAGACCAAGGGAAAGTTTAGGGGCTTAATTTGGGACAGCTAACAGGTCACAGAAAACAGAAAAGCAACAACAAAAAACCCCACATAACTTTTGTCTTCATTGGCTTGGCTACCCTGGGAGTACTAAAAAACTTCAGGTTACTACATCTCAACACTAATGGGAACAAAAGAGTGGGTCTTCCCAAAACCCAAAGACTCCAGCACACCCTTGAGCATTCCCAGAAGCCGCCATAACAGCATTTCCCCAGCCACCCCAGTCTTCTAGATTAGCCAAGCCCTCCTCGTTTGTCTCAGTTCTCCCTCGCTGAACCCAAACGCCGCTCGGCTCAAGTCTGGTGCACCCTTATTTTTACAATAGTCACCTTCCCTGAAAAGAGTATCTCCTACCCAACTAAGAACCTTTCCAGGCTAGTCGTGTCGGGAAAGCCCCAGCCGCGGTTACCCTCGGGTTCCAGGTTTGACCCCACCTCACCTCCCGGCAAATGGGCTGGCCTCCGCCGCGGCGCCGTCCCTTTCCCCCGGCCCCTCCCTCTTCAGCGCTGTTCACACAAGCCCCCGGTCTCCCGCGCCGGCCCGCAGCCGCCGGCCTCGCCAACTTCGGGCTCCCAGCCCACCGGGCCCCCTCCTCAGCGCCCCCGTTAGGCCTGCAGGACCCAGCCTCCTTCTCCCGTCTCCAGTAGTAGGCCTCTCTAACCCTTCGCTGACGCCCACACCCGCCGCTGCTCTCAGCCCTGGCCGCTCTCGGTCCCCGGGCACCTCCACCCCTGCCCTTGCGGGAGCTATCAGCCCAATACCTGGGGCTCCGTCTCCCCCGTCCGGCCCGAACCTGTGTCGAACAGACAAACAGCTGCGGCTCAACCAAACATTCCTGCCCCTCCTAGCGCTGGGCGGGGGCCCAGCCAATGGCATGATTACCCGCCTACCATCAAGGTGGGCTTGTGTGCACTATTCCGCCAATCCTCTGGAGAAAGGCGTGGCTCTTTCGGCGTTGTCATCAACGAGTGCGATGACAACGGTCCATGGGACTGGACCGGCGGGGCCCCAGACCTATACAGAGAGGTAAATCTTGAAGACGGACGAGATGAGGAGCCACTAAAGAACTAGACTCTGAGACAGGGGGCGGTACACCATTGACAGGCGTACATATAAACCAATAACATATCGACACCCTGATGACCCCGTCTCTTGACTCATAAACATCTAATCAGGTGAGGGATGGAGGCGGGCCAAAGTGAAACTAACCAGTACTGCAAAAACGAGGGACTTGAGTGGCAGGCAAGGCGGGGTTGGAAGAAGCTTTAAGGGAGGTGGCTGCTGACCTTCGCCCCTCCCCCCGGATTTCGCGGGGCACACTCTAGGGCCTCGCCCTCTGTGGCAAATTCGCGGGCGTAAAGGGAAATGCCTCTCCTAAGGACCAGGAGTCAGGGAATTTAAGTAATCCTTACGTCAGTGCTTCCTCCTTTTAGTGGGGCTTGAGAGGACAGTGTTTGGGGTGCCACTACAGGTGGTCTTAGATGTTTTTTGGTGGGGTGGGACAATGGTAGGTCCAAGAAGGGGTAGTTTGGGAAGTCATTAGTACCTTCATAATTTTTCATACAGATATTTGATGTTTTGAATCTTATATCAATGTGAATAAAGTATCTTTAGAAAACTTTGCTGTTTGTGATATGCAACCAAAAGGAAAAATGATGAGCTTACTGGGAAATTCAAGTGTCAAGGTGAATTCCCATGGGCCCACTTACAAATATATTGCTGCTCCAAAGTCCCTCCTAAGCCCTCAAAATTCTGGAAACACTGCCTTGTTATGTATGTATAGGGTGGGGATTGAGGGGGTGTTTTGGGGAGGGGGAAAGTGAAGCAAGCTTCAGTTTCTCCAGCTGTAAAATGGGGGTAATAATTCCTCTCTGCTTACCCTTGGCACTGTTACATCAGATGCCAAAATGGTGTGAGGTGGGTAACTTTGCACATGGAGATAGGAAAAGGTTGAGGGGGACCTGGAACCAATCAATGGTCATATATACACATTCATACTCCTTCACATCATTCTTTCAGTAAAGTAAATACACAAAAGTAAAAGAAAAAGGTAAACCATAAAGCTAGGAATTTTTTTTAATGAATTACAAACTGGATTACAAATAATGTTAACACCAAGAACACTCAAAGATGAGAGGTGAGAGAAGAGACAAATCATAAAAAAAAAATTTTTTTTAAACATTTGCATTACAAAACCCCAAGGTATGCTGCACATGGCAACAAATCCATCCATTCCTACTTTAAAAACATTAATATAACCTGAAATATAAATATAATTATTCATCGTTCTTTTAAAGAAATATTTTTTCCCAATGCCCCCACCCATCACAGCCCTAAAAGTGTCAGCATTCTCAAAATGATGTCTAAACTCTAACTTCCACTCCTATGGGATGGCCTTCAGGGGAAGATGGGACCTAGCACCTTTAGAACTAAGAATCTTAAAAAGAAGAGAAAAAATTCAGACATCTTTCACTTGCCTCATAAGGCTATGGTGAAGCACAATCCCTGTCCCGGGGCCTCCCAGCCACGTCTTGCCCATAAGAGGGACAGACAAGAGGACTAGAGATAATCATTTCTACTGTAGCCCCACCAGGACTGCAGAGAAGACAGGAGTCTTGAGTCTCCGCGATGTTTGGTGAGATGAAACTAAAACTAGGGTATAAACTGGTTGGATCTATTTTTTAACCTAATTCTTTAAAACAGGCCCTTCCCTTTGTTTTTGTTTTTCTTGGTTTTCAAAAGTTCCAACTTAGCCTCCTGCTATCAGTTGGCCTTACACACAGTGGCTGCACAAGGCTTAGGGTCTCTGTCAGCCCAAACCCAGGAAATAGAAATAATGGGGCTTTCAGAGACTGGGATGGCAAACCCTACGTGGGGGGAAGGGAAAGAGTCAGGTTTTTTTTTGTTTTTTTTTTTTAAATATCAGCCCTCCTCAGCAATGACCAAGAAGAGGAGGAGAGGGTGGTGGAGACTCAGCTAAGTGCATCTAATATTGAAGATCCCTTCTCATTTTCACCTATATCTCCTCTCTCCCCTCTGCATCCCCCAGAGCTGGCTGCCTAAGAGAAGGTGAATGTTTAAGGCAGCCAGACAAGATCAGAAGGGAACTAGCCTAGGGCTAAGCCAGATCAGGCTCCGAGTGGGACCGGGGTAAACGGCCTGGGGAAGAACATCAGAGTCGAAGATGCGGTACTGGCTTAGTCACATCCTGGAAGAAAGGATGAGCCAGAGCTGCCTTTGCTGAAATCCGCTTGTTGGGGTCGTAGTGCAGCATTTGCTGGAGGGAGAGATGTATGCTGACTTCAGTGATGTGATAGTGAACTAAATGGGTCTTCTGAGAAATCGGGAAACCAGAATTCCTTTAACCCAATGCTGAGTTCCCATTTCTCTCCTCCCTGTATCTGAGTGCCAGCAGGGAGAAAGAAGAGCCGAGGGAAACACCAACACCCAGAGTCTAGAATCTCATTATTCTTTCACCCTGGACAACCCTGCCCTGGGGGAGTGAATGAGAAGAAATGGGTGCCCACCCCTAACTCTCACCGATAACAAGCTCCTTCCATCTTCGTCCAAGGGAGGCACGACCTTGCTGAAATCTTGCCGGGCCCACTTGGGGAAACTTGGCTTATAATCAGGCATAGAAGTAACTCCTGGCCAAACCACCTCATCTGGGGTCCCCAGAGTCCGAAAGATCCGGAAGAGTTGATCAATTTCAGAATCTCCAGGGAATAGGGCCCGGCGAGTCACCTGAAAATGGGGAAAGAGGAAAGGCCAAGACCCGCAATGACATCAGTCAAATCTGCCCCTGTACAAGGGAGGTTCCCACAGGCAGTGAAGGTCAGCTGGGCCCCATGACTCCCTCCCCAGGGCCTTTCATGGGGTTAGTCACACAGAGCCTGAGACAATGAAATCCCTTCATTTGTCTCCTCGCCCCCTCCTTCCTTCCCCCAACCATGGTTTTGCAGATTCCCCAAGGCTGGGTGGGACTGAATGTCTGGGGTACCACTGACATGTAGCAAAGGGATCCCAAGCCACTCACGGGGTGTGGGGTAGACACTGCAGTCATCCCCCCTCCTTGTGATGCAGCCACTTCTAGATAGGAGCACAGCGGGCAGAGACTGTGTCTTCCATTTCTTCTGTGTTCCCCACAGCACATAGCATGGTGCTGGGTACACACTAGGTGCTTAACAAATATTGTTTGGTGAATTGAGAGAGGAATATGGGCAATTGTAAGCTAATGCACTGGGGGATAAATGCACATTATATATATAAGCTAGTGGTCTCCAAGCCCCCAGTTATAACTCAGATAAAGGACCATAAAACATATTGTTGATTTGATTTGAAAACTCAGCCCATTCTACTGCCGTATTAAAGGGGATGAGAGCTTCTATATACGGCTAGCCTCAGGAGTCCTTCAATTGGGAAAGCCAGAGATTGAGGGGGGACATGCTCTAAATTCGCAGCTTAAATAAAAGATGTGGATAAGGTGAACACAGTTGGTTTCCTACATTACCAGTACCCTATGGTAAGGTCTACAGGCCAAATGAAGGGAACACTAAATGGAACTCATTCTCCCAAATATACACAGACTAAAGCTAAAATAGTTGCAGAAATAATTTAGCTCAATTCAGCAATAAGAGATGTACAGTGGAGGACAAGAATCCTGTCCTTTCCCCACCACCCACCTTGGTGCTACTCTAAAGAAAGAACCCTGCGATAATAGAAGGGCGATGGCTCTGAGCCAAGAAACAGAGCTGTTGTTCTTGAATATAGGGAGGAGTGGGCTGGCTGGAACTTGGGCATGCCTCCATACCATCTCAGCAAAGATGCAGCCCAGGCTCCAGATGTCCACAGCTGTGGAGTAATATTTGCAGCCCAGAAGGATTTCAGGAGCTCGGTACCACAGAGTCACCACCTGGGGACAAAAGTAGGAAGAGGGGTGCTGGTATATGGGTCATGGAGATTCCCATCTCAGCTCCTCAACACTACTCTGCCCTGAGCCTCTTAAGCAGTTTCTTTCCCTCCAACCGTCCCTTCCCTCTGATTTCCCCTAAGTAAAATAACTATATACAACTTCTTGGCCCAGAGTTAGCCTAGCCTATGGTTCTAGGGACCACATTTTCTGAATCTCCAATTTGTAACCTTCCTGGAAAACTTGAGACAAGTGTTCATAATTTTAATGGTGTACTACCCAGCTCTCCTGGCGAGTTATCATGCTATCTCTCAAAGCCCAGTTAGCTCACAGTATAAACTCTGCATATCTAAGACCTCCTGGGGTGTCAGAATACTTTCCATCTAGTGAGGGAGAGACTGCTGGCCAAATATGTTTAGTCACTTTGTGAATGTCCTTGCTAATACCTCCCAGTAAGTTCAAAGAGGGAATGCAGAGGGACTCACCTCATGGGTGTAAGTACGAACAGGGACTCCAAAGGCTCTGGCTAGTCCAAAGTCTGCGAGCTTGATGGCCCCCTCTGCATTGATAAGTAGATTCTGAGGCTTGAGGTCTCGGTGTAGGACCCGATGAGAATGGCAGAAAGCAAGGCCTTGGAGCAGCTGGAACAGATAGCTCTGCCAAGGGAGAGAGAGAGGACTATGCTCCTCCATTACAGGGAGCAGACTGGGGGCTGCTCTGCACTTCCAAAGCTCCACTAAAGCCTTTTATTATGTTAGATTGTTATTACTCTCTACAAGCAATTTCTCCCATTAGACTATCAGTCAAGTGAGGATAAGATGACAGATTAAAAGTAGCTCTGGCTGTAAAGAGTCCAGACAATAGAGCCTCACTGGCTATGTCTCCCACCAAACAGGTACAAGGGTTTTTTGAAGGAATCTACCAAGTGCCCTCAAGTCCTTTTATCTGAGTTTCATCTGACCTTCCACCTGAGCTGCTAAATTGACTCACTTCTTTGAGTTTCAACTTCTTTGATTCTCCTACCCAGCCCTAGGGTTAATAAGCATAATGAGCAGTGCAAGAGCCACAAAAGAAAGGTTGTGTGTGTGTGTGTGTAGGGGATGAGGGCTGGGAAGGAAACCAAGATCACAAATCATCACTGGGTCTGAATTGCTTGCCTTCAGTACCCCCACAACATGCCCATGTTGGGGAGGAATTGGTGAGAAGGATTACCTTGATGAGGGGAAGAGGAATTCCAGTGAGAGCAGAGGCATCCATGAATTTCTTGAGATCTTGGTGCAGAAACTCAAAAACCAGGTAGAGCTTGTTTTCTGTGTGGATGACATCCAGTAACCTAAGGGAGGTCCAGGAATGGAGGTGAGGGAAATACCTAGACTATGCAGACAGCACACATCCTCATTTACTGTCAGAGCACTTCCTGGATACATGCGTACTTACTTGACAATATTAGGGTGGTTAAGCTCCTTAAGCAGAGAAATCTCTCGTATGGCCGTACTGGGTACACCCTCAGTCTCACTTGGAGAAGTTGGGAAAAACAGAGACAGAAGTGTGGTTACAAATATTCTTTTTCCCCCAGGCCAGTGATTCTTTCCCTACAAGAAGACAACACCCTAGCATCCCCTAGAAGGGTGAGAGATGGGAAAAGGTGCTGTCCGAGTTAGTTCATTTGTGAACAGTGAATGGCTTTTGGACACATTAAGGTCATTATTTCTTTTTTGCCCTGGGGTAGGTAAGTAAAGCCTCCTGGTGAAGGTGAAGAAGAGAAGGTAACAGGAATATTTTTTTAAAAAAGGCAGTAACAGCACCCAGCCTCCCTAGGGCGGCCAGTGAGGCTCAACTGCCATTCTTTTGAAAAAAGGGAGAGAATTCTAAGATGAGGGTGGGGTTGGGGTAGGGAGGAGGGCGCTTCATTCAGTAAGGTGCTCTTCACTGGTTCCCTCAAAACCCTACTCCATGGGAAGCCCTGGATCCCCATCTCGGAGGCTTCCTTCCTCTTCCTGAGTGCACATTTGAGGTTAGTACCCCGCTTTGGTAAGGAAGCTTCCCATGGATTCTACACTACCCTACACTCTCCATAGGGAAACCCTCTACTGTCCTTCAACCCATCTCTTCACTTCAAAAGAAGTCCCTCCCTGCTACCTTCCGCTCCCTGGACGGCTACCCGCTTGTTGGAGTGGGGGTGGGGGCAATCAAGGAGGCCCCGAGCTTAAGAGTCCTGGGTACAGAGGCCACTCACGTGTCCAGGCGAATTTTTTTAAGCGCCACCACTTCTCCCGTCACTTTGTTTTTGGCTTTGTACACAACTCCGTACGTGCCCTCTCCGATCTTTTCCACTTTCTGGAAGTTCTCCATGAAGCCCGCTAGCGAGTCGGGTCAGTCCGGCCCTGGAGCGGAGGCCTGGGACCCCTGCAGAAAGCGGGCCACGGTTCTCGCGGGGGGAGGAGGGGAAACAGGGCCCAGGGACTCGGCCCCGGGTACGGATGGAACGCAGCGTATCTCTCCCTCTTGTCAATTTCCCCAACTTGAAACAATGTTGCCGCCTCCCCTCCAGTTCCCTACAGCCACCAGAGGCCCCACCCCTCCTTCCCGCGTTTCCCTAGCCCCGCCCCCACACCTCCCTATTGGTCAACGTAAGAGCGGGTGGGACGAGCCTAGCTCCCCGCGCTTCAAATGGCCCAGCCCCACGTAAGTTCGGTTCTGAGGAGTAATGACAAGCTTCTATCCCGGTCGGAAAGCTGAGCATCTTTTCCCAAGTACCTGATCGGGGCTCGAGTTTCCTACAAGTCCTGAATCAGTATGGATTTCCTGATCTCTAACTCGCCGTTTTCACTATTTCTAGAGAAGAGTGTATCGACGTAAAATTAAATTCCGCCTGGCCCAGGGAGCCTCCTGTGAAAAGCAGGAAGCTGGAAATCTCATTGTAAAGGTTTCTTGGGCCTCGGAGGAATCGTTGTCTCCAACTCTCAATACTCTGATACTCTCTTTTTGGATGCAGCCTGCCCTGATACTCAGTTTCTTTTTGAGAGATTCCTGGCTTAATTCAAAAGCAGATTAGCTCACTCCCATGATTACGTGTAATGTAGCTGCCGTTCAGTCAATTCTTTCCCAATCAAGTTGAGAGTAATCCGTGAAACCAGAATTGTCATTGAGTAACAAGACGCCCAGGACCGGGATCGCTTGTCCGTTCTGCGTTTCTCCAGTCCTCTGCCCCTCCCAAGCCTCTTCTGGAGGGAGAGGAGGAAGGGCTATGCACATACGCAACGATCTCTTATATCAGGGCTTGTCTCAGCTCCCACCCCTCCAGCTCCTTTGGTTACTGGAAGGAAAAGCAGGATGGATCTGGTGCTGTGAAAATGCCTTCTCCTTGAGGCTGTGATGGGTATTCTTCGGTCTGTGAGGGCCACAGAAGGTGAGTGTGGGGTGTGTGGCCATGAAACAAATGTGAATTTAGGTTTGCACACCTGCTCTGGTTTTCCCCCTCCTAATGGGAGATAAAATCAATACTTTGTGCTTCTCTCACCTAAGTTCCCTCCCCACATGGAGAGTTGGGACTGAGGCGGAAAATAATCCCATCTGCTTGGAAGGACAAGAGGACAGTGGGTCTTTGTGTCTCTACTTCTGAGGTACCCTAGGACAGTGAGCTGGAGCAGGAGCTTCGAGGTGGTGAAATGAGCTGGAGACTCAGGAAATGTCTCGGGCACTTGGTGTAGGGTATATGTAAAGTGAGGATTAAGAAAATGTGGTCCTGGACAAGAAGGGTAAAGAGGCACCACCTCCCCTGTTTGGGATGGGACAGCTCAGGCTTTTGTTCTGGGGCTGGAAGAGACATGCAGAGGGGTCTCAGGTGAGTATCACATGAAAGGGCTCTGGGGGACTGGGGCCTCATGACAGGAGCAAGGGGTGGTGAGAGGGTCTGGAATGTCCCATGCTGCTCTGAGGAGAGCTGGTTGGGAGTGGAGAAAGACTAGGGCATCTTGTGATTCTTTGGCTCTAGTGGTGGGATGCTGAATGAGATGACTCCAGATCCTCCCCCAGCTGACTCAGCTCTTTTTCCAGTACACATTAGTACTATAGCAAGGATAGTTTCTGCCGTACTGAATTATATACATCATATCCCAGTCTCCCTCTTCTCTTTCTAGATCCCTGGACTCACAGACTTCTAGGAAGTTCTCCCTCATCTGATGTCCCTCATTCATGCTGCAGTTTCAAGTCTTTTTCTTTTACTCTGTTCCTTAACGTAATCTAGAAAATTCTGTTCATACTTGTCCACCTGAAGCTCTTAAAAGATTGTGTTTACTTTTTGGATCCTGATTTTTAAAATCTTTTAGATATTCATGAAATGTTTAGATATTCATGAAATTTTATATGGACCAGGCTTGATAATTTTGTTAGTGTGAAGTAATATTGTGCCTATTCAAGAAAATATTTAGATTGTTTTTTCAGATACGTGCTGAATTTGTAGGGTTAAAATTAAAAAATGTCTGGGATTTGCTCTTACTACTTTAGCCAAAAACAAACAAACAACAAAAGAGAGAGAAGAAAGCACATGTGGCAAAATGTTGATAGCTGTTAGGTCTGGAGATCCATCATATCCCTTTTACTCAGACCTCTCTCTCAGTTGGTTAGAATAATTTTGTTCGCTCTTCCTCCACCCCCGACATCTGCCTGCCTCTGACCCATCTTCCTCACTGTTCACCATAGTGATCCTTCTAAAACACAAATCCAGTTGTATACAAAAACTTCTAAAGTATGAAGTTTATGGTATATAAATTATTTGAACAAAAATCTTCTGAGGTAGCCTTGCCTACAGGATGAAAGCCATACTCCTTTGCCTGGCACTCAAAGCCCCCAAACCCCTCTTCTTGGCCTCATCTCTCATAGTGTGCCATCAACCACATTGCTAGCAATCCCTTGTCATGCCACTTGCCTCCCTGCCTCCACACATCTGCTCATGCTGGGCCTTCTGCCTAGAGTGCTTTATCCCAAAGGCCAACTCACTGAGGTCTTTTCCAGTCTGCCAGAGTGGGACTAATCTGTTTAGTCTGTCATTTTGTTGCATTTTGTGCATGTTTGTTGTGCCTTATATTAAACAATGCCTTGAATTATAGAAATTTATGTATATGTCTATTTCCTGTACTTTCCCTTGAATCCTTTCAGGGCCATCTCATTAATTTCTTAAAATCTTTTATACCAAGCACAGTGCCTGGTACATGGTGGGTATTCGGTAAATTAAAATGCACTTTGAATGTGAGAATGAGCAGAGTGACATGGGATAGTGTTATCCCCTGACAAGGGATTAAGTGATTATCCTAAGGCCCTCATGGTACCTTCCCTTTAGGACCCAGAGACCCATACTGGCTTGGTGTCTCAAGGCAGCTCAGAACAAAAGCCTGGAACAGGCAGCTGTATCCAGAGTGGAAAAAAAATCCAAGGGTCTGATTGCTGGAGAGGTGAGAACTGGCAATTTCTAGGAAGGGTGGAATGGGATGGGGAGAAGGGCAATAACTGGGTTGACTGTAGCTTGAGAAGATACAAAAGGGGAAAGGTATATGAAGAGGGGAAGGCAAGGAATCTCAGCTAATGATGCAGCTGCCCATCACAGGTGGCCAGGTGGCCCTAAAGGTCAGTAATGATGGGCCTACATTAGTTGGGGCAAATGCCTCCTTCTCCATTGCTCTGCACTTCTCTAAAAGCCAAAAGATGCTGCCAGATGGGCAGGTCATCTGGGCCAACACCACCATCATCAATGGTGAGTACCTCCCTAGCCCAGGCCCTCATTCCTAGGGCTTAGACTCCCTGGAATCCCTAATGAGCTCAGGTAATGCTCCCTTCCTTCTTTAGTTTTTTTCCCTACAAATTATATATGCAATAGATATCCATTGTAGAAAAATTATAAAACACAGAAAAAGCAAAAAGAAAAAATTATAGTTCCTAGAATGGATAGAAGACCCAGGGGTTGAAGGACCTAGAAGTTGGACAGACTTGGATTTAAATGTTATTAGTATACGACCTTGGGCAGGTTAGTTATTTTGTGCTTCCATTTCTCTATCTATAGAATGGCAGTGATACCTACCCACCTTGGAAGGTTGTTTTGAGGATTAAAATGTAATATATAAATGATTTAGCATAATGCCTGCCTCAGCCTATATTGAGTAAAGGCTCAATAAATATTAGCTGGTGCTGATATTTTTATCCTACAAGCTAGGGAAAGCCACTCTAAACATTTTGATATGTGATCTTCCACTCTCTTTCCTAAGTATATACATAGGAGTCTTTAACTGCAGTTTCCATTCTCCCCTTGACCACTCCAAATGGATTGTACCAAAGGGAATATAATTTGTAACTAGGGAGTATTCCCTGAGCCCCTCTCTGGGGCTATTAGGAGTTTGGGTGTATAAAGAGGAATACCAGGATTTGAAGGTGGCTCTGTATTTCTTTTTCAGAGAGCCAGGTGTGGGGAGGACAGCCAGTGTACCCCTAGGACCCTGATGATGCCTGCATCTTCCCTGATGGTGGGGCTTGCCCATCTGGCCCCTGATCTCAGAGGAGAAACTTTGTTTATGTCTGGAAGACATGGGGTGAGGACTTCCTTCTGTGACCTGTTATCCACAGTTGGATTCACCTCTTCCTACCTTACCCTTTCTTTTTGGTCCCACCCCTTAAGCTCTGTGAGCTCTCTAATCTTCATCACCCCCCTGACCCGCCCCAGATCATTCCTCAGACTCCATTATAATTCTTCCAGGGAGCCCTTCCCCAGTTATAGTCCCATCCCATGGAACCCCTCATCAGGACCCCTTTTCTGCCCCATATCACAAATGCCCTGTGAAACAGTCATCCCCAACACATCTCCTGACCCTCCTCCTCGGGTGCCTAGCCTCTGATCCTCCCCCTAAGCACCCTCTGAGCAATAACCCCCACCCTCCTTTTCTTTCCAAAATCCTCAGGCCAATACTGGCAAGTGCTCGGGGGCCCAGTGTTGGGGCTGAGCATTGGGACTAGCACAGCAGTGCTGGGCACACACACCATGAAAGTGACTGTCTATCACCACAGGGGGGCTCAGAGCTACATGCCCCTTGCTCACTCCCACTCAGCATTTACCATTACTGGTAAGGATTTAGGAAGGCACAAGGCCAGTTGCAGGCAGGAGGTGGGGAGGCTTGGCTAGACTGGCAAGGGGAAAGGAGAACAGGGAGACATAGGCAGAGAAATGTGGGGCTTGGAGTCAGTGAAGGGTCAGTCAGGTTGGGTTGGGAGGGTGTGGTTGTGAAAGAAGAACCTGTAGCCCAGGCATGGTTCTCAACTTTTCTGGCACCAATCCCAGACCAGGTACCTTTCTCTGTGAGCATGTCCCAGGTGCAGGCTGTGGATGGTGAGAACACTTCCTGAGAAATCAACCTTTAACCTTTGCCCTCCAGCTCCATGATCCCAGTGACTATTTGACTGGGGCTGACCTCTCCTACACCTGGGACTTTGGAGACAGTACTGGACCCTGATCTTTCAAGCACTTTTGGTCACTCACACTTACCTAGAGTCTGGCCCAGTCACTGCCTGGGTGGTGCTGCAGGCTGCCTTTTCTCTTGCCTCCTGTGGCTCCTCCCCAGGTCCAGGTACCACAGATTGGCATGTACCAACTGCAGGGGCCCCTGGCACCACAGCCAGGCAAGTGCCTACTGCAGAAGTCATAGGTACTATACCTGTTCAGGTGCCAACTTCAAAGCCCTCTGGAAGCACAACTGAGCAGGTGCCAACCTCAGAGGTCATAGGCACCACCCTTGCTGAAATGCCGACTGCAGAGGCCATAAGTAGGACACATGAAGTGTCAACTGCAGAGCTCTCTGAAACCACAGTCACACCAGTAATGACTACAGAATTGCTGGAGCCCACAGATGGAGAGGTGCCCACCCTTGAGCTGCAGAGTCCAGTTGCCAGCCCATTCATGCCTACAGAAGGTAAAGCTGGTAAGAGGTTCAGTGGGGAGAGGGGCACTTTTCTATAGAGCTAAAGACTTACCCAGGCTACAGATGTTACCCAATCTTTTGCATAGCAGTGGGGTCCCCTCAGAGCCCTCACTGGTTTTAAAGCCCTCAAGTCTCTCTTAATGGCATGAAATAGATCTGGAGTTCAAAAAACCAGAGTAACCCTAGGCCTTGGGGAGAGAGCTTGTTGCTTCTCTATCCTTGAGGAGAGCTGTTCCTTGAGGGGAAAGCCAGGGAACAGACTGTGGTTTACATATTTGTATCTAATTTCTCTTGGAGTGCAAATGCATAGAAGTGTTTCCCAGAGTCTGACATCATTTTCCACCCCTGGATTTCCATTCCAAAGCAGGTCAACCTGGGATTGTAGTAGAAACATTGAAAAGGAAGGAATGAGAGAATGATACTTAAGTGAGTTAACATATGTCCAGTGTCTAGCCCAGGATCTGGTATAGTGTGGGGTGTGATCAATATTTGGGATTTTTTAAAACTGCAACTCTACCCTTAACCATATGACTCTGGGGAAGTCATTTCTCCCTCTGGGCCTCAGTTTCCTAATCTATGGGATTTCTCAGGTCTTGTCTGACGATTCCAAGCCTGGATCCAGTAGCTCTGGCTGCTGTGGAGGCTGGTGGAGGGAGGCTTGTGCTGTCTTGGGCTGATCAGTGGCAGCATGCCTTGGAAGGAGTTACTCACCTGGACCAGAATATCTTAATCCCAGGGTTTTATTTGATGTCACAGGGATGGGATGAGACTGGGGAAGCAGCCCTAAGGTTTTCCTGTCTTGGACCTTTGGGGAGGCCTGGGAGAGGAGCCCAACCTTAAAATCTTACAACCTTACAGAGGGCATTGAGAGCGCTGTGATTCTGCAGGCTACGCTGTCCAGCAAAGGGGATGCATTTGAGCCGACTGTCCTGCCAAGGCAGGTGAGTGTCCCACTGTTGCTGAGAACTCTTGGGTTGACTGCTGCACTGCTCTCTGGTGCCTAGTGTTTCTTCCCAGACTTCCTGACATAAGCTGACGCCTCTCCCAGGCTGCCCAAGGAAGCCTATATGGACATCTCATCATCAGGTGCCAGCCCCCTTGCCAGCATCTGTGTCAGCCTGTGCTACCCAGTCCAGCTTGCCAGCTGGTTCTGTACCAGGTACTGAAGGGTGGCTCAGGAACCTACTGCCTCAATGTGTCTTTGGCTGATGCCAACAGTCTGGCAAAGGTCAGTACCCAGCTTGTCATGCCCAGTAGGTATTTATTTGGACAAGAGCTAGGATGACATGGGCATGTGGGTTGTCTGGCAGGGAGCAGACTGACAGCAGCTGTGCCTCGGTTCTGCTCCCAGGTCAGGAAGCAGGTCCTTGGCAAGCTCCCGTCTGTGGTCATCTTGCTGATGTTGATAGTGATGGTGCTGGCATCTCTGGTACACAGGTGAGGGCCCCCACACCCAGCTCTCACCCCTTCTCCCTTGTTACCAGCACTCACTCTTCCTCAGGGGAGAAGGAGATGCACTCCCTTTGAGGATGCCTGGTGTCCAGCAGAAAGCCCAGACTTGGAAGTTAAACAGGCCTGGGCTACAGTCTTGCTGGCGGGACCTTGAAAATAACTTAACCCTTCTGAACCTCTGAAAAGTAGGAAGACTGAGTCCTGCCTTGTGGGCTGTTGTCAGGTTTGGAGACAATGTGGGCAAAGAACCTGGTTCTCAGGCATGAGTGGTACCAATGGTGACTGTTGTCACTCACAATACCAAGAGTGATGGAGCTGGGGTGAGTGGAGCTCTCCACCTGAGAGAGCGAGAAGGGCAGAACCAGGCCTGGATTGACAAGGTTCTCAAAGAAGGGAAGCTAGTAGGGGGAGAGGGAATGGACAGAGGCTTGCACAGAAACAGGAGTGGAGGGAAGCGAGGAACAAGGGGAGGGAGAAGGTGGAGGCCAAGTAAACCTGGGATATGGGTGTGTTCTCTTTGGAGAAGCAGGGGCAGGCTGCCCTTGTCCGTTGCTAACCAGTTTCCCCTTCTCCTAATATCAGGCACAGACTTCTGAAGCAGGGCTCAGCTCTGCCCCCTCCCCAGCTGCCATGGGGCAGTATCCACTGGCTGCATCTGCCCCAGGTCTTCCGCCCCCACCCCACTGGTGAGAGCAGCCCCCTCCTTAGTGGGCAGCAGGTCTGAGTACTTTCACATAACACCCAGGGCCACAGCAAATTCTGTCTTTTCTTCAGTGTTCCCTGGGAGATAACTATTACCTGAAATAAATACTGAGAACCTGCTGCTGTTTTTTTTCTTGCTTCTGGGAGAGAATCTGTGACATTTAAGGAGTGGAGATACAAAGGAAGGAGGTGTACCACTCACTTAACAGGTATCCTGTTAAGTGGGAGGAAAAGTCATTTTATTCAGATGAGGCACTTCCAATATACGTATGTGTTTGTGGTGTGTGTGTGTGTGTGTGTGTGTGTGTGTGTGTGTGTGTGTGTGTGGAATAGTAGAGGTTGTGCAGGATAATAAATATTGTAAAGATGAGGGAACACTCCCCTGAGCTGGCAGGAGGGTGTGGCAGCAATATACAGAGCCTAGGGAGTAGAGTCCAGGGTTGAAGAGGTGGGCTCAAGGCTGGCTTGGAGGCTGAGGTGCTCCTCTCAGCATAAGAAGCCAAAGAAATTAGAGGAGCGAGGGGATGGGCCCATGAGCATGGGCATCTGGTTCTTGTGGGTAATCTTGATCTGCAAGGGAAGGGGGCATGTTCAGAGGCAGGACCTGGTACCTTGGGGCTGCAGCAGAGATTCTGGGGGAAATCTTTGGGGCTTAGGATAGGTTGCTGGGGTCCTAGAGAGGCTATGGTAGGAAAGCCAGGGGTTGAGAAATCAGGACTTGGAAGGAATGGTGCACAGGGGAATTTCAGGCATCAGGAGGAAGAAAAGAAGCTATGGAATGGAGATTAGGATCCCCAAAGCCTCAGGGGTAGGGGAGCTCAGGTTTTGGCAGGCACAGGCAGTACTCACTGTACAGGGCGTCTGCATCCACGGTTCTCCATCAATTTGCATGGGGAGGGTTTTTGTGGTGCTATGGGAGGCCAAGGCAGATTGGTGGAGATTTCTTTAGCAATCAAATACCAAAACTCTGTTTCTCACATTGGCTTTGAGACCTTTTGTTGCTGAGGAAAATCTCCTATATAGTCCTTCCCCATGATTCCCATGACCCTTCGGCTCTCCTGTCCCCCTCCTTCCCTCAGAACCCCTGGCTGGAGGATTCTTACTGGAACGTGATCTCAGAGCACTTGGCCAGCCGGTGTCCAGCACTCTTGAGCTTGGTATAGATCTGGCCCATTTCAATTGCACTTTCCAGCCCTACTACTTCCAGTCGCTTGTCGCTTAGGTCTGGGGATGGCAAGTAGGGAGGGAGGTTTTGCAGAAGCAGGGTACCTCTAAGACACCCCTTCCCCTTGGTCCCACCCACTCAGCTCCCAAGGCTGTCCTTCTCACCTGGCACACAGGTTTTCAGGATATCAGGGTCAGTGATGACTTTAGCTGCAGCGCCTAGGGCCTGGTTGATCCCATGGATATCCCCATGAGGTTTCTTGGTATCACCCCAGAGGTTGGAGCCACCATGTGTGCTAGGGATGTTCAGAACTGCAATGCCTTCTAAGGATAGGTTACTCAGATCCAAAGGTTTCCCATAGATCTGAGGGCAGGAGAGCACAGATCCTTGCCTCATGGCATGATCATGGATGTGATCCCTCCCTCCACCATATGACAAACTGGGAAGGTCAAGATTTGGAGGTTTGCAAAGAAGGCAGGGAAATAGGGACTGATATATCTTGAGAACTTGGGAAATCAGGATTGGAGAACTGAGAAGTCAAAGTATAGGTTCAGGAATATGGGAAGTTCCTCAGGGTGCCTGGGGAGGGAGAAACTAAGGTAAAAGTAGCTAAAAAGGATGTAAGGTTAGGTCTCATCACACCCACCTCAACTGTCAAAGACTCTTCCAGCTTTCTGCATGTTGAGAAGATGGATTCAGAAGTGGCAAATTCGAAGTACCACAGTTTGTTCTTCATTCTGTGTCAGCCCCAACACAAGGCCCAGTGGGGAGGGGACAAGTTACACAGTGCTGGCAGAGGTGGGCTAAGTGACAAGAAAGGGCATCAACCTCCCACCCAGCCCCATGGTAAACCAGGCAGCTTTGCTAGAGGGGCTGCTTAGAGTTGTCACATCCCCCAGTAGGGCTCTGTGCCAAACCTGGCCACAACAGTCCCCATTTCCCTCACCTGCTGTTGAACTTCTCGGGGTATTTCTCCCGCATGATGTGAAATCGATGGGCAATAGAGGCATCCTGGGGAGTCCAGGGTATGCGAGATCAGAGGCCTGCCTCCTCTTTCAGCACAGAACTCTTTCTCTTTACCGCTCCCATTTGGAAGCAGCATGTCCCATGTTCTTTCCCTGCAACTCACACCACTGTACACCACCCCTAATTTCCCTGTGTCACAGCTCCCTTAACTTTCCTTTTCTGTCCTTCTCCAGCCTCTGCCTGCTTAACCCCTGCTTCCTCCCTCCCCCCACTCCCCACCCTGATGGACCACACTGGGAAACTGACCACACCAATGGAAAAGTAGTTATTGATGATCTGAAATGGGACTGGGTCACTCTTTTCTTCAGTTTGTTGGGGTATCACCTCCACAGACCATCGATCCATATGTACCACCTTACTCATCTCTAACTCCTTGAGGATCTTGCCCAAATTCTGCCCTTCATACCCTAAGGAGGGGGAAGAAGACAAGTTAGCATTAACGGATCTCCTCTCAGCTCCCAGCTCCATAAATCCCCAGAGATCCTCTGTCCTGGTTCTGCAGGCCTTCCCAGCCCCAGCCAGTGAAAGGGCCGGGTGTTCCATCATGGTTCCCATGAACCATTCTTAACGTCAGCCCCTTGCTGTCCCTTTTCTCCACACTGTCATGGAGGGTAAATGTTCCCAATGCATGTGCACATCAAACAATAATGCCAGAAAAGTACATCTGGAAGATTAGAGAAATAGCCAGGAAAATGCAAACTAATGAAAAAGATGAGTGATGAATGGAATTCTCTCCCTCTCTTATGCTTTCCTTTCCCTTCTACCAGATGGAACACAGTACAAAGTAGTTGTGTCTAAACAGGGTGATGCTGGCACAGTGAACAGAAAAAGTTCAATTGTAAAGAATACAGTACCCAGAAATACACTTAGCATATATGGGATTTAGTATATGATGACATTTTTAATAAATGGGGAAAAAGATAGATCATTCAATAAATGGTGCTAGATATAGAAGTCACTTGTTATAACAAAATAAATTTAAGATGGGCCAAAGAATTTAAATACAAAAAAAAGAGCAGAATTTGTACTTGCAGAAAACATGAGTAAATATTTTTATAATCTTTGAGTGTAAAAGGTCTTTCTGAAGCATAATACAAGTTAGGAGCCAAAAAAGTAAAAGACTGATAAATATATTTATATTAAAATTCAAAAATTCTGTGTGGTTAAGTAAATAAAAAGACATCTAAAAAAATACAAACTGGGAAGAAATATCTGCAGCACATATAACTAACTTCCTCAATATTCAAAAACTGCTTGCAAATCACTATATTTAAAGTCAATAGAAAACAACACAAACACAATAATCACAGAAGAAATACAAACATCCAATATGCATAATAAAGATGCTCAATATTACTAATAACTAAAATAATTATAAATTAAAACAGTTTTTTGTTTCTTATCAGATTGAAAAAGCATGAAGAGATTTGAGAAAAATCAAGTGTTAATGAGATTGTGAATAAGCTGGCGCTCTCATTTGCTGTTAGTTGGAGCATAAATTGGTATTTCATATTTGGAAAGCAATTTGGAAATTTTTATCAAAATGCCATCAAATATTATCAAAACACATCCTTTGGCACAGCAATTCCCTTTTTAGGAATTTTCCTGCAGAAATTAACACACATGTACACAGAGATGCAAGGATGGTTGCTGAGGTACTCTCTAAAACAGGAAAAGAGTGGAAACAGCCTAAATGCCCATCAGCAGAAGCAGATTATATAAATTATAAATTATGGCAATCCATGCCATGAAATAACATGCAGCTGTTGAACACAGAATGATAATTGTCTGCACTAACATGGGAAGATCTCCAAGATATACTGTTCAAAGGAAAAAGAAGTCAGAAAACAATCTGTGTAGTATAGTCCCACTTGTTTGTTTCAAAGTTGTGTGTGTATTTGTATGAGCACATGTAAAATAGAAAAATGAGTGCAAATGGGGAATAGTGATTATCTCTGAAGAGGGGCCTGGAATTTGGCAGGAGGTAGTAAAAGGAGTGTGTGAACACTGGCACATTTTACTTTTTATATCTTTTACAGTGAAAAATGTACTGTGTAATTTTTAAGGGAGAAAATAACTAATAAAATGCTCACACTCTTTGAGCCAGCAATTCCACTTCTAGAAATCTCTCCTAGGGAAATTCTCACACCTGTGTGCAGAGATAGACATACAAGGGTGTTCACTGAAGCAGGTTTGGAATAAAAAACTGAATGCTACCCAAATATCTATCAATAGGGCACTGGCTACATAAGTGACATAAATTATGACATAGTTACACAATGGAATGCCATTCAGTAATAAAAAGAGTGAGGCAAACCTGATTAATGAAATAATATGATAAATAGGATGAACTGTTCAGTTAAAAAACAAAGAAAAACATCAATAAAATGATCTAATTGTTTAGATATAAAGAAGTGTGTATCTAGAAAGAAAGAAATGGAGAAATATGCTCCAAAACTTTAGGGAGTAGATATCAGGGGACTTTCACTTTCTTGGCATGTGTATCTGAAATGTTTGAATTATTTTTTACCACAAGCATGTCTTATTTTTGTAATCAGGAAAAAAAGATTAAAAAAATAAGTCTGTACTACATTCCTCACATTCCTGATGGTTTCACCCACTGTAATTTGCCTTTCACCATACTGTCCTGCTGGAACCCTTTTGGCAAAGATTACCACCAATTCCTGCAAAAACCAATAGTATATCTTTAGTTTTCATTTTAATTCATGAAACTCCTCACTTGGCCTCTAAAATACCACTTTCCTAAGTCACTGAGGACCTTTTCTGACTGTTCCTTTAGTCTCTTAGTGGACAGAATAATGGCCCCTCAAAGATGTCCACATTCTGTTCTCTGGAATCTGGGAATATGTTGACTTATACAGCAAAAGAGGTTTTGCAGATGGGATTTCATCAGGGATTTTAAAGTGGGGAGATTGTTCTAGATTACTTGGGTGGGCCCCGTATAAATACATGGCTCTGACCTCCAGAGCTGTAAGATACTAAATTCCTGTTGTATGAAGCCACTATTTGTGGTGACTTGTTATGGCAACCATAGAATGCGAATAGACTCCTTTAATAATTAATCTTCCTCTGCTCAACCCTTAAAAAGGGTGTTCACCAGGAACTTTCTGTCCTCGTCCACCTTCTCATTTTACCTCTTTCCCTGGGTAATTCCTCTACTTGCAGGATGTCATTTACCTCCTAGGAGATACATGTTTGAGATACATGACTCTCAAACATTATCTTCAGCCCTGACTTCTCTCCTAAATTCTTAACATTTATTTCTAAGTACCCACCACACATCTCCACCAGCGTACTCCACTGACACCTCAACTCAACAAGTTCAAAATGGAATCTATCTTTCTTCCTTAAACTGGTCCCCTTCCTGTACTCCCTATCTTAATAAATGGTACACCCCTTCCCCTATCTGCTCAGTCCACAAACCTAGAAAAAGTCCTATTTTCTGATATACCATTTTATTTATAGAGAGAGGGACTTTTGTTATTTTTATATACAGTATAATATTTTATTTATATATATGCACACCAATTTTTCTAGTTACATCTTTCATGAGTTCAAGAGTTCCCCATGGTTCAGGGATTACACATTCAAATGCCTCAGTGGTATTCAAGAGTGAATAGCAGAAAAGGAGCTGAGGGAATTGTAGTGGACTGAAGAATATATGACCCATTTCTTAGAAGTAATCAAGGTCAAAAAATTTAAAACATCACAAGGCAATCAATACAAAACAATACAAGCAATTTCTGTGGGCTGTCAGCTTTCAATCTCTGAGAGGATAAGGTTAGAAACTCCTCAGTACAGTATTCATGATGCTCCATAATATGGACCCTGCTCAACTGAGACCTTCCTCTCCCTACTTCCCACCATGCACCCTACGTCCCAGTCACAGTGAACGACTCACACTTTCCCTAGGGTGCCACCATGTTGCTTGGTGGTTCCTCTGGCCTTACACACTTCTTCCACCCTAAATGCCTTTCAATTTCCTCAGCAGACCCCTATTCCATAATCTCCTGTGTAATCCCAGAGATGGACTCTGAACCCAACAGCCTCAACTTCAAGACAACGCAAACTCAACCTTCCCCACAATGACCTTTTTATTTACTAATACCATTCCTCAAACTCTTTCTCTTTGGAGGGGAAAGAGACTAGAAACAGGAATGCAGGTAGAAGACTTTTGCAATAGATTTGGGAAGAAATTATCATGAATGATTGAAATACCGATTAATTGGCTGAATGAATGAATGAATTGCCACCAAGCTCCCTGTTAGCTCCATCACTCAGCATCAGCTTAGCTCTTACACAACCTTCCTTACTCCCATATTGCCCTCACTCCTCCCCCATATTCCTTGATTCTCTGACCCTTGAGTTGGTTGGGAGAAACAGAGGGGTAATTTTAGGTTTATAGGGAGGAAGACTGTCACCCTTCACTCTTTGACATTTAGATCGTGGTTCTTCCGAAGTTCTTTTTCTTTGGGACAATCCACTTTGGCACCCACCCATCTATGCCCCTCTCTTTCTCCAGTGCTCTTTTTGGACCAGATGCCAAATGCCTTCTCTCTGTGCTTTTCCCTTCCACCCAAGTCCCTCACCCTCCAGGGAAACAGTCCCAGCACTTACCTCCTCCCCATCTTAGGCAGCGAGCCAGGTCATTCCCCGTGCCCAGCGGCAGCACAGCGACAGGGGGTGAGACAGGCAGGCCAGCTTTGTCTGGGGGGCAGTGTGAGGAGGTGGTGAGGGCGTCACGGCCTCTGCCCCAGTGCCCTGCCTGGGCCTTTCCCTGCACTGACCTATGCTCTCTAGAATCCAGCCCACGGTGCCATCTCCACCACACACCAAAATTCGGCAGTTAGGAACCTCTCTGAAGAATCTGAGCCTGAGACAAAAGGGAAGAGAGAAGGTGATGAGGGATGACAGGACCAAGGCCACCCAATGCCTGGATAGGAGGATTATTCTTGTCTCTCCTTCCTTATGACCCTCTTCCCCTTTGTCAAACGGCTTATTTCTACTAAGGGCAGACAAAAAGTCAGCAGGGAAAGTTATAGCCACTCCTCAGCAGTAGAGAGGAACTGGTATCTTCACCTTCTGTGAGAAGAACGATGAGCTGGAGAATGCAGAGATGGGGGCATCCAGGGACCCCAGCAGAAGCCAGCTTCCTGAATTCTGGCTTATCAGGGTTCCATAGCTCTCCCCCACAACATGCAATCATCCTGTTCTCTCCCTCCATACACAGGTAGACAGACACACACAAACACTGTGAAACAGGCCCTAACCTACACTACTCACCCTGGCTCAGGGCCGTCTTTGAGGAGGTTGAACACCTGTCGAGGGTTTAGTAGATACTGGAATTTCCAAAGCACCCTGGGTGAGGGAAAAAGGAAAGCTCATGACAAATGATGCATCTTCTGTACCCCACTCTCTTGATGTCCTCCTCAAGGCATGTCCCCTTGATACAAACAGATTTCCAGCCCCTGTTGGTCCTCCCTCTCCATTTCTAAAGACCCAGTATATCTCTTCTCACCTATGCCCCTGCTTTCCACCACTTTTAGGGTTGACAAAGACCAGAAGTGGGTGGGTGTTAGAAACAGGGTCAATCTGCATTGGGGAAGAAAATAAGGATAAGGAAGGAGGAATTTGCCAGAGTTCAGATGGGTCCTGGAGATAGCAGCAGAAGCTGGCATTCCCCAAGCTGCTTTCCCCTCCCTTGCCAGGATGGCCTTCTGGAGAGCAGACCCATTCCCCAGGTTTCCCACTTCATTCCCTCCCATGAAAGCACCCGTGAAGAAAAACCAGCCCCACCACAAAGCCCAAGTCTCTCAGCCATGTACCCGCAGGGCCTCAAAGGTACTCAAACTTAAGTCATCCACAGCCTTCTGGCTGGCATTGCTAATTTTACGCTCCTGTCCAGAGACCTAGGAAGGGAGGGAAGCAGAGAGAAGGCAAGCTGGATTGTGGGTGAACCCCTAAGCAGAGTCCAACTTGAATTCCAGAAGTATAGGCTCTCTGCTCTAAATGCCTGTGTTTGTGTGTGTGTGTGTGTGTGTGTGTGTGTGTGTGTGTGTGTGTGTGTGTGTTTAGGTAGAGGAAGCACTCTGGTCCCCTCCTGCACAAGGGTCTCACCAGAACACTGGGATAGATGGAAGATGGAGGCAGGATGTGATCACGGAGTAGCCCACAGTCACACTCATGGCCCACGGCTTGCAGGCAGTCATCGTGGATCTGAAAGACAAGGTGGGCACAGAGAGATCATGGAGGGAATCCCACCACCTCTCAACCTGGGGGTCTGGTACTGGAAAGAGAGTCCTTACACGAGCAGGGGCAACTGGTTGTAAAGGAGATGCGGTTGGGGATGCCAGCAGACTAGCGGGGAGGAGTCAGCTTAGGGATGAGGCGGCAGGCACAGCTGCTGGGAGAACTCGGGACTGACCTCTAGGTGGCACCACACGCAGTGCAGCCCGACAAGACTGTGGTAGATGCGGATCTTTTTCTGACAGCGGTCACATCTCCCAGATTCACAGCCTCCTCGCACCCACACATGTGATTGGACCTTGGGAAGGACGGCAATCTCTTGTCAAAGAGGGTCTGGGGGAAGGGCCGAGGGCAGCAATGGGCCAAGGGCCAGGGTCAGAGCCAGGATGTGGGTGGTGATAGGTGGGCATAGGGTCACTCACACCAATGTCCTTTCGAGACTTGGCATAGGTGCTGACTTCACAAGGCTCGGCCTTCATGGCACACTGGTCGTGAACGATGTATTTACAGACTGGGCAAGAGGGAGGAAGGTCAGAGCCTTAGCTGCAGCCCCTCCCCCTATTTCCTCCTTACCTGGGGGTGAGGCAGGACCACTCACTGACGCAAGACATTAAACTCCTTGCTGTGAGAATGTGGTAAAGAATTCAAGCTTGGAGTGGGGGTTCACCTCCAAGACATGGGCCTCTGGATCATTCTCCCCGCTGACAGAGCAATTGCTGCTGCAGACCTGCCCCCACCTCATCCAAGGACCAGTAGCTGAGCTGGATGGTGCAAAGGAGGCCCAGATGTGACAATGACAATGACAATAATAATAATGAGAGTATATAAGTCTCTCATTTCATTGCAGACTTATATACATGCACCATGTGAAACCCTTGTCTGCATCAACTAATCTAATGCTCATAATTACCTCATTTTCAGTTGAGGAAACTAAGGCTTAAAGTTGAGGCTTTCCCAAGGTCATTCAACTAGTTGATGGAAGGGCCCAGGGTCCAAACCCAGGGCTCTACAAGTTCAGAGCACTATGCTCCCGCTGGGCCAGGCCCTGTCACTCACGGTTACAGCTGAGCCCCTGTTTGCCAAGACCAATGCTCGATTCGCACAGGTTGCAGTAGACTGGTCGGGGGAACCTCTTGGGTCTCCACAGGTGCTGCCCATTGTCCTTCAGGGCCTGGGGGGCACAGCAGGTGGCAGGGAGTGTCTAAGGCTTTAGAAGACCAACCTCTGGTATGGTAAGCACAACCCAGGCTGCCTTACCATCCTCACAAGTGACTCTACTCACCATCTCCAGACCCAGCAGCACTAGCAGGGGGACAGTGGTGGCCCCAGCCCGAAGCCACTCAGCTAGGGAGACAGAGCCACTGCCATCATAGTCAATTTCTGTCATCATCTCCTGAAGAATCTGGGCAGAGAAGGGACAACTTGTGGTGTGAGTGGCCCCTCAGATCTGACACCTCCACACTGTCCCCTAGGACAACTAGCCAGCCATCCTAGGCAAGGACACCAGGCTGCCAGTCAGAGATGGGGTAAGGTAGGTGCAGGACTCACCACGAAGAAGGTACAAGAAGGGATGTAAAGAAAGGAAGAACTGCCTTACCGGTCTCAGCTCAGACACATCCCAGTCCAGGTATTCAGCCACTCGCATCATCTGTATGATGATTCTGTCTACTTCCTGGGGGCCAAGAGGGGAGGAGCCATAGCCATATCCCATCTCACTACCACCATCCAAAATCTTCTCTAATCAGGGTTCCTGGGTTCCACCCCCAGAACCCACCTCTTGTTCTCAGGTGCCTCTGCCATGTAAGTGTCTATGTGAGTTCATATTTTTGCAAGGCAGCCCTCAATTCATGTCTCCAGTCTCCTCTTTTAGGGGTCAAGAGCTTGGGACCTATTCCCACATTTAGTCCTAGAGGACTCAACTTCTCCTCCCTAGCTTCCTCTGCTTCTTAAGATCCTGGAAGAGTCGGGACAGGAGAGCACAGACAGATGGACACATACCCCCTTGCCCAGAATACAGGTCCCCCAACTCACCGAGCTGTCCAAGATCCCATTTCTGTCGGTGTCATACAGCTTGAAGGTGACTGTGGGATGTTTCAGGGGGGGCCAGGGTCAGTTTGTGAGAGACATCCAAAGAATTCATAACAGGACACAGGGGAAATTGATAGGGGGAGAGCTATTTCTCTACAGCCCAGAGCATGCGGCTGGTGCTGAGAAAGGAGACAAAAAGGAAGGGGAAATAGGCCCAGATTCCACACTCAGTGGACCTGATAGAGTTGACAGTACATATCTCCCACATCCCAAGACCACCCCATGCCACCCATGAGAAAATGTACAAGACGTGGGAATGTACAAGTCATCTGGAGTGATTGTGACGGATGGCATTTATGTATAAAGAGCCTGGGGGAACAGAGGAAATGGGCACATTCTCTGGCCCCACCTTTGTCAGGCCCTGTCAGCCTTTAGGAATTCTTAAAAGATGAGGGAAGACAGTCTGGGGAACACCCTCTTTCCTTTCATCTTTGGTCCCTTCTCCCAGCCCAGAGGACAACTCACATTCTAGCTTGTCTTCTGGCCGGCCACCCTCCAGAAGGGAAAAATAGCAGGAGACATCACTGAGACACACCACATCTGGTTATAAAAAGTACAGCAGCTCTGAGGGTGGGGGTCCCTCCACTGTGGCTCTTCTCTTTTCCTTGTTCCAATTCTCCCTTTTAACTTTCCTCCTGCCAACTCATAGACCAGCTTGGCCACCCTCCACCTCTGCCCCTTCCCTTGGCCCCAACATGTGACTCAGTTCAACTTTCACCCCAAAACCCACCCTTATTTTACTTTGATCCTGGGGGCCCATCCAGTCCCTCCCATGTGACCACACCTTTTTTCACAGTCTCTTCTAAGCAGTAACCAGTCTGGAAGGATTGAAACAGTGCCAGGCTTAGGCCACTGGGAATATTATCCACTTCTAGATAGATTTTCAGGAAGTGCTGGAATCCCTCGTACCCAACGGCCTATGAGAGAGTGAGCATTACCCTGAAGAGTCTGCAAGATGGGAGCTGGGTACTGAAGAATTGGGAATAGTGGGGACAAACAAAATAAGTACAGAACTCAGAAGCATCCAAGGCAGGAATATGGTTTCTTGGGCTGAGTCCCGAGTTAATAGGATCTCTTAGTTTGTCCTAACACAGTAGCTGCAGTGACAACAAACGCTGGGATATCTAGAGGGAGGATAGTTGGAGGTGGGCCCAGAATGCTCCCTGGAAGATGGGTATCCCAATGGACTAGCAAAAACAAAGATGGGAGGAGTTGGTCAAGGAGAGGATTTTCCGGCTGCCACTTACATCTCCTTGGACATATTCAGCCATTTCGCCATCCTCAAAGAGCTTTAGGACATCACTGACCTTTTTGGTGGAGTCTAGGGTATGAAGGAGTGAGTGAGAGAAGAGCATCAGTCTGATTCTGCCCTCTCTGCCCTCTACCAGAGACTCGTCCAGACAGTCAATGGGAAAGAAGATTTAAGTGAGAGAATGAAGAAATTTCAAGAAGAAACACACAAATACAGAGAGAAAAACATTTCAACTCCAAAGTGATACCCTTCTTTACTTGACTTCTCTGAGACTTGGAGCAGGTGGTCAAGGTCCAGAGAAGGTGGAAGGGGAGCTGGGATGTAGGCATCTCCCTATCTCCCTCTCCTCCCTTTCCCAGGCACAGGCACCTCTCAGGAGCAGACTGGCTCAGGGCCACTTGGAACACTGGGCAGAGTGGGAGGGGGAGTGAGGAGGAGGAGAGATTCTTTGGGGTTTCAGCACTGAAGGACTCGGAGGAAGACTCACATTCCATGTATTTTTGCAGCTGGGCAAAATCACTGGGGCTTATTAGGCCCCTCTCCTTGGCCATTTTTCTTTTTCTTTTTTAAGGATGACCAAAAAGGCAGCTTGGTAGTAATGTTTCTGACGCCTGGACCTCCACTTCCAGGGATAGGTCTGGAGGAAGATGACAAGAGCATGTGGCAGGAGGCGCCCGCTGCCTGCATCGTTTTGCTTCCGTCTACTCAGTTATTCTCCACGCCCACTATTATTTCTGTCCCTTCCTGGTTTCTGTGTCCCTCCCCGAGTCTCTTCCTTTCTCGGAGTTCCTTCCCGCTGTGTCCCTCTCTATCCTTGGCCATGTCTGTCCTCTGTCTCATCTCTGACCCTCCTCCATTCTGGATTCTTCTCCAGAGGTCATTTCCCCCCTCTGTCTAGATTGTCTCTGACCGCCGTGTCCTCGCTCCCTCCACCCCGCTTTCCCAGTTTGTTTGCGTGTCTGTGGCGCGTCCCGGGCTCGTTCCACCTTTCCTTCTGCCACTCCGTGTCCCCTCGTCCTGGCCCTCGGGCGGCTCCCTGTGCGACGGCACCACGCCCCGGCCAACCTCGGCCGCTAGCCGGGCTCAGCCGTGCGCGCCCCCCGCCGACCTGTAGTGCCGCTGATGTGGGACCCAGGCTCAGCTCTAGCGGGCTCAGACCCGGCCTCCTCACGGCGTCCCGCGGAGCCCCGCTAGGGAAGGGCGGCTCAGGGCACCTGCCCGCTTCCCAGCATAAAGGTGGACGGAGCGCGAGTATCAGAGGCAGGGGCTTCCTTCTAGCACGCCAGGTCCGCAATGCTCAGGGAGCTCTAACACACGGCTATGGGGCCCGGGGCCCAGCAGGAGCCGTCAGGCGGATTACGCTGACTACTGGCCCAGGGCCAGAGCGGGACGGGCAACTTGTCTTGAAATTCAGCAACACCAATATCGGTATCTTACAGTAACATCGTGCAGCGCCGTTTAGGAGTCAAGTGTACCTAGCGTTAGTCATGTCTGGGTCCCATTCTTAGCCAATACCTCTGTGTGTGGGCACATTTCCTCTGTGAGATGGGGAGAATGGTACGTCTCTCTCACAGCTGTGAGGATTAAGTTAAATAAGAAAAATACCTAGTATAATGCCTGGCATGTAGAAGATCTACAAGAAATGGTAGTTATTATTGTATTAATTAAAATCCTGAGACAGGAAATTATTGGTATAGCCATTCTACAGATGAAGAAACTGGAGCTCCAAGAGGTTGGGACTTCTAAGGCAAATGACAAGTGAAGGAGCCAGAGCTCTAACCCAAGATGCAGGACCCCTGCCTATCTCTCCGTCCTGCTCTTGTTCTACCCTCTACTTCACACACTGCCTTCTAGTCTCAGAAAGGCCCTACTTTCTGTTCCTCAAGCACCGCCAAGTTCTTCCCTGCTCACGGACATGAGACTTACTGTTCTGCCTGCCTGGAACACCCTTCTCCACTCTTGGCAGAGCTGACTTCTTGCCTAAGCTGAAATGTCAGCTCTTTCAAGAGACCTTCCCTGATCATTCTGTCCTAAAGTAGCCCCCTCCTTTGCTTCTTTCATAGAATTGATTGCAAGTGGAAAGTATCTTGCTAATTTATTTGACTTTCTGTTTACTGTTTATCTTTGCCTACCAAAATATAGATTCCACAAAGGGCAGGAACTTGTCAGTGTTGCTCACAACTGTATCCCTGGTACCTAAAACGATGCCCTGCATGTTGTAGGTGCTCCATATTGGTGGGGCAAATAGTCATGTAAAGTTAGGAAGTCATATTTTGGGCATATGATTCCAAATTTGGTTAAATGGGATACCAGAGTGTCCATCCTGACAGTCAGGGGAATGAGACAGTTTGGAGGACATGTAATAGATGCAAAATAGGTATTTGTTAAATGGATGAATGATGCTTAAAAGCACTTATTGTGGTACTCCCTCCAAGGCTGACCTTCTGCCTCCCCTTGCCCACTTATTTAGGGCTTGTTGGGTCAGGCTCAAGAAGGCAGTTAGGGCCTACAAGAATTTCCTTTCTGATGGTGCAAGAACCTTCTCTGCAGCCTTTGCAGAGACAACTTGGGACATCTTCACTGCTCATCTCTAAGTCCACTGTTGTTCTGGGGGCTGTCTGGGAAGACCTAGAAGGTGGTTCTGGAACACTGATACTGGGGAGGAAGGACTCCACTCATCTGGCCCTTTACAGTGACTATTATCCAACTTCTACTGCCAACAGATCTCATGAATATATAATAGTCTTAGGGCTAATGGGGCCTCTATGGCTCAACTAGCCTCTCTCATTACTCCTGGGGATTCTTAGATGGCTCCAGGATTCTAGGAAATGGAATCTGAGAGAGCAAGTGACAGGGAGACAACAAACAAGGGACAGTGAATAGAAGAGAGGACATATACTTCTCTCTTGTGTCTATCTTCACAATCACCCTTCTGAGCCCACCAGGTCTTAAACCTAATATATAGTAGAGGTTTAGAATGGACTTTTGAATTAGATAGGCATGATTAGAATCCTAGCTATAGGGAGAGTTATTTCTCCCTGAACCTATTTCCTCATCAGTATAATAGGAACCTTAGAGAAATCAATCACAATGTGGGGATTAAATAAGATAATACATGCAATATACTTAGCAAACTGCATGGCATAAAGAACTCAAAAAAGGTAGCTGCAGCTATTACTACTACTATATAAGGGTGATACGTAGAGAAACACATCTGGACATTCGGAAGAATGACGTTTTAGATTGAGGAAGGCATAAATTTTAGGGACTCCCAGTAGCAGTGAAGCCTAGTTGTACACCTTCCTGCCTTGTGTCATATCTCAGGCCCAGACATGTAGTATGAGGATCATGCACTTTGCCTCTGGGAAGGTGAGGAGGTGGCTAGAAACTAAATTCTGAGGGTCCAAGGACATCCCTGGGCTGGAACCGTGGACATTAGGGCTCCTGGAATCTTTCCAGTTGTCCTGACTTCTTTCATCAAAATTTTGGCAGCCCCTGGTGCTGAAAGGCAGCAAACTGCAGGATCCTGGGGCCTTAAGAACCTGGAATAAGTCCAGTTTTGTCCTCCTGCTTCCTCCCAACCCTGAGGATATAACCTGGACTAGTACAGGCAAATGCCAGGGCTGGGAGGGTGGGGCTGCTGTCCGCCTGCCAGCTATTTGTGACTCACCTTTTCCTTTTCTCTAGTTTCCCTGCCTGTCCTTACCAACTTGGAGTGAGAAAGTAAGACGCTGACCTGGAGGTAGAGAATCCTAGGACATCCTCAGAGCTGGGAGGCACCAACTCTCATGTTTTACAGAGGAAGAAACCAAGGCCCACAGAGAGAACAGCTTCCTCAGGGTCACACCCAAGCATTACATCCTATCCTTAGTCCATTCCATTAAATTTTAGTGCCTCTGGTTTTCTAGATCTGATTTTAAACGTGAAATACTAGTAACCAAGAGATAAATGTGATTTCCAAAGCCAGTGCTAACATTTAAAGTTTCCCTTTTCGCGGCAACATTCATTGTTCCTATTCCAAGTCACCAAAGTTTACCGTTACTCAAGAATCAGCTCTGCCCCCAGAACATTCAGGCTGACCCAGCCAGGAACCCCAAGGGGCAGGCACTCCCTTAGAGGCCTGAGTACCTGGACTTGTGAATCCCTTAATCACACAAGGGCCGGCCTCCTCCTCCTCTTTCCCAGGACTAAGGGAGGGTCTATTTTTACGTGCCCACCCCTGCTACTAGTCGTGTCCCCTAAGAGAAATCACTTGGCTTGAAGTCCCCAAATTTGTTAAGTCTCCACCAATATCGCAGACGATAGCGCTGATTAAGGCGGAGGTGCGGATGTGTGTGGGGCGGGGGCCATTGCGTAGTACAGGAGGAAGTTACGATGTGGGCATGGTTGGGGGATGTGAGGCTGAGGAGATGCCCAATAATACCTGCATTTCTTCCTCAGCGAAGCTCATTTCCCCTTTTAAAGGTGAAAAGTGAGATTCAGACCCAGGTAGTTTCGGACACTTACCGGCGACAGGTGTGGAAAGGATAGGGAGTGGGAAGTTGGGGACTAAGAGGCCAAAAAAGAAGCCTCTTCCAGCCCCCGTTCGCTGCTGGAGGCTCCCTCAGGGACTTTGCCCCGCATGGAGTGCCTAGGAGCCGAGTGAGCAAGAGGAATGAGGACAGGTCGGGGAGAAGCTCTGCGGCTGCGGTTCCAGCCCCGCGCCCTGCGGACCCTTCCCGGCACTCGCTCCAGCTGCCACGCTTTCTCCTCCCGCGCAGTGGCCCCCGACCCCCTCTCCCCACCCCGGCGCGGGCGCCCCCTGCCGCGGCCGCAGCCCCTCGTGCTCCGGGTGGCTGCTGGGAGGGGCGGGGACTCGCGGGGTCTCTACCTTCCGGCGGAGGGCGCGCAGTCGAAGCAGAAGGGCCGGCGCGGAGCAGCCGCCCGGGCGGGGCTGGAGGGGACGGGCCCGGCCGACGCGCGTGACGCGGCCGCAGCTCCTGACGACACAGCTGCCCGTCCCCCGGCCGATCCGCCGCGCCCACGGCCGGCGCCCCCGACTCGGGGGACGCCCAGTCTGGAGTTTCCAGTGCACCCAACTGGACTCCCCCTTCCCCGAATGTCTTCAGGGCTCTGGTCGGCGCCACGGTCCACACCCTGTGCTCATCTTCCCGCCCCCGAGGTCGCTATCTATCTTTCCGTCCTTCGAATCACTCACAGCCCTTACCTCATCCCAACGCTGGTCGGCCAAGATAGAGGGCGGGCCGCTGAGGGTAAACCGGGTCCCTGCTCACCCAGCCAACGTCTCTCCCTCTCCTTATTGCGGCCACCCGGAGACTTCCCTTCCCAACTCCCTTCCACCCTCCATTAACTGAATTCATGCTCAGGAGCTCCTACAGCAGGAAGGCCAGCGTTCCAGACTCCACATCCAGAACACCTCCCTCCCCCATGGGCTCCACACTGCTTGGTACTATTGAAATAATCTGCCCACCTTTGCCTCTAGGGTTCCTAAAACTTAAACCCCAGATGTCTCGGACTTGGTTCCCCAGTCTGAGGACATCTCCTCTTCAAGACTCAGATGTTTCCCTTAATTCTTTGGTCAAAGTTTAGGTGTAAAGAGCATCCTGGTCTGTGTCCAGCCTTTCTCCATGCCCTAATCCTCCCACTTTACCTGCTGGCCTTGGCAGGCAGGCGGTAGCCCTGGCCAAAAGGAGGGGTGAAAGAAGACCCTTTCGGCTTCTCCTGTCTGGAGTCTGTTCCGAAGGTATTTAAGGTTCTTGGGGCAGCATGGGTGGTGGCTAGCACAGCAGGAGAGACAGAGGCCTAGGGACTTACTGGTAGGAACTGGGGACCCAGGCATCCTGCTCCCTGGCTCCGCCCCAACCCCTGTCTACCGCCCTCCTACCCTTCATTCAAGTAGGGCACTGTAACAAAGGCTTGAGTTCCTGGAATCTTTCCTCTTACGCCTGGTGGTGGAAGAGTGGGGGAGGGGAGAGCTCTGACTGAAAGGGTGTATGTGTGTGTATATGTTGTGTATGTTTTGGTGGGGGTTGGAGAGAAGGAATGAAGCCATGAGGCCCTCTAGTGGAAACTGGGCAGTTTTTGATTGTTTCAAGATAGGCTTGTGGGAAAGAGATCCTCCATTTTTATCAGAAATATAGCTGCTGAGAATTGGGGTTTGGAAGGACTGTGGTGTCTGAACTAGAGATTTGAGGCAGGGGTTGGACAGGGTCTATCTCTGTTCCTGTCTCTCCTCCAATCTTAAAAAGAACAGAGCCCTGCAACTCCCCATTTGTCATCTCCCTTTCCTATATGGCCTCCTTAGTCATAAGGAATCATAAGCACTTTTGAAGACCTATTATACACCGGATCCTGTACTAATTTCTGCAGGACAAAGACATAGCACACCATAAAAATTGCACCGGAGTGGCCGGATGTGTGTGTGCGTGTGAAGCCTACTCCAAGCATCCCAAACATACAATGTAAATAAGAACAAGTCCCCTAACCTTTCTTCCAGTTGTCTGCCCCTGAACCCCTGCAATTGGACACCCTGGAATTACACTAATCCTTAAGGCACTTATTCCTTGCAAATACTTGCAGTGATATGACCCTATGTATGACCTGAGTTTCTAACTCCATCATCCTCAATTAGGTCCCCATGTGAGGTTAAAGATACTCCTAAGACATTTTATTGAGACTTCCACTGGGGCATGAGGTGATCTCTCTAAAAGGAATAAGATGGATTCAGTCATACTCTAGGCTTCGTGTCTTCTTTAGGAGCTGTGTTCCTTCGTACCTCAAGTCAGTTACTGGAGGGGTGCAGAGGAAGAAAGGCCAAGAAAGATCTCAGGAAGAGGTGTCTAATGCCTACAGTTCGAGGTGCTCATTTCTTTAATCGACCACATCTTAAAATCAGAAAGAAACCACAATGAACAAAGAGAAAGGAAAAAACAACAGCCTTGTTCTCTCCAGGCTCCTCCTTCCTCTTCTTCTTCTCAAGGTGGGGGGCCACATTTGGGGCCCAGGGCTGGGTCCCCAGCAGGTCTGCTTAGGCAGACAAGTGAGTTTCACTTCCTGTCAACCCCAGAGCTGAGGCAGGATGTCTAGGGGCACAGTTAGGGGACCTAGGGTTGGGAAGTCAACAGGGGACACTTTCAGGATTCCCTTTTGCAGAAGAGTCCATTGAGCAGTCCACTAGTACTAGTACAGTCAAGATCAGTGCATCTATCTAGTTTTTCAAAGCTTCATCCCACACTCTCAATTCTCATCATTAGTAACAAGCTTAAGGAAGGACAGGATGCTAGGCCTGGCAGGGCTGAAGCAGAATTTGTGAAAGAGCAGGGTCTAAAGATCATAGTGTTAGAACACTTGTAATAACTACATATCGAGTGAAAACCCATTCTTAAATGAGTCCTTTTGAGGCCTGAGTTGGGTATCTGGTGGAAGTCAGGAAGGTGGAGAATGGGAAGGAAAGCAAGCTGTGGAGAATTCTGAAGCTTCACAGGCTTTAGAAAGTTCCTAGTCGGCTACTGCTCCCAGTTTTTTATTTTTTAAGTGGGGCATGCAGCCTAGGTGTTGGAGGTGGTCACTAAGTTTCTCCTTCCTCCTCCCTGGTTTCAGCGGTATACCGCTGGACATTAACCTCAAGCAAAAATGAGGGATATAAAGGAAAGTAGAAGGGTTGATAAGAAGAAAGCAACAGCAACATTGGGGTGGCGAAGGGCAGGGCCGACACCTGAAGACAGGAACGTGCGGCCGGCGCCGCCCAAGCTGTAGGGGAAACAAGTCTAGCAGGACTTAGCTCGAAGGAACAAGAGCTGCCGAAAAGAGCGGGGGAGGGAGAACATATGGGTTCGTGCAAAGAATAAGGAGGCACTGCGTAGGGCAGGAATGCAGAGAGTGAGCGCACAGATAACTGGCGAATTGCCCCGCGCCGCTCTCCAGCGCCCAGAGAGGCTCGGACGAGGTTAACTGGAATACTAACCGGTCCCTCCCATAAGTCTTCACCCTGCCCTCTGACCCTGCGGGCCCAGTCCGAGGAGACTCCCGGGGTCGAAGGCCAGAGCAGAGTTGGGCCGTTGTCGCTGCGCGGGCGAATCCCCTGGGCCGCCCCAGGGGCAGGGCCAGGCCAGGGTGCCCCGCCCATCCCAGCCCGCCGCCTCCTCGGCCGTTGAAGCCGCCGGCAGCCCTGAGGCTGCGGGGACAGGTGACGACCGGCAGCTACCCCCACCTTGCACGCCTCTCCCGTGGGTCTCTGTCCAGAGGGTTGTGCTGGTAGGCTGAAGCCTGCGATTTCGGCCTCCGCACCTTCTAAGAGAGGATTAACTGGGGTCTTCTGTTCGCCTCCAACATCACTGGTGCGCCCCAGTGAGTTCCCGGAGTTTGCCTGCCGTGGCCCATGTCTGCAAGCCGCTCTAGGAGCTGGGTGCGGCCAGGGCCTGAAATCCTTCCCACTTGTCAGCCCCCCTTTCCCTCGCAGATCCTGGGCGGACGCCGAGTGTGAGGAGGGGCTGTGCCTCAGAACTCTCGGAGCCCAGAGGACTGCTTTACACGCAGCAGGTGCTCACTAATGGTATCAGTGGCAGTAAAGGAACCCACGGCTTTGCGTTTATTAGTCTTCGGCTTCTATTCCCTTCACCCTCCTCCTCCACCTCCGTCCATAAAATGCTGTACTCTCCCTTTAAGACCAAAATGGTGGCAGGCTACGAGTGGGGCTCCACTTCCGGTGGGGAGGGGGCGGGACCCCAAGCCCTCACGCCGGAAGTGGTTTGCGTTTTCAAGATGGCGACTCCCTATGTAACTGACGAGACCGGCGGTGAGTGCGGGAGGCGCGAAGCCGCTTCTCCCCGGGCTCTCGGGGCAGGGATTCGGACGTGGAAAGGGATCTGTGCTCCGCCCATCCCGGGGCCCCTCCCTTGCCCCGCCCTCCGGACCGCCTTCCCCATTCATTCTCCCCGACAGGGCGTTACCTGCGCCCCCTTCTGGTCTCGTGTTTGGGGGGGGGTCTCTGCTTCCGGTCACCCATACCCTGGGGTCCTTTATTGCTGGTCCCTGCTCCAGGACCCAAATGGGTCCTTAGATTTTTCTTCAGCAGTTGGAACTCCTCTATCTCTTTTGGGTTCTCCAGCCTTAGGGCATCCTGCACTCTCAGTTCCCTCCAATTCCTGCCCTTCCCCTCCCCCATCTCAGCCATACCTGCCTTCTGCTCTACCGTACCCCCATTTTAACTCTTTATCAAGGTTATATCTTGTGAAGACCTCTTCATTGCTACATAGTGGTTTTCCACTTTATCTCTCATTTTCATTGTTGGGTCACTGAGGTCCAGAGGTGTAAAGGGAAGAGGAACCTAATGTAACTTACAACGAGTTTTCCCCAATGGCACCACCCTTTGTACCATCTCTGATGATAGAGATAGGAATTGAAGGATCTAAGGTGGAAGAACGCAAACGGGAAAGTGTCTAGTGGCCTCTCAAGCCTCTGGCAACTTGATAGAACCTATTATTCTTCTGACTACAGAGAAATTTCCAGCCTGGCTGATTGAGATTCTGGAGTGTCTGCTGTGTGTGTATGTGAGGTTTATGTGTTGAAAACTGAGAATATTCCGTTTTGGTTGTGTCCCATCCTAATTTCCTTAACTTTAGAAAAATTTGCCTAGTGATATTTATCCAGCGTTGATCAGATAAGTATATGTGAAAGCAGTTTATAAAATGCTGTGCAAGGCAATGTGTTACTTTTCTTGTAGCCCTCATTGTGTATGTGTATCTTCTGTAGAAGTGACACTTTGTGTGCTGTGGTACAGATGGTCTGTTTTAAAATGTGCCTTTTATGCTTTTTGCTTTGCTGCTTTCTATGTTCCACCTCTGCCCACCTCTCCTGTGGTATCTAATGACAACCTAAGTCTCTGCTACTTCTCCCCAGTCTCATATTTCAAAGTGGTACAATCTCTCTTGCTGGCTACTCAGTAGATCTGTCTTCTACTAGCTCCTTTTAATGTGTGCTTTGAAAACATTACTCATTGTACACATACTTCTCTTAATTGTTTTCTTTAAACTGATTAAATTAAAATCCAGATACTATAGCTCACCCTATCCTCCCACCAAGAGGTATCTTCTGTTGTCTGTGACTATGTGGAAGAGGAAAAGGAATCATATTGCTTTTATTGCCTTCCTTTATTACTTCCTTATCATTGACATACAGTGTCCCTCTAATCCTTGGGGAAGGTATTGCCATGCAATTACAGCATTTTCTCTAAAACCTCAGGACTGTCATCTACTGCCCACAAGGATGCAGACCTATTGAATAACATTTTTGTTCCCACTGTTTCTTGCTCTCATTCTTAGTGTCTCCAACACCTTTGGAATACTCTGATATTATGGTTTCTTGGCATGAGACCACATAGCTTTGTATTTTCACACCAGCTTTTCATCAGAATCACTACAACCTGGACTCACCTATGATACTGCTTCTTCTGGTGCTCCCCATCAATTACTTTCGCCTCCTTACCAGCCACCTTTGTCACTGCTTCACACCCACAGAATCAGCTTTTTGCCTTTCTTAGGTTCTCTGGTTCTTGACCTTCCCCATTTTATTGAGTCTACCAGTACCTTCATGACTTCCTTTGACGTTGCCTTGCCAGACTTCTGTGACTAGCCACTTTGATACTATCCTCATTGTGTTTTTCATTCATTTGGATTTTCTGTACTAAGGAAGCATTTCTGTTATCTTGAATCATGCCCATCAACGGTTTTCTTGGCTTCTGCTTTGGGGCCACAACACATGGCTAGAGAAAAAGCACAGAAGCCAGTATGTACAGTATAATGAAACTTAATGTTAATTTACACCATGATCATGGCATCTCTCCAACTCTCTTCTTGGTTTGTTTACATGCTACCATGGCTATTTCCCCAACCTTTTCCAGCTCTCTGTGACCCTCCCTTTTAATTCTCCCTTTTGTGGAAGATGACCTCACTTTTTATTTCACTGGAAAAATCAAGGCCTTTCATTTTTCTTTCTTGGTTCTTGACTATTAGGTCTACACCTACTGTTTTCACTTCCTCACTGCTTATTTGTTCCTTAACTCTTTACAATATTTATTTTTATCACCAGCTTTTCTGTAATTGCCAATTTTTTTAGTAATTGTTTGGTAAATAGCTTTCGTCCTGGGATTTATACTGTCACAGCTCAAATCCAGTCTGACCAAAATATGAGTTTTTCATTCCTTATTTCTGTTAAAGGCATTAAAGGCACCTTTGTCCTGGTCAACCCAAGATCAATTTTTTGCATTATTTCTTACTCTTTTTAAAACTTTTAATATATTTTATTTTTTAGAACAGTTTTAGATGTAAAATTGAGAAGATGGTACAGACGATTCCCATGCCGTTTTTACTCAGTTTCCCCTAGTATTGATAGCTCACATTTGTATGGTGCTGTTAGTACAGTTAATGAACTGATGTCATTATAGTTTTATTAACTAGAGTCAGTGCATTATTCAGATTTCCATAGTTCTTAACCTAATTTTTCTGTTCCAGGACCCCAACCAGGATACCACATTACATTTAGTTCTCATGTCTCTTTTAGTTCCTATTGGCTGTGACAGTTCTCAAACTTTCCTTGTTTTTTTGATAAGCTTGACAATTTTTTTTGGTATCATTAAGTTTACTAGGCTCCCCCCTTCACCAAGTCCCCCCAGTATACCCCTTCACAGTCACTGTCCATCAGCGTAGTAAGATGCTGTAAAATCACTACTTGTCTTCTCTGTGTTGCACAGCCCTCCCCGTGCTCCCCCCCACACTATACATGCTAATCGTAATACCCCCTTTCTTTTTCCCCACCCTTATCCTTCCCTTCTCACCCATCCTCCCCAATCCCTTTCCCTTTGGTAACTGTTAGTCCTTTCTTGAGTTCTGTAATTCTCCTGCTGTTTTGTTCCTTCAGTTTTCCTTTGTTCTTATACTCCACATATGAGTGAAATCATTTGGTACTTGTCTTTCTCTGCCTGGTTTATTTCACTGAGTATAATACCCTCTAGCTCCATTCATGTTGTTGCAAATGGTAGGATCTGTTTTTCTCTTATGGCTGAGTAATATTCCATTGTGTTTATGTACCACATCTTCTTTATCCATTCATCTACTGATGGTCATTTAGGTTGCTTCCATATCTTGGCTATTGTAAATAGTGCAGCAGTAAACATAGGGGTGCATCTGTCTTTTTCAAACTGGAGTGCTGCATTCTTAGGGTAAATTCCTAGAAGTGGAATTTCTGGGTCAAATGGTATTTCTATTTTGAGCATTTTGAGGAAATTCCATACTGCTTTCCACAATGGTTGAACTAGTTTACATTCCCACCATTAGTGTAGGAGGGTTCCCCTTTCTCCACAACCTCGCCAACATTTGTTGTTGTTTGTCTTTTGGATGGTGGCGATCCTTACTGGTGTGAGGTGATATCTCATTGTGGTTTTAATTTGCATTTCTCTGATGACAAGTGATGTGGAGCATCTTTTCATGTGTCTGTTGGCCATCTGAATTTCTTCTTTAGAGAACTGTCTATTCAGCTCATCTGCCCATTTTTTAATTGGATTATTTGCTTTTTGTTTGTTGAGGTGTGTGAGCTCTATATATTTTGGATGTCAGTCCTTTATCAGATCTGTCATTTATGAATATAATCTTCCATACTGTAGGATACCTTTTTGTTCTATTGATGGTGTGCTTTGCTGTACAGAAGCTTTTTAGCTTGATATAGTCCCACTTGTTCATTTTTGCTTTTGTTTCCCTTGCCCGGGGAGATATGTTCATGAAGAAGTCACTCATGTTTATGTCCATGAGATTTTTGCCTATGTTTTTTTCTAAGAATTTTACGGTTTCATGACTTACATTCAGGTCTTTGATCCATTTCGAATTGATTTTTGTGTATGGGGTTAGACAGTGATCCAGTTTCATTCTCTTACATGTAGCTGTCCAGTTTTGCCCGTACCATCTGTTGAAGAGACTGTCATGGCTCCTTTATCATATATTAATTGGCCATATATGTTTGGGTTAATGTTTGGAGTCTCTGTTCTGTTCCACTGGTCTCTGGCTCTGTTCTTGTGCCAT